TAATATAGAAACCAATCCTACATTAAATATCTTTCCAAGCCACGTGGAACCACACAAGCCAATTTCAGTTTCTCTCTCTTCTTCCCACTTCGGATGCTCCTCTTCTTCTTATCACCACAAGATGCAATATATATATATATATATATATATATATATATATATATATATATATTGCATCTTGTGGTGATAAGAAGAAGAGGAGCATCCGAAGTGGGAAGAAGAGAGAGAAACTGAAATTGGCTTGTGTGGTTCCACGTGGCTTGGAAAAACATCACCATTTTAATCTTCTTCCCTCTGATCGGTTGATCAACTATACATCAACCTCGCAATAGCACGAATCATTGTAAAATAGGGCTATTGGTCGAGTAAGTCGAACCACTGGGACTGCGCTAGTTTAAGGCAACCTAAGCGTCTAGAATCGTTTTAGAATGATAAGGGGGAATAGGATTTTTGCTTGGTTTGTCACTAAAGTTATGAAATTAAGATGCATAAAATAGTAGATTGCAAGGAATATAAAGAGGTGAAATGCAAGTAGAGAAGACTAGGGAGATGAATCCGTCTCCATCCCTATACACATGCTAGATTAGAACTAATTAAGGGGAAAAATAACATATAATGGTCAAGAATTACATAACAACACATGGTTGCCATGTAATTGATCAAGAAGTACATCAAGTCTCAAACAAGTATAATCTATCAAAAGGGTAAACATGCTTAGACTACCTAACTAAAGTGTAGCTTTTACACATTTACTTAAATGAAAAACTATCAAGTTTTTGACAAAATGATGAAGCACATGGAGCTAGAGATTAAGCATACACCATTAAAGGATTTCCTAAGCAATGGTCTATCAAAGCCACCTATCAACATGCCATGAAACCATTTCATAACCTTGTTCCCATTCTCACCATGAAAACTCAAGCAATAAGATTCATACAAGACATCACCTAACAATCAAGATAATGAACTTGAAGAAATCAACCATACATATATAAACATTCATTACAACAAATGAAAGGCTCTTAGTTATGAAAAAAACCATAGAAATATACATTGCAATCCCCCAAAATAGACTACCCTAGGACATGCTTACAAGGGAGGGACTTCATCACCTCCCTAGAAGAAGAGTTAGTTACCCATTGGAGCCTTAGAATGAAGAAGAAGCTTGAACTCCATCTCCAATTTTCGAGCTCTCTCCTTTAAGCTTCAAGAACACCTTCTTTTCTTACTCTCTTCTCTCCCTCTATCTTGCAAAAATTCAAGGATAGGATGCATGTGGCCCTTAGTTGCCTTATATCTATCAACTAAGCTCTCTCTCTCCTCCAAAGACATTCCCAACCACTCCATAAAGAAGGAGGGTGGAAATGTGGAAACCAATGCACAAGTGGGCTGAAGAGGGGTTCATTTCCGAGCTGAAATCTGGCTGATTTTCGAGCACTCGAAGAGTGGTCTCGAGCACTCTAAATTAGTGTAATGTGCAACATGCTCTTCTTGCTCAGCACTGACCTACTTTGGTAAAACTGCTATAACTTTGTGCCCCGAACTCTGAATGATGATCTGTTTGAAGATTTGGAGAGCTGATTCAGTGCTTCAAAAACTTCATGTTTTTGATGAAGACCCAATTCTCAAGTCTGGTTGGTCGAAAATGGGGAGAAAGGCAGTACTTCAGTGCTGCCAGGCAGTTCTGCGCACCTCTGTTAAGAAGATCATAACTCTCTGTTCCGAACTCCTAATGACAAACCGCTTGAAGATTTGGAAAGCTGGTTCAGAACTCTAAATCTTTTATGTTATGATGGAAGTCCAGTTCTTGAGTTTTCTAGGTCGAAAATGGCAACAAAAGTCAGGTTCTACCGCTGCCAGAAATTCAGAATTGGCACCCTTTTTGTTCATAATTCCACAAGGCATCATTTTTGCTTCCTTTTTGCACTTTAACCTGAAAATGCACAAAAACATGCAAATGGAGTTAATCTACATAAAATAATCAATTAATGGACTTTGTTAATGTAATTTAGGGCGCCTGAATATACAGTATTCAACGCTTATCACCCTCCTCCATACGGCTGACCACTTTTTCCTTCCAACATAAGCATAATGTATACATATAAAATATATGCATGTGACAAATATCAAACCCACCAACTTTTCCTTCCTTTTTCTCTTTGAACTTCGTCCTAGTGTCCATACTCCTTCACCATACAAAACTGATACTATATATATATAAGCACAAAACTAAATCAATTCAAAAACAATCTCCAATATCAAAAACAATCTCCAATAAAAATTAATTACATAGCAACTAAAAATTATAAAATAAGTTAAATGAAAATCTCAAAAATTCGAGTCATCACAAAGAAGTAAGAAATACCAAGCAGCATCAGTTCGGTCGACCGAAGTGATGCTTCGGTCGGCCGAAGCAAACCGCTCCTGAACCGGTAGGCCGAAGTGGCCAACCGGTCAAACGGTTGTGATCTCTATAGTAGCTGAGGCTACTGGATAAATCGGTCGACCAAAAAAGGCATTTCGGCCGGCCAAAATGCTTCTGTGAAATGGGCTTTAACTACTGGAAGTGTGAAAATGAAGTAACATTTAGATAGGAACTTTGAAATGAATCTAAGACCTATTCCAGACACATTCCAAAATGTCTTCTACATTCCTTGATTACATTCCTTGATTAGAGACATCGACAATTTGATATAATGTAAGATTTATAGTCTCATTCAAACAAAATATTAACACGGTTTACAAATAATCCAATTTACATCAAATAGAGTCGAGACTCAAAATACAAAGTGGTACAAGGAAAAATATTTTCCAACTCCGCCCATACTCATGAAAGATCAACACCTACCAACTCAACCCTGAGACCTGAAAAATGTTAAATAATGGGGTGAGCTAAAAGCTCAGTAGGAAGTGTCTAAGGCATACCTCTTGAGACCCCGTGAATCCAAACAATGAATAGAAATAACAAAGGCGAGATCATACCATGCCGGGAAGAAAATAATCCACAAAATCACATTTATAAACCGAGTTATGAATGAATATACCATGCAATGGGATGCCATGTCACTCGCCATTTTCTTTTCCAAAACCTTTTTTTTTTCCAAAACACCACCTCATTCCTTTCAAAACATCATTTTCCCCATTTTTTCCCCATGGAATGCATGAATGCTTCATGCTAAATACAACGAATTCAACTTAAACCACTAGCAAGCTTTACAAGAATTTCCATAAAAATACCACATACTTTCATTTTATCAATAATCCAGCATGGCAATCACATAAAACATGAATTCTAGTCCATATAAGTATGCGTGAATCACAACTCATCCATTTACACATAATCAAACATTCCATATACAACATCTAAACAATTTATCAAGAATCTAAACCAAATAGGCATGCTAGATAACAATCCATACCAAGATTATTCACAAAAATTCAAGAAATTGTGAATTAAACACCCCTACTTCACAAAAATGCAAAAAGTCCCAAATCCAAGCCCTAGGTTCGAAACCTAGGGTGCACCAAATGATGAATAGCTTACATCAATGCGTAGATCTTGCCGAGCTCTCCGTTTTGCCGCCAACGGCACCAAATATCTCCCAACGGTTGAGAAGTAATCTAAACTTGAAATTGATGAAGAAAGAAAAAGAAAAAAAAAAAGATCAAAGGGGAGGGGAGAGAGATAGAGCTAATGGGAGAAGAGAGAATTTGAGGCCTAAATGGCCTTATCGTCATTAAAAAAGGAAAGTGGTGGGTCCCACCATTTAAAAAAAAAATCTTCTTCCTCCTTTTAACTTCCACCACACAAATAAATATGCACATACCAAGCATACAATAAACACATAAAACACAATAAATAAAATGAGCGAGATGCAAATGGACCCAAATAAAACCCCGTACGCGACAATTCTGATAACGGGTCCCACTCGGGACCGTCCGACCGAAAAATGAAAAAATGCTGAAATGGCAACCAGTGTATTTTTAAGAGTCCTGAACTCAATGGAATGTCCCAACCAACTCTCGAACACACCCGGCACACCCCACGGTGTCCAGCACGCAAAACGAGAAAAGACGAAAATGCCGTCGCAAAATCGAAAAATTCCAGAAAATGAAAAATTGTGAAAAACAAAAATATTACAATGGGATCTGATCAGTTAGATGGTCATGAGTCATGACTTCTCATTTTTGCCTTAAATGTTTCTCCAAACCTCATTAATAACCCAGATTTTCACTATGTCAATTGTACTCATGTAAAATGACTATTTTGCCCTTGACATTCACTTAATGACCATTTTATCCTTGATAACCATAGTTTCACCCTTTCTATCTTCGCTTCTACACTGTGTCAATCGGGCTGTCGGATCAAGTTATGTCCTTTTGGTTGATGAACCGAATCTACTTCATCAACATTTGGATTATAAGAGGGAATATGACATAAAAGGCATGTCATTGTGGATTACTTGCTACCCTGCAACCAGATGGTGAAGGTGAATTGCCATCACTGGCACCAGTTAACCGGCTAACTGCTTGCACTCGTAGTAATAATCTTCCGTTTGTTTCTTTTGTTTGTATGTTTTATGTCATTTATTTAACTTTATCCTGAAAAGAGCAACAATTTAATTTTGTGTCGACTCATTTGACTTATATATTCAAATTCAAATTTAGATTAGCTGAAAATTTAATTGAGTTTTAGAGAACAAGTCATGCTAAGAGCTCTAACTAACCCACTCTAGCACATACTGTCATACACACTAACAAACACATGTTCAAAAATATGTTCACGACCCCTAACGAGTTGTTGTTCCATCAACTTGTTTATTTAATGAGCTTGAAATTGTTGATCCTACTACTTAAGAAATAAACAATAACTGAACTCGGTTCATTTGAAACCCTATGACCTTATAAGTGTTGTAGCTACAAGATGTGGTCAATTTGCATGAAAACGCCAATGTGGAAAGATTAGAAGGAACTTCACAGGAGTAACAATTGGTGAGATATAAGCTAATCAGTTCAGGGTGCATTATTCAAAAACTTGACAACAGAATAATTATAAATAGAAGAAACAACAGTCTAAATGCCATTCCTTACCCAAAAAAAAAAAAAAAAACACACACACACACAGTTTCAATGCCTATTCATTCAATGTTCAGCTTCTTCTGGTGAGGGAAGCTTAGGAACACCATTGACATTTCCACTATCAGCCTTGGACTTCAAATCATCAAGATAATGCTGATAGATATAGGAAACAAACCCCCAAATGGCCAACAACATGGCAACAACCTTCACCCCATTCATCTTATCATGAAAAAAGAACACTGCTAGAACCGGAACGATTGGTAATCCCAAAGTACTAATGACATTGCAGAAGAGGGAAGACAACTCAAAGATCAACTTCGTTGCACCAATTGAAAAAACCTGCCAGCTCAATGCTGTCCACACCAAATTCATCACATAGGACACCTTCCCAAGTCCGAATTCCTCCATCTCTCTGTGCAAACTCTTCCACTCCCCACTAGCAAAAAGCCCCACCAGGATGACACCAGTTGCAACTAGTGACTGGTAGATTATCAAATCCAAAACCACCCTAAAAGTCCCACTTTTCAGAATCCTCCTGTAGGAGAGCTGTGTCACAGAAAGGATTAATGCATACCCCGCAGATGCCCCAACCGTGCATATGAACCCAATCGCGTACTTCCCTTTAGGAATGTTACTGGAGGCTGAGTCGTCAGGTTGGAATACTAGAAGGGTGGAGGAGATGGTGAGAAGGACTAGAGAGTTGACTATGAAAGGTGTTAGCTTCTGTGAATTGAGGAAGAAGGAGAAGGCGGCATTGAAGCCTAGTTGGCTTGCACAGATGAGAGAATAAGTAGAGACTGGAAGATACATGAGCCCGATTGAGTACAACATGCAAACTGCTGCTAGGAAGATGCCAAGGAAGGTGTAAAGTGATGCAAGGACTTTGGCAGAGGGGGGTTTTGGATGGTTGTCACGAGTGTTCCTGTTTTCGTTTGGTGCTATGCAGAGGAAAGGAATGAGGACTGGGAAGCCTGCAGTTTGCACAAGTGTTGCCATCCATTTGCTGTTTCCGCCTTTGTCGTAGTAGAGTCTCCCCAGGAGTGTTGCAGCTGACTGACCAGAGAGGACAAAGAATGAATAGATGGCCATTTGGAGCCACCACTTGTATTTTCTAAGCCAAGGGATGGTTGATTGATGACTGACATTTGCATTTTCAGTTGAGTTTGCTTCTTTGGCTTCTTCAACTGGTGAAAGTTGATCTATCAAGGTCAGTAATGAAATTAATATACCAACAAAGAAGAGGGTTAGGAAAAAAATAAGATGAAGATAAATTTAGTTCAACATTGGTATCTTGTGAATTCCTTTCTTAAATGACAATTTCAATCTGTACTATAAATTTTTTTTAAAATTAAATTGTCTTACTTTTTTTGTAACATGTCATCATAACTTTGACAAACTATATTGCTGTTCTAAACTTCTATATATAATATATCAATGTTCCAGTGCCTTCCCAGCTACATATTTTTTATGAAATAGAATATTTAGCAAGTTTTGGTCTTTTTCAGTAATAACTATAGCTTTACTTTCATATTTAGGATCCAAAGTTTTAGGAGCAGATGGAATATTGGTTTTGAAGTGTTTGTAGTCAGCATCTTCAGCATAAACTTGAAACTAATAAATTGTGTTTTTGGAAAAAAAAATTAATTAGATTCTTTTGTATCTCCTATATAGATGGCCTCAAATGGTTGCTGGTACTTCACATGGTTATTTCATGAAAAGATTGAGAATTCATATTTGGCTTCTTTTTTTTTTTAATTCTGAAATTTCCTGCAGAGGATTTCTTCACTGGGAGCAACAGTCCAGAGGTGGAAGCTAGTTTTTGCTAGTAAAAGTTTTATACAAGTACAAGAGTCTTGGGATCAAACACAAAAACAGATAACAACAACAAAAACAACATAATAAAGTAATATAAGACTATGAAGAAAAGAAAGAAAAACAAATTTAAAATATGGAACCACAAAATAGATTGAAAGGCCTCTAAGAGCAATTCTAAGAAGGTTAGATACTGCACCAAAACTTTAAGGGTGCTTCATGTGCTGCAATTCTGCTGTTGGAAAGTGGTAGCTAGAGATCCTCTAGCAATTGCTATTATTTAATACAATATAGTATATTTATATGTGTGTACACATATATTTGGCAGTTCATGTAATTACTGATGGAAGCAAATCCATTTGAATATCTGAAAAACTTACCCATTATGTGTAGTTGCAGTTCTTGAGCTTCCCCCATGTCAAAGATGCAGAACTTCCAGGAAGGATTAGGAGGGAGAGAGAGGGATGTTACATATCCAATGCTCACAGAAAACAAAATCAAAGTTCAATTTAGGCAGGCAGCAAGCTGCATCACAATCCAGCAGTCAGCATCAGCCAAGAGGTTGTCTGTTACATTTTCTTCCCTATGATTTGCAGAGACGGTTAAACATAATCGTCATAGTTGAATAAAAACATTAAATTTTACGTGGGACATGGACATCAACTTGTCTTTATATACACCCATGCCAACAAAATATGAATACCACCCTCCTGTCTTCACCTCATGACAAATTCATGCCAAAATTTCATGGGCCACACACAAAGTCGTCCTCCTTATAGCAAGTCAATTATATACAACACGCTAAAAAAGTTGATCCCAATATTCAGTCTTAACTTACCATGATGAAATAGATATTTCGAGAAACAGGGAAAACAAACAAAACAAAACAAAACAAACTTACCATGAAATACAGAGGGATAAATGTTATGGATTCATTGATGTTCCATATGAAGAAGGGCTCATTTGTTTCGAAGGGAATGCGCAAGCATGTGACTTGATGTCTAGATTGCTTATGAGATGATAGCAAGGTGGTATGCAACAAGACAGTCATTTATGGGATTCACTAACACAATGTTTTTACTTTGTCATTTTCAGCGATTAGATGACACCAAAGTGATTAATTAATAAATAAAAGCAACACCCAACTTTATGCTTGTTTGTTCATACTGGGCATTAAAAAAATAAAAATATAATTAAAAAATCTTTTTGTTTTTATGCTTTTATGTTAATCCAAAGCAGTGGAAATGAGGGTGTAACTAATACACTAGTGACTGACTTCTACCAGGATTTTCTTGTATGTTTTAGCAGTTCACTTTCAAAGCAAAATTTTTAATCAGTATTAGATAGCACCTCACATAGTCCTTTGATCAAGAAAGAAAATGAAATGTGACTATTAACAAAGCAAGTGCTTCTGTGGACATTTCTCTTGGAAAAACTTGATTGAGCAGTAATTAGTCTTTTTTGAGCTAGGTTCTTGAGAAAATTAATTAGCCTAAAGTATAGATATAAGTAATGAAGTTTTAGTCTTCACTATGCAATCTTACATAAGTGTCCAAGCAATTGATACCATTAGAAGTATGAGAAACTTTTACATGGTCGCGGCCAATCACAATCCGACACGTAAATAAATGTATTACAGCTTGACACGACAACAAAAATTTGAATAAAATTGACACATTTGTTTGCCTGTTGAGTTGTGATTGACCGGAATCATGTAGTCTATAATAATTTCTCAAGCATTGCATCGATTGCAAACACTTCCATTATATAAATTTAAGTAATGAAGTTTGAGTCTTCCTCATTATGCAATCTTACATAGGTGTCAAAGTTTTAGAAATTTTATACCGTTAGAAGCATGAAATTTTTTTACACCCCAGTCAATCATAGCTCTGACACGTTAGTAAGTAGACTAAAATGCAATGAGGTTGAGATGGATACACAACTTTAAAAAACATAGGGTACTGGAATGAGGCAAGTAAGAAAGTAGACTAAAATGCAATGATTTTTGACCATATGGAAATAATTGGCATGAATGTCCTTTTTTCTTCTTCTTTTTTCTAGTTGGTACTCACACACACGTCTCTTCTAAGACTTGAATCCCTGACCTCTCTTTAAAAAGTAAGAGACTGAATGCCCTTTTGATAGTGTTGACATAAAAGCGTATACCCTTTTAGTAGTATTGCCACGAATGCCCTATTCTAGATTTTTTTTTTAGAAAGGTAATGTCCTTTTCTATATAGATTTTAGGAAGGTAATGTCCTTTTCTATATAGATTTTAGGAGTTAATACCATATCTTGCACTTTTCTATATTGATTTTAGGAGTTAATACCATATCTTGGACCATGTGGATAAGAGTGACAACAAGCAACCAGGGTGTGTGATTTTGACCCCTTAATGGGCTTGTGTTCACATTCATTTCTTTTGGTTTGACCAGGTTCTGAGATCTATGAAAACTCTTGCGGAAGCAAATTTATCTCTGTTCCTATTGAGGCCAAATGTGGAGGAGTTCTAAGACCCTATAGTCTAAATATTTTTCCCATATTATAAGATACTAGAGTCAACACCAATAATACAAGATATGATCATTGAGCTAAATTACAAAAGGAAAATTCAGTGCACCAAAGATGAAGACAATATTAAAACTCAAGAGACTCCAATCATTGTGTATTCGGAGAAGATCAAATGTACACGGTCTTACCTCGCATGCGAAGAAGCTGTCGTGAATGTTAAATTAAATTGCATGATACATAAATACAAATAACTTCAGTTTTCGGAGCATCTAAGTATTCTTATTGATTTCAAATCTCAATTTGAAATTGGAGAAAAACTAGTTCAATTGATGTATATGAGCTGGTTTTTAATGTTCTTTCCAAATCTTACTACTGCTATCTTTCAAATTGTACTCTTGCTCTAGGAAATGTTGTGACGGTTGTTGGAGGTACAACTCCATATATGCAAAACAAATTGTTCAGTTCCTCTCTTGTTAATTGATGGCCATAGTTTCCAAATTTCAGAGACTCTTATTACAAATGGAAGAAAATGGTTTTCCATAGTTTCCAAATTTCAGAGACTCTTATTACAAATGGAAGAAAATGGTTTTCTTTTTTTCTTTTTGGACCAGTTATCTTGAATGTGCAGGACCAGTGAATAAATTGTTTCCATCTCTACAAGTGGTATCACTGTATGCCTTCTCCATATCAACAGAATATGATATGATAAGATAAAACCAATATCTGATATGGGTTGTTGAGCTTTCTGTAAGTATGACTGTAGATTTTTTCTTCCATATGAGCATTGTGCCACAATAAGACACCCATTCTTTAAATTTAAGATGTACCATCACTCCTAATAAATTTCTAAATGCAAAGAGTGTCCTGATGCTGAGTAGTGACAAAAGCAAATTTGTTTTATGTCATTGTCTTTCTAAAGTATTTTTGTTTTGTACTATTATTTGTTCAATTTCTCAGCTGGTTGATTGATACATAAAATAAAAGGGACCTTTTCAGGGGGGAAAAAAAAAAAAAAGGGGGAGAGGTTGGTTGTTACCAGTATGCGAAATGAAATTAAGCATTCAAATGGCCTGTTCTGCTTAGTCTAGTCAACTGATTTGAAAGTTGTGATAATACATGCCAAACCAGGTGATCCTGAAGGCTGAAGGTGCTTGCTTCAACATTGAAGAAAGCAATTCTTGCAATGATGCTTACAAGTATTTGTGTGCCATGTTCTTTTTTGGGCAAGGTTGGTTGTGATTAAATACATCTGTGCATGAAAATGGCTGTATTATTAGCCATTATTAGCCCATTCCTGAAACCTTTCTGCTAACCATGGGAACTAGAAAACCCTAATTTTAGGACCGAGCTGAAGTGCCGTTATGAAGATGTATGAGATTTCCTCCACAGTTGGAGAGGAAAGATACAGTTATAAGAATGAATGGGTTTCAGCACAAAGTAGAAAAAGTACCTGTATACCAGCCACTTTGCAGCTCTTCCATAGAAGGGTATCTCTTCTATAAATTCTGATAAGTTTACAAACATCCCACAAATCTCAAATAAGAAATTGCATTAGCAATGAATCATTTTAAACAACAGATCCGCATCACAAATGTCTACAATTTCTCATCATTTATTAACAAGAAAGGAAGATTACAGGAAAAGGAAAAGAAGATATAAAATGATATTTGGCAATCTATTGTTACAAAAATTCATTTCCAGTGACCATCTGCCTTCTGCCAAACTCCTAGAGACAAATCAAACATCTTTTTGCAGCTCCAGTGCAGCAGTGGAGAGTTAGATTCCCCAAAATTGTCGAAAACACCAGGCTCACAAGCTATATCAGCAAGCAAGACCTTCTCAGTCCTATTATTTTACTCCTCTATTCTTTTGTATGTCCAATGGGGAAATTCTCTTCCCGAAACTTAGGGCCTTTAGTTTTTCATTCCTGTTAGAGTAAGTTGCAAACAACAACAGGTCAAGAACATTCAAGTTAAGAGAATCAAGAAAGAAGCCTGAAGCATGTATCATGGGTATCTGACCCATAGCCTCGCTTTAGAATTTAGTGGCCCACATAACACTTGATTCATTTTTAAAAATATAAATCATGAATATTTTGACCCATAGCCTCACATTAAAATTAAGTGGTCCACAAAACACCAGTGATACATTGTTAAAAAATGTAAACTGAGGCACAACAACCATAACCACCCCCCCCCCCCCCCCCCCCCCCCCCCCCCCCCTTCCTGCATGAAATCGCTAAGAACAAATTTTGAAGTTGCACAAAGGGGCTTACTGTTAATGAGGGATTTGAAGAAGAATGAATGAGATGCAATACAAACACACAGATATTGCTGCCCCGGCAAGAAAATTATTCAGCAGCTGCCGATTATCTTTTGGGGGTATAAAAACAGACTTGAGCACATTGGTCAGTTCAAAGAGCCGATGGGATATCTACAGAGGCAAGCCATCATAACAACAGAATGCAAAAGAATTAGAATGAGTTCATATTTTAGCTCTTTTAAATTTTGAAATTGCAATAGATCTTACCAAGATATAAATGGCAGTTGTTAGCATGAAGTTGAGCAAAGGATACTCTGGGATAAGAGAGAGAAGCCACTTAGGCTGTCCATTAGGTATACTCGACCTGCACAAAAGTAGGAAAATAATTAGACTATGCATCTAGTTAGATACAAAAGCATTGCATTCCTACTTTAAAAACCCTATCAGATCAGAAGAAAAAATAATAACAACTTTTGTTCCTCTCATTTTCTGTGCTCACAAGAATTGTGTGACCGTTGTGTATAAATGACAATCTTGAAAAAAAGGCATATGTAGTACTAATAAATTAGATATTAGATATGGCTACAGTTGAGTAGAAATATTAGCTATAACGTGTAGACTGTATCCAGTCTATCTCACTCAATTAAAAATCAGGTCTGATTTGACATAATATACATGGGAATGGAAAAAAAAAATTACGCACCTCAGCCAAATGTGGAACTGGGAAATATACGTCTCCAAAGTAACCTTGCCAAGCCACCTATTAGTATGGAACATTTGTACAATTAGCCAGACCATAAATATGTTTTTGTGTAAATACTATAAAGAGGTGTGATTTAACCAGACGGGGCAAATTAGAACTTACGCAAAGAGAGTCAAAGACAAATTCCGAAGCTCCTGAGTGAAATTCCTCAAGCATATGTATACACTGAAATCAAAATATAGCAAAGGTGAGAGTAAGGTGCTGCGAACTAAATGAGAGCATTGTATGGAACTAAATGCCCAACATGCCACAATTCCAGACTCCTCGAGAAAATTCTCAGATGAAAAAATAAAAATGATATTATAAAAAATACATATCATTTACAGAATATATATATATATATATATATATATATATATATATATATATATATATATATATATATATATCTAAAAAAAGTAATAACAAAATTGATAGTATGAAGTAAAAACAAAGTAAGAATATACACACGTTATTGGAATCCACGATGTGTACGGATGAAGCTTGTTGTATGTGACCTTGTCCAGCTTGTAAATAAATTCATACCATAAATAGCCAACCTAAAAAGGTTAATTTGTAAAAAAAGTCAGACCACAGAATCAAGAAGTACGGAGTAGGAAAGATTGTTTAAAAGTCCAAGCAGATAACAATGATAGTATGACCCCGGGAAAATGCAACTCACAACTATGGAAACCACAACAATGCATGTTTTGGCTGTGCGTCTCCGCCTGGGTTCAGATTCCTCCAATTTCTCCATCCACTTCTCAACCTAAGATTTTAAGAAGAATTTAAATTTTAGGCATTGGCACAACCAAAACCCAACAACTACAAAGCAACGAACCTTCAAGAAATTACATTGGGGTGAAAATAGGCATATATCATCCCGATGATCCATATGTAACGATCAAGCCCAGATCTGAAATGCCATTCGTGCAATCGAGGGAGATCTGGCTTTGCAGGGTCAGTGTATCCTGTCATTGTAGAAAACTATTACTTACGTGCTTAGTGCCCGCAGGGACAAAGTACAGAATATAGTTTAAATCTTTAAAAACCCAGCTCAAGTAAAACATTTGCTGCAGGGTTCAACTCAAGCAACTCAACTCAATCCAATATAGTAACAATTTAACACCATTATTAACTCTCAAGATATCACATATTACCTCGATACTATATAAATTTTATTGCTTTTATAAATTATATATATATATATTGTAATTTAAAAGAAAACATCAAAAGCACATATACAAGCATGGTTTTGCATCCATGGAAATTTGCTAAAGTTTCATGAGCTCGAATCCCACAAATATAGAACTTGAGATCAATAATTGACTGTTCTCAAAATAATTCTCCAGTCTACTCATAGTGGAGTAGAACATGTTACGAAGTGAATCGGCCCAAATGGAGCTACGAATTAACTTTGCCAACAATGCCAAGTCATGTATTAGAAGCAACCAATATGATAAAGTGAAGGTGAAGAGATTAGATAGATCACTGACCTAACAGGAATGTTAAAGGCCACCATAAAAAGTCAAAAAATCCAGGAATTTCCCAGATCAAGATAACCACAAGAAAGCATGAGAGAATCTTCACAGCCATCACTGATCTTATCTCATTATACTTGTTGAAAATACCAAGGGCTCCATACACCATGAGGGTGAAAAGCGTGTGCATTGGGCAGATATAGTACAGCATATAGTCATTGTTAAGAATGATACAACAAAACGCCACTAGGAAATTTAGCCGCCACATCATCTGTATAGAAAGGACAATAAAGATTTGAAGGCAGCTTAAAATATTACAACTAAAAGTAATCATCACATCATATAGTGAAATAACATTATGATCCAAAATCAATAATTTTACCTGTGCAAACCTTCCAAGGCTAAAATCCTTTCGGATGTAATAGTAGGAAAAGTTGCCAAATCCAGTCATCCAGACATATGCAGCAATAAAAACACGAATTGCATTGTATATCTCCGTTGCAGCAAAGTAATGATACATTAAAAAGAGGACCTGTTGTCAATAAAATGTAAACAGCCTTGAATATTCTTGAATTTCTTTGCACCACACAATGTGAACGAGTACATTATATAAATTAAACAAAGCAGCAAAGGAGAATATTTATTATTTAACATCCAACTCAATCAGGAAATTGTAATGTATGCCTGTACGGGCACAGTTTTTGCAGGCTTCAAGCCAAAATTTTCCAATGAGCCAAAACCAAAATCATACGACTATCCATATAAATTTTCCAAGAGATGATCACTTTATAAAATTCAAAGAGACTGTGATCCAAAGTTCCATCTCGACAGAACTATATTATCAAAAAATCAAGATAACTCATACTACGCGCCCATCATATAAAAAGAACAGTGCCACAACATACAGGGGGTAAAAAATTACAGTAAGATTACAAGTTCAAAAAAAAAAAACATATTGCAGGTCAACATGAGTCATAGTGAATGCTACAGAAAGACGATATGTAAGGTACATTTTTCTTTTACTAAACTGAAAGAATAATGGAGTGCAAGTTATGAATTCTGACAAAATTACTTGCCTGCATCCATCCCTTCCACTCTTCTGTCTGATGCCGATTAAGGTAAAGAAAGGATTTTCCAGAAAATGCCGACTTGTCATTGAGTTTCTTGAGTGAAGCCATTGCTGAAACTATGACAAGAAGAAGGTAGAGAAAGAGGAAAAGATCGCGGCTGTATTTCTGTCCAAGGTAAAACACCAAAAATATATATATAATCAAAATCTACAGCAGGTTCAAGCCTATTTCATTAAAAACATGACTGTAAAGCTTATATACAAGTGTATCTCTGTAGCAGAGATGATTATTGAAATGCAACAGACTCTAACAGATCAACTACAGCATTATAAACATAATCATTGTGCAATATTAGCCAAAATTAAAAACTTACAAAAAAAAGCCCTGAAATTGTTTCAGAACAGGATATTGTAAATGAACTAAAAAATAAAAGCACCTTGGTAGATTCTGCTAATATATCTGTGCGGTCACATATGTAGAAATATACCAGAATTGCCCCAAACTCAGACCTACATAAAGTATAAATTACATATAAGAAAGAATTAAGAGCTGTCAAGTGTTTGTTATCATCGACACAACAACAAAATAACAGGACTCACATAGCTCTCAGAGTTGCTCGATTTTCTAGCAAGAAGGAGTCATCCAGTGTTAGAAACCTAGAAAATCACGAGATGCAGAAGGTAAGGAGGACTTCTACAAAGAGAACTAACATGAAACTCCACTGAAGCATATCAAACAGCAAGCCACCTAATTAAGTTCACTTTGATGGATGAAGTATAAAACTTAGCAGAAGCTGATTTTGTGAGGCCTCCCTCTAGCAAAACAGCCCGATCATCTTCCTTGACCATTTCATTTCCCAATTCAACTATATTAATGTCTGAATGACTGCTGCCCAGAGAATAAAAAATTCAGCATCAGAAGATTTAGCATCTGGATATCATACTTTTTTTCATAAATACAAGTGATTAAACCTTAGCACCCAAAAAAATAAAAATAAATTAATTAATTAAGTGGTTAAATGTGAATGCCGCCAATGCTAGCATGGAACATTGTATGACAAACTACTAGTTGGAAAAAAAAAATAATAAATAGAGAGTATTGTCCTTTAAACCAAAATTAAATATACTATAAGTTGCAATAATGTGCAACAATTTTCAAATTTACTGGCGCAATATCATAACATTATAACAATATCAAAGACTTAAAGAAAACATAAGATGAATAGAAGAGCTACAAAAGATCAGTTGATGGGAACCAGAGCATGCTTTCTCAGCTTCTTTCTTCTCCCTTCTGCTTGTATTATGATTGTACTAAAGAAAATTCTGTATATCTTGACCAATCTGCACAAACTCTCACATGGCCTACTAATATAGAAACTAAACAAAATACTGTATATCTTGCCTATCTGCACAGCCTCTCACACAGCTGTGGCATTCTTTCACTACTGTTGTAGACGTGCACCGCATGTTATGAAATATCTTTTTAAATTATATACGGGTAATCCAAGCAAAACACAATTGTAAGGATCTACAATTCACACAGAACCTTCTAAAACTGACTTGTGGAATGCTACACAAGTTGTTGTGATCACATTACACCTTTCACAACTACACATTCCATTTCATTGAACCCCCACCCCCAAAGCCATTCCAATCCATTTTGTCAATGGAAAGTGAGCTTTCCTATATTTCTCACCTAAAATACAAGTTGTGATTCACACATTACACCTTTCAAAACTACAAAATGGTGTATTCTTCTATATTTCAGTTTCATATATCGAACTAATCTTATCTTTAAATTAAGCAAGTTTTAGATAATTGATGCAATTTGTGCTCATCCATTTCTACAGTGTTGATTACTATATCAGTTTGGATGGGCCATCTGTTTTACTAGGCATTATATCCATCAATATTTAATCGTATTCCCTCTAAGTTAGTCTTGCATTCTATTTCAAATCCTCTACTTATTTGCATAGCCGATATGTCCAAACACACACTCTCTCTCTATTCTGTTGAAAGGGGAAACTCAATTGAAATTTCTTAACCACAGTGCATTATTCAAACTTCAAAGTTCTCCATACCTTTAGACCCATGATGACCTAACTAGAGTGTTTTATTTTGTAATTTTACATACCCCTGCAATCATACCTGGTCTAATAACAGATTTGTCTAGTTAAAATTTAATAAAAATAAAAAAATAGGAAGCATACAAACACACACACATACATATATTTTCATGCACATATATATTACATTTAATTAAATCACACACTTGGAACTAATATGCTGCAGTCCACGCAGTTAGTGTTATGTAAAAATTTCCAGAGCATCTTTTTTTTTTTTTTTTTCCTTTTTTGGTAATGGAATTCTTACTACAATTAGAACGAGAAAAAAAAAATGAAAAAAAAAAAAGAAAAAATGAAAAAAAAAAAAAAGATAGAAAGAAAGATAGAAGGGCAGAGAGAGAAAGAGATACAAAGGCTAATGTATGTGTGCATGTAGAGTGAGGAGACAGAGAGAGAGAGAGAGAGAGAGAGAAATCTGTAGTTAAAACCAAAGATTAATAACACACCCTACCCAGTAAATTCGCAGTTTGCCATGTTGAAGAGAGAAACTTACACTTTTGATGGAGATGAAGACTTCTTGTATTCTAACAACTCGGAATATATCCATGCTACGAAAATGGGGACAAATCCAAGCAAAAGTGACACCTGTGATAAATAAAAAGAAAATGTTTCACTCGAGATGCAAGGAAACTTACTTGAAACAGACAATAAAAGGAAATCTGCAAGAAAAACATTAAAATTTAAAAACAAAAACAAGAAACAGAACTTTCAAAACTGCCATTGGGTCCAAATTAGTCGGTACAGGCATAAACATACATGTTCAGCCAAATACTTTTACATAGAAAAACTTCATAGGAGCTAGAACAGTCAATTCACTTCACCCACTCAAACAATCTCTAAGTTGATTTAGCACTGTGATCACTCTTACTCAAGATTTTTGAAATTGCACTAAGAAGCTGAATTAATTGCTTAGTCCTAATTCTAAATTTTAGAGAGCACCCAATACATAGCTTCAGGAGGAGTAACATATATGTACTCCTGTTTGTGTTTAGCGTGTGTATGAATGTGAAATATGGCACATCTGCCAGTACATTTCATGTCAAAAGGAAGTCTTATACTGTACTGTTCTTGTTGATCAAAATAACAAAATAAGTGAGTGTAGTGCTCTTCAGATCAAGATCTTGTGGCATTTAGTGAAATTCACAAGAAAGTTAAGAAACCATTCTCATATCCGACAATTAAACTAAAAACCGCCCAAAGAGAAACGGTCATATTACAACAATCTTTGGCCAAACAAGTAACTATCCTTCGGCATTGAAAAGATCGACAGAGAATGGTACCATACCTGTCCAGGTGTTATAGGTGCCGAAACCACCATGTTATAGCGAAATCGAAACTGTAAAATATTGAACAGAAAGAAATCAAATCAATGAATGATGAACATACAGTCATACACATTAGGTATTGAAGAGAAATAGAGGGGAAAAGAAGAATCGATATGTAAATCGAGGAAGTACCAGAATGAATGGAGTGGTGTGTGCGTTTCTCTCTCTAGAAACTCATCTTCATAAATACCGAAGAGTAAATCGTAACGTGAGCGAACAAGTGTAGATCTGAAGCAACAGTTACAGAGTCACGTCGTCGTTTGCTTCAAGAATTGATAAAATGTCGGAAGAGCCGTCCCCCTCTCTCTCTCCAATGTTCTCTCTGTTGCTTACTCAATCCAACTGTTGATGGTGGTTGTGGTTTAGTTCTTTAGTTGTTCTATTGTTTTCGAAGAAAGAGAAAAACAATACTACTAAATACAGAACGGAGAGAGAAGAGCCCAGTGTGTTGAAAGATTTGACGTTTAATTGTATGTATTTATTTATAGGATCATTATTACACCATATCTAATTGGTTATATCCATTTCGTATATATATATAGGAGTGCACAATATATATATTTTTTTATGATAATTCTGATTTATTGACAAAGAGGTAAAATAATAATAATAATAATAATAAGATTATCATTTCAATCAAATCAATTCAAGAATAGAAAGAACTAATACTCATCAAGTGTCTCGGATTATTCCAATCAAATATCTTAGATTCTGATTGAAGTATTTATGTAGGATAATTTTTATAGAAATTGAATTCTCACTTATTTCGATAATCCTCTATATAGAAAAAATAATTTTAGAAATACATAAAAGGGGAAGATTTTATTTTAGGCCAAGATACTAAATGAAAGTGGGTCAAGAATTTCAATGATAGAAGTTGATAAAGAAGTGAAGTTGGTAAGGTACATTGATTTGGCAATTTTTATTTTTAATCCACAATGAGTTGTCTGGTATCATTAAACTTTGGAGAAGTATAAATCAAGTAACCACCTTGATCAATTAATTTCTTTGTTAACCTTGTGAAGCACTTGTTAGTTGAATCCATTTTATTAGTATTATTATTTATTATTTTATTTTTTTCATTGAAAAGTTGCTGCCAGTGGAAGACAGCTGTCCTCAGATTTATTTAACTATGATTATGTGAATAATTGGGGAGAGCTGATGAGTGATGAACTGATGATTGCTCTATATACTTTCAGAAAATTATGAGTGACGAACTGATGATTGCTCTATATTCTTTCAGAAAATTATTTTTGACTCACAAGGACAAAGCTTCGGCTTTAGAAAAGTATGGATGTGAAATATTTTTTAAAAAATATATTTTTTATTTTTTAGTGTTTAATTATCATATGAACTAGACCTAGGCCTTTTTTAAATATCAAAAAATTAAAAAAAAATATATACTTTTATCAAAAAAAGAAAAACATTCTACACAGAAACAAACGGAGTCTTAAATTGTAAAATCCATTCTCTTCTTAGAGTTTGGCCAAAGATAACTCCAATTTGGGCTCAAGGACGTGAACTTTTTTCAACTGTATTTTTACAAAAAAGAATTTTGGTAATTAACGAATTTACAAATTTTCACATTGACAACTATCGGGATAAATATGTACGCAAGTTTTTGTGTTTTTTGCAACATTTAAATCTTTAATATTTCTGGTCTAACAAAATACATAAAGGCAGATGACTCGATAGTTCATTGAGTTAGTGCATCTGGTAAATTTTAGAGTGTTAAACTTTTAACTCTATACATTTATTAATCTAACTTGCCTTGAAAAAAAGAAAAACAAAATACATAAAGGATTTTAAGTGGCTTGAGTTGAAGCCACAATGCCCACCGACAAAAAGAAAAAAAAAAAAAAAGTTCACAGGATGGAGAGAATATACAATGGATACAGAAGATTGATGATACTAGTTTACCGATGAAGCCATGACAGATTTTTTTGCTATGCACCATTATACCGAAGAGATGGCTCACTCTGATCGATGGTCAGGATCCTTAAACACAAGGATCAACTGATCGGGGCATCTTAGTTCGTAAAAGAGCAGCTTTTTGTACAATTCACACACAAACTAGCCTTTCTGCTGAATCTGAGACAATATGACTCGTGAGGGCAAGTCCATGTGGTGCCACAACTTTGTTCACCTGGCAGAACGAACCCCATTTGTATATCTCAGTTGTGACTTTCCATGAGATCACCAAGAGTAATTTTCCCACAGTTGCCAGTGTCTAGCCGTTCAAATTTTTTGCATATCAGCAAGATGTCTTTTTCCGAGACCTTTCCCAGCTCCTTGAGCTTGTATATGACGTATTCTGATTTACTGCAAATATCATACAAACATTAAAAAGAACGAAAATCTGAAAACCCATTAAAGCCACATTCTATTTACGAGAGCTTAACTCGAGCAAACAAAAGAATATAGAATTATTGTAGAAAATCATACGCTATCAGACAGTCACAAAATATAAAAAACAATAGTGAAGTAGAGATTGTGAGATGGCCATGAGAACAAGCTTTCATGTCACTAATCTAGATTTAGAGCTCCTTTTAGAAATAGTCAAAGTGTTGATACTAGTGATGTTTTATCTATCAACATAATGACGAGGAGTGTATGATGGGGGTTCAATTCTGTGTTGAGGAAGGAAAATCCACTGTCTAGGTTTGCATCTCAAATTGAATGAAAGGAAATTAGATAGGTGGTAATATGAAGATAGGTGGATACTTTACAAAGGTGTTGATTGGTTCTATATTAGAAGAGGGTTATAAACTTCAAAACATCAAGCTAGTTTGGCAACTAAGTGTGCATGGAAGCAGTGCTCATGGAGGATCCATGCCTCACCTCAGCCAGAGAAAGTAAGTTTGTTGAACTAATCATTAGTTTCATAACCTTAATAGACGAGTTTCTTAGATGGAAAAATTCACAATTCCCAAACTCCAATAACAGGTATCATGTAGGCATATGAAACAATATCAAAGCTTAGGAATTACTTTTGGGCAACCTCAAGAGCAACAGTGTATTAAGATTACCATGAAAGCAGCTTGTTAAATCAAAAGTGCAATGAAAAAGGTCGTATATAAAAACTGAAGACACCCTTTCCCAATGGTCCAGGTATACATTTGATTTTGATAGAATATATTAACAGTCGAATTGGAGCTTACAGTAACAGGCCTATACTTACAATCATGGACCATCTCAAGAGGAAGTAGATGAAAGGGTCGTAGAAAGATACTGAAAAGTTCTTAATTGTACTTTAATTGTATCTTAGAACTTCGAAGCAAGATTGATAAGTTCAAGCAAGAAGTGTCGAGGTTGTGTACACTAACAATGAAGGTAGAGAAGAGTATGAAGTTGTGGAGAAAGGCTTATCTTTTGTGGTGAATTTGGCTCACAGTGTGTCTGTCTGTGTGCAGAGAGCAGGCAATCAGCCAAGTTCCCCGCGAGCAAGCAGACGCTTGCAATTCTTACAACAGGGACAACCCAAAGAAGTACTCATCAGTACCTGACCAAATAAGACACAACTCAGGTCCTACAAGGCTACAATGATATGATCCACCCTCAACCTTGAGACCATTTGGTTAGATGTTGATCATGACCCAATTGAGCCTCCCTACTGTAATTAAGTATTCGCTTAGAAGGCCAGAAAAGAATTGGAGGAAGCTGTATAAGAATACCCCTGCTGAGTGAGTATAGCGAAAGGAAAACATAACTCACCAAGAAAAATAGAGAAAAATGAAAAGGTTCTACATGATGATTTCAAATATATATATATATATATATAAAGGCAAAAGAATTGCATACATTCATATTGCCATAGTGTATAGTAATTGTAGTCTCATTCACATTTCACAGTATATCATTGAACAATTATAAAACTAAATATCAACAGCTTCCTACATGAAGTCCAATCCGAACCCAAAATCCTAACTTCTAGGGTCAATAATTAATATTACGCAAATTCTCATCAAGCTATATCTCTAAGTTCCTTCAACAGAAAGGAACTTCTAACAGCAATGAACAATGTAGTTGACAATAATCCCAAATATGAAGCAAAAGCGGCAAAGCCTTCTCATATTTCAACGCAGGTTGTGGCCTATTTTCCAAATATAGAGAGATGATCATATAAATATCTCAACAGTTCAGAATCTTGTCTACAGATGATGATCCCAAAATAACCTTCTAACAGTGTATGCATATTAAAAATTTTGAAAATGAAATATGAGTTTGTCTGCCATTAAATTCAGTCGGTGGACTATGCCAAAGCAATTTCAAAATCAAAATTGAACTTAAGTCCTAAAAAATTGGCAATCATGTTAATGTCATTTATTTTATTAATCAATTTTTATTTTTCTGGGGATAAATAATAGGAAAGCATAAAACGTACAGCTAACATTTCACAGCTTATTAGAAAAACAATAACAAAAGAAAAGTGAAGTCTTTACCTAACAAAACCATGGTTGTCAATATCAGCAGCAAGAAACTGGGAGACAGTCATATCCTGACCAAGCACCCATTTTGCCATCCTCCTATTCCGTTTATCCACCCTTGCCTCGGCCAAGTAAAGAAAGGCCCGAGCAACAGCAAGTGTGGACACAAGCAACCAAATCGATGCAAAAATCCGACCAGGCAAGGACTTAAATGCCCTGTCACCATACCCAACAGTGGTGACCGACATAACCGAAAGATAAAATGAATCCAACCATCCAAGCCTCTCAACAAAATGCATAACAGCCACTCCAACCCCAATACAAAGAACCACAACTCCCAATGCCAACCCCACCTTCATCCGAATCCTCATCCTCCCCTTCTTCACATCAATTATATATGACCTAGGCATATTATTATGGTCTCCCCCAGCTTTCACAGTCCTCAAAAGATAATTCTCTTGCAAATCAAGCACATAACTAACCATCCCAGTAAGTAAAATATCAACAAAACCAAACCCCACCAACACAAACATTATTGAAAACAACTTTGTGGTAGTACTATTTGGAGTAATATCACCATACCCAATTGTACACATTGTCACGATACAAAAATACAAAGCATCAACAACTGGGTGTGTGTTAGTTGCACTAAAATCATCCTGATTAAACCAATATATAATCACACCAAGAGTCAAATAAATTACCAAAAGGACAAAAGACTGACGAACGATTGATGAAGAAGTGAATTGAGGCGGTTTCGGCACTGAAGCGCGGATGACATCGTTGATTGCCGCCATAGCCGGGGCGGTTTTCGACCGGTGGAGGTTGCTTTTGGTCCATGAATAAAAGGGGTCAATCAACCAAGACTGTTGATTTGGTGGGTCAGGGTATGTGGGATTTGAAGAAGAGGTGGAGGATTTGGGGGAATTTAGGGTTGGGCTTAGGAGAGCATCAACGAGTGGAGATGGGTCTTTGGGGGATGATGAGGAGGAGGGTCCAAAGATTAGGCGGTCTTTGAGTTCTGATGGGGTTAGAGGGAGAGGAATAGAGATTTCATCGTTCTCTGGGAGGGGACAGAGTAGTGGCGGTGGTGGTGGTTGTGGCCTTCTGGAGTTGATGATATGTGGAAGAAATGGTTCTTTCTCCATCTGGGTTCGCCGGAAAACTGCTATTCTGTCAGCTGGAATACCAAAACACAGGTGGGTTCGCTGTTATAAAGCGGTTTTGTGATGTGGGTTGGTTTAGGTAGAGAGGATGATGAAATGAACAGAAACGAACTCTTTCAACCATTAAAAAAAAACTAATGGGAAGATGGTAAAACAATGGATGCATGCAATATATAGAGAAAGTTGGAGAGAGAGAGAGAGAGAGAGGTGGGATTAAGCTCTCTGATACTTCGATTGGATCTTAAAATATTTGGGTTTTATTCAAGTTGAGATCTAAGAGTCCGTACCAAAGTAACACAAATCGTTTTCAGCTCAGTTTTGAGTGATAGAGATAGAGATGGTAAATACTGGAGAAGGAACTAAATACTGTAGCACATTCTGTCTCGTTTCGGACAAAGCAGGGACTCCGTACTCCTCCTTTTGAGGTCCCCATTTTTTACCCTATCTTTGCGTTTTATAGGACTGTTATTTTTCTGTAGACTGATTGATTAACCCCGAAAAATAAAAAACATATCAATAAAAAATAAATCATAACGTCAATAAATGAAAATTCGTCTCTAAAGAATAATTGGAGTCTTTTGTGCCAAAAAAAAATTAGTAATCATAAAGTTTGAGGGACTAGTATTATCTTTGTCATGATAGTATTTTTATTTTAAATAAATAAATATTATTTAACGTTAAGTTTTTTATTATACGTGTATAATGTGAATTTTTTTTAAATAAAAAAAAAAGTTAAAAATGTATTTATATTATTTTCAAGATTATTGTATAGAATTGTGTTAAAAATGTTTGAAAGTGTCGGTTTTAAGTGTCAAGAGCCAAAATGTCGGGAAATTATCTAATATAATAAAAAAATATTATTTGCAAATATATATAAAGTGTCAGACGTATCTGAAAATATTAAAAAACACACGTCTTAAAGTATTTAAAGAGTGACATTAACATGGACACAGCACCGGCTCTTTCTTAAAAGTCTGCTTATTTCATAGAGCACCATGGATGAACTATGGATATCACAAAAAGGGCTCGCCCAAGTTGGCAAGGGATACTCATAAGAGCCTTTTGGAGACACCTGCATCTAGTGGCCTATTTGGGTCATGTTATAAGTTTTATTTGTATAAGAGGAATATATATATTTATACTAATAATAACTATATCAAAGAAAAAGCGAAATAAGTGTAATGAAAATATAGGGTTGTACTTATCAGTCTTCAAACGATATATGTCCCACAGTCAACAAACGAAACTAGAAAGTTCTATCGAAATAAATTTTTGTTTTGATAGCCATAGCTAAACTTATTGATGGTGGAGGAATCTCAGTCAATTGAATCCTTGTTTTAGTTCCTCGCATATACTTGTTTACTTTTGTTACAAAATCCGATTTCATTTTTTATTTTTTTTCCTTAGAAACAAATGCATAATAATTTTCGTTGCAAAAGATCACTTAGCGTCAACCTAGACTTCTTCTCAGTCTCTCAAAAATGTAGTTTTGAACACTGAATTTTCAAATTTTACATAAATATTGGACAGCCACAAATGAAAAAAAGAAGAACTTTGGGAAGAGGGTGTATCATCCAACACAGCAGTAGACAGATACTTTTCCCCACCATGAGAAAATCAACTTTTCAGAGCTAAAAGATTCCACCAAGAATGTTTGTGCAGATAAAGGAATGCTCATCTCATGCTTCTTTTTTATTCTTTTTGGTAATCATTGATTGAAATTTCACTTGGATTTTTCCTTGCTGGCAAGTACATGAAAATTGCTTATGAGGTATAAGTACTTATAAGAAACAGCCAAATATATGTGATAACAACACAATTGGCAATAAAATAGAGCCTTTTGTCATAAATTCAATTACCAATAATACAAAGGACTCCTGTGTGGGAACAGAACACAGTTTCTGACTATAAGTGGAAAAACAAAGAAAAAAGTAAAAAACGTGACAAAAAAAAAATTTGTTCACCATCAAATTAGCACGCATGTTCCTACATCTCATTAACCAGCGATAAATACCTAGAATACAACCACGAGGCACAGGGCAGCAGCAAGAACTCAAGTTCTCTTCCGAACGTTATGAATTTATATTATTTCATCTGCAGGAATACCTTGATGTCATAAGATTAGTAGCTTGTTTGCCATATTTGTTGGGACTGCTTAGAAGGTTGGCCTTGAGAGCTACCAAGGGAGCCATCTCTAGGGTTTTGTTGATGATGTTCAAGTGAAATTCCACCCTGAGAATGGTAGAAATTAGGGTACCCAAGAGATCCATTATTCTGTGAAGGCTGCTGACCTTGCCGAAATCCAACTGACTGTTGATTCTGACCCTGAATGTTGTAATATGTGCTGGCTGGAACAGCTGGCATTGTTCTGGAACCAGGTCCATGAACCCACATGGCAGAGTTCTCATTCTGAACAAATCATAGTAAAGAAAGAAAAAGAATTCTTTAATTTCACAAGAGACGACAAAAAAGAAAATGAAGATGAAAGAATTGAGACAGTTCAATGATCCTCAACTTTTTTACCTGTTGAAGAGCGATCAAATGACTGTTGTCCTTGTATCTAGAGCTTAAAACGTCATCATAGCCTATGTTCGTGCCGGCTGGGGCAGCAGGTGGATTCATGGGGAAGTTGCCTGGGATGCTGGTTGAACTCCCAAAGGCACCATAACCAGAAGCAATAGCAGCAGATTGAGGTAAGCTGCTCACGGATACACTATTTTTATACTGCGGAAGTACTGCTGCCAGAGATTGATGGTACGTGTTGTTACCAGCAAATGCTTGCTGGAAAGCAGGTGACATATACGTATAACTCTGCGGAAAGAAAGGATAACTAATCATGTTGGCAAAGGGTCCCAAAGGAAGAGTGGGTTGGGAATATGGATGCACGGCAAGCTGTTGAGGTAGAGCAGGTTCTGTGGCAACACTGCTTCCCGACAGGATATGTGGAGATGGCTGAGTTGAATAGTTCGATGTCTTCAGAGCCTGTATGTGCATAAGAAATAAGCAGAAAATTTAACAAAGGGGAGGGGGAGACTTGGACCTGACACTACTAAGTTTGTAAGTTGATGGAAACGTATTCAACTGCTCTTTTTCCAATTATAAAGACACCACATTCATGTTGCAATTCTCATGTGGTATATAAGCTTAACTTACCAGGTCATAGATGTAGCCCATTAAGTACAAAAATACTATGGTCAAAATTATGTGACCCAAAAAATCCACTCCATTTTCATTTTCTAAAGATGGATTTCAAAGTCCAACAGAAGAAATTGAACAATTTGAAAAATTATATCTCAGAACTGATCATGCATGTGCAAAAATGTGTACAAACAAATTAACTCAATTCAAATGAGTCATAAAACAGAAAGGAATGACTTCTTTTTTCAGACGCCGCATCCAAATCCGGCGTGAATTTTATTCATATTGTTTCCCTCAGGGCTGGAAGTGTGCTGTAGAAATATAGATTCCCAGCAATTCAGGTGGGAGTTGCATGCTTCAGCTACAAGCCTAATGCAGGGCAACTTAGGCTACTTGCCAACCAATGGCAATGGAGGCAACAAATGAGTTGGATACTTAATAAAAGATGTCGCCGCTAAGTGGTCAAACAAAAAACTGACAGTTCAATCTTATGTGGACGATTTTACACTAACATGTAGCAGTAAGACATGGGACAAAATAATGAATTGACACCCTAGTCATCAATTATATGATTGGCCCATATCTATCTGTAGTTGCCTCAAAAAGTATGCACGTCTCATGCAAATAACAATCATTTTATTGTGAACTTCAGTATTGACCAAATGATTTCAAATTCTCCCAATCTAATGTGGAATTATGTACTGACTAATTTGTCTAATAGTAGGATGTCAGATAATGAACTAGGAGGCAAAGTTGCTGCGATGGACGTTATAGTTGTCTTGCTTTCTTTAAGAGCTAACGAAGATAAAAGAATAACTACACTTTTATTCTATTCTTTCTAAATAATAAATATAACATTTAGGGGACAGTCATATCCTAGGGAACATGGACATTTCTCCTAGGGGTGCTGTGTCAGCATCAGACACGTGTCAAACACGGCTAGAAGTGTCCTAGAAGTTGAAAATTTTATTTTCTGGTTGGGCACGGCTGGGACAATGAAAAACACATTTGGGACACGGCGAGGTGGTTTTCTAATGATTTTTCTTAGAAGAATGATGTTCAATGTAAGTTTGAATATATTATGGTCTAATTAGAAAAACAACATAAATTTTTTGAAAATCACTCATGATTATATGGATAAAATGAGCAAATATTATTTTACATATATATAATAATATATTATATTAGTATTTTTTTGACGTACCCTTGCCATAATTTTGTCCTGTTTTTTTGAGATTTGTTGTATCGTTGTGTTGGTATCGTACTATCGTGTCGTACATGTACCCATAGCAGTATCCATGCTTCCTAGGTCATATCAGTGACTTGGAGTTTACAAAGCCTGAACAACTTGACACAAATTCTCAGTGCTGGAGATTGTGAACAATATTTTGTCCGCTTATACTTCTATATTTAATTATTCTGTAAGACTTCTATAATCCCCTACCCTTCCCTTTTTTCAATTTGAATACTGATTAGATTAGTTAAGACAAGGAAAGATGCTTTACAACCAAAAGGTTCCTGGAAAAGAGATAACTAGTGGTATTATTGAGGGAGTAAAAAAAAACAGTGTGGCCTAAGGGTCAACGATCCACAAGCCATTATTTGATTATAATAGATCAATCACCTAAGAGGCAAAGATAGAAGAGGATGTGTCTCATAAATTACCAGCTCAAATATGAATTAAGAACTGCTAAGGAGTCGGTGGATAATGACCACCCACCAACCAAAAGGATAAACTTCAGAAGATGGCCAGTCCTGATTTCATTATATACATAAACAATGGAGACCAAGAAAGAAATATATTTTCATCTTCTAGAAACTTTATACAGGATTTGGTGGTTCAAGAGGCTTCTGTATAGAAAACACAGTGCAGTTATGGCCTCTAAATACAAGGAACAGCCAAAAATTTTAAAAACCATAATTTTCAATCTGCCTTTTGATTTATAGACCTACTAGCAACGATTTTAAAGTAATTCTTGAATCTCTCAGGCTTTCAATCTCCAGAATTTTAAAGCAATCGCCTCAGATCTCATTCTCAAAAATTGGAAGGTTATCTTGCTATTTTCTACTCAAGGATGGCAGACTCCTAATAGTGACTCAACGAAGCTTGATTTTGATAAATGCTCCAAGAACAGTTCAGGCAAAAATTAGAAAGATTTTATGAATTACATGGGCAACTATTTCTTCACTTTCACATCACTTTTTGGGGTCTCTTAACATCCCTAAGGTGTGTGTATACTCACAATTCTGTACACACTATATATCTTATTGTCATGTCAGCTCAATGTCCATGCCCTTTATTAAGATGAGAATAAAATGCTCAAGCTCCTTCTGAGATCTGTTCCAGAGAGATGAGAAGAAAATACAGAAGCATAAACAAATACACAAACACTATGTAAATTCACGTTTGTGCACATAACTCTAGATGCAAAATAGTCATTATATGATATGATCAAAGGATAAGAGGAAAATGAATCTCTGCAAGTCTTCTTCAAATACTTGCATAAGCAAATGTTGTCTTTTATAACTCGGTGGTGCATGTCAAACACCAATGACTGCACCACTAGTAAGGCATCACAAGGACAAGAGATGAAATCTGAAATGTACACTGTCCTGGGCTGTGAGAAAAGAACTCAAGACACAAGATATGTCTTTAGATTGAGCTAAAATGGCAAGAAGGTTTCATGAACCAAACAAATTATTCAGCCATAATTTTAATAAGTAATGCGTAGCTTCTTGCATGGATTTATAAATGGATGTTTTGGAATTAGCATGCACACCATCTTCCTATTTCGATTTTACCATTACAACATTATAATGCATAGACAAAGCCATGTTTCTTCTCTTTTCTCTAATTGGGAAATTGAACAAAGATTTGTCATCAATCTAAGCATAAATTTAAAATTCTAGGAATATTGCAGCAAGTTAATGTAGGTGAGATACCTCAGGCATGGGAATGGTTGAACCACTTATGGAGGACACTGTGTTGCCATATTTTGCGGCTGTCGATTGTGTAATTGGAAATGGTGAGTATGGAAGATCGGACTCTCTTACAGGCTGAACGGTTGCTGCCAACAAAGTACTTGGTAACGAGTTTGTATACGCTTGCTGTCACAAAAACATATGAAGTGAGGATTAACAAAATATTATTTATCTTTTCTTTATTTAGTTAGGGAAAAAAAAAGGATAATAAACAACAGGAGGGCAATCATATAAGACACAGCCAAAGCCGCATAGCAAGATTATAAATGCAGAAACAATAAGAACAAGAGTTATTGTAACATCAGTTATGTAAATATTAAAGTGACCCAAAATTTTAAAGTCAAAAGCACAAAATTTTTATTGAAGGCAACACGAGATGAATCAAGTACAAAAGAAACTAATAATGTCAAATCCCAGTTGGTTAATATAGTGAGTAACTATGCATCTATCCAATTTGCATTTGTGTATTTATGTACGTGTTATAACCAACACTGAACAGTCACACCTTCATATTACAGATCTACACGAGGGCATACATGTAATCTTTGTCAACGGTAGTACATTACACACACACTTGCACAAGATGGGCATGCTAGTTGTTTGCCCCCTATGTCTTTGATGTTTCCTCTAGTCGCCATTCTGAGAGACATCGACCTAGTGGCAAGAGTTCACAACATCTCCAACAATAATAAAAAGTTATGGTAAACCTACCTCCCACCCCTAATTGCTTTCTCCAAAATGCCATAAATATAGACAAAATCATGTTCACAGTCTTCTTCTGACATATCCAAGGTCCAATATGAAATTGGCAAGAAAATTTATAAGCTTGCTGAAAGTAAATGGACCATAGAATAAGTGTCTCCACCTGTTATTGGACAATTTAAATGCTTGTTTAAAGCATGAAAGGTTTTGCTTCAGTTCTAACATGTTCTTTAAACAAATAATAGTCTCCTTAAATAACAATGGCATGCAAGTATGTGCAAATAATTAACATTGCCAAAATTCAAGGCAATACAATGTCTGATTAATTATTACCATTACACTAGAGAAAGGAGCAAGATTCTGCATCTGAGAGATTGACTGCGAATGAGGCAATGCAGTGTTCAACTGTTGAGCATTTTCAAAAGAATAACCAGATGTAGAAGAAGGAAAGGTATAATGATCCCCGTGTGCCACTTCAGGGTCTTCCTGTTTCAACACTTCTGGTTGTGAAGCACCAGTTGAATCAAAACTCCCAGCACTTGTAACAGTTCTATTAACAAAATTTCCATCTGAGACAGTTCTGAGAGGCTCATCCCCGTAGTACTCGGGATTTCTGCAAGAAAAAATATTATGAGACAAACTACAAATAAACCAACAGGTAAAATAAAGTAACTACCACTGCTGAAGAAAACAATACCTGGTTTCCAAGTGCCCAATTGATGAAGCATCTTCATCTGCAGGTTCCTCTTCCAAGTTACTTTTCAAGGGCATGGATGCAAACGGTCCAGAAACAGCAGCATTAATACCAGACCCAAAACTACCAAAGCTCAAATGTGAACAGTCTGCAGTTTGGACTTGCAGGTGACTTGGAATTACAACAGAAGGGTTATCCTCTTCTGGTGGTGAACCCTGATCCTCTTTCTGTATATTTAATTGCTGCAAATTTGCAGTCACTGATGATACTGAGCCACCAACATCTTCAACTGAAAAAAAAAGTGATGGAGAAAACAAATCTAAGTTGCCACCAATATGATGTACCAAATAATAAAATAAAATATAATGAGTCAGTTACTAATAAACAACAGGTAAGCAGAATTTCAAATTGGGAAAATTATTAAATCTTTAACCCAATTTCTCACTCCGTGGAACAAAACATACATTTGTAGAATCATTTCTGAAGGAGTAATGTTGAAATAGGTGAAATGTGATACACAATCAAAGCAGAATCCAGTCACTCATGTACTGGTAGTCTGGACATGTGCTGAACTTATTAATTATTATGCTAAGCCTGGACATGCTACCTACACCAATGTATTATTCTCCTCTTGATTTACTATATGTTTCACATAGACCCTCTAAACTGAACCTGTGTTCGAGATTTGCCATAAAGCCCCAGGTTGCTGTGATTATAAAGTCGTTTCACCAGTGGGTACCCATCTAATGTCAAACAAATGCAACTGAGTAGCCAATTAAAATAATAATAATAATAATAAATAGAGAAAAAGTAGTTGAGAAAATATAATAGTTATAAAAATGAAAGGATGCTGATATCCTGTACTAGGCATGCATAAATATTGTATTAAGCACAATTACCAAATTTCATGAGATAGTATTAAATTATAAATACAGTTTCAAACTGTCGAATGCATATATGAAATTATCTTAATCAACGTATTAAATTTGCATCAAGGTTAGTTGAAACAATAGAAAGAGTTCAACAATGTTTTAGAGTTAAGTAATCCTCAAGATGCTATCACTACAATCAAAATGTAACATTCATTTCAATTATTGTAAATAGCATGCTTTAAAATTAGTATCAAAACGGAACTGCAGGCCAAAGAGAAAATTAAAGCATTTTATTCACCTTCCTGATGCTCAAAAGTATGTCCATGAGGCTGGTAGGAATCCGTCTTCTTATACAAGTCATTGTCAAAATGAGATGCACCTCCAATATTATCCTCCTGCATCTTTCTACCAGACACAGAAGCAGATCCAACATGATTTGCACTAAAATTTTCAACAGCAACATCTTCTGGTGCTGGAACCTTATCTGTTTGGGACTGCAAGTGCCAGTTACTTCTCTCAAAGGGCATGTTAGATTGATTTGCATGCAGCTCAGAATCAGCAAGAGGCTCCACCACAGAGGGAAAAATAGTAGCTGGTGGTTGCTCAACCAAGGGCCACTCATCATTGGGAGAAACATGCTGTCCTGCACCAACTACAGGCTCAAAATTTCTCTCTGACACCTTAGAAGCATGATCTTCAGAAGAATGCAAATCGGGATGTGATGCCTGAACATGGTTGTGATTAACATAGTGATGAGATGGGTATGATGTGTTTGAAGTCTTCACGTGTGGCCTGCCCATCTTAACAATATCAGCCATTGATACTTGACCTGGGACCCCCAACCAGGAAGATTGATATCCAGAAGAAGGCTGTGAAGATGACGAAATACCATCAACTGTGACTGTTGTCGATCCTTTACTTTCGGTGGTAATAGAATCACTGCTATAGATATCATACATGTAAAAGAATAAAATTAGCCTCACGGACAGAAGATAGGCAAACAGGTTTCATCGATAATGATGGACGTAATAATTGTATAAAGAAATCCGTGAATTTTTTATTTTTTATTTTTTATTTTTTACTTCTTAGGGACATAAAGGAACATTTCCAAATTCTAGTCCAGCTACATCAAGATCCTAGGAAGGGAAGACTCGAATCAGACCCTTTAATATTCCACTAAGTGAATGCTCCGACGCTCGAACTCACACCAACAGCACTGATGTTCAAGCCTTAAAAGCCGCTGAAACAAGCAACCAAACCTTTTTCTACACTTCTTCATGTCTTTAGTTATAGGTAGATCATTCCTCGACATATTGAGGTTCTATTTAGGAAGCTTAGACAGCAACAAGACTCAAATTGGGAACAATTACAGGAACAACTCAACATATTGAATGGGAACAAATCAATAGTTTTTACAAGTCAAAACTCCAATTACAGGAGCAGAGATTGCTAATTTGATTGGGCTGAAACTTATTTATCTAGCATGACTTAAATATGTCAACAGAAAATGAAATACCAGTACTACAGAAGCTTTAGAAAATGAAAACTAACTGAATCGTGCCTTTGAAATGTTTAGAACATCATTCAAATTTTAACCTATTTTCCTTTATAGAAGGTCGAGTTTCCACACTACTATGGAATACATTAAGCAGAAGTACCGAACATAGCAAAGGGTGACAAGGTTAGCAGTTCTGACAATAAAATTCACCGGACACTCCGGTCTTACGAGGGATACAGGTGTAAGCCTCTAAGTCAGATTTTGGTTTTGATCAGGGCCATGAATGGGTCTCTAGAAATATAATTTCAGCAAACAAGAAGGTGAAATCTAAAGTGAAGAGATGGTGAAGGATAAAATAAATAAATAAATATATATATATATATATATAGAGAGAGAGAGAGAGAGAGACAGGGAGAGGAAAGTAACCTGCTCCAGAATGGGATCGTTTGAGTCCACATTCAAACCAAAGAAAAGTTCCACACATATTCAATAGCTAAAAAAAAAAGTCAGACTTTCCCAATAGCAGTGTAGGCAGGACATCATTGAGTAGTGACCTTTAAGTTTCCATCCCTCTGCCTAGTGTTTGCCACATTGCTAGTCAGGTTCTAATTGAACTATAGTATATAGCACAACCGAGGAACCTACCGGTATAAACTCGACATCACTATTTAGTTGCCTTTGGTTCCCATCTAACTACCTAATGTTTGCCACTAGTTAGATTTTAATTGAACCAAGTATAAATCAGATCAAAGCACCTTCAGATTCAAGTATATATATTCTCTTGATTTACAACCACAGTAGTCCTCAAGAGAACTAACACTAGCTGGGTCACAGTTAATTCAATCCAAGACAGGGCTTGTAGTTGGTTAGAGTTCATGTACTTTAGTCAGTCCATATTCATAAATCAGTTCACAAGAGACTTGTTCTAAATCAGTATAGTAAGGAATAATGATTGCTAGTATAGGGAACTATCACCTCTACAATGGGCCTCATACAAATGATGTAGAGCTTCATGATGCAAGTTTATAGCATTAAACCAAGTCCTGAATTAACAAATTACAAATACATAAAAGCAGCAGCAATTTGAGGCTCTAACAAAAGTTGATTACCAACCTGAGGCCATGAGCTCTCAAGTTCATGTTATTTCCTTCCATTCCAGATGCCAAAGATGAAGAAATTGGATAAGAATTTATTCCATTTTCCTTCTGGTATGCAGGCTTACCATGCAAAGCAGCGGACTCTGATTATGAAAGTAATAGGTGATATTAATCAAAATCAACAGCAAGTTCCAACAATGCACAATATGAGATCTTGCTAAAACTGCATCTCAACATGCACATACCAGAAACATTAAATTGAGTTAAACCACCACGTCCAGTGTAACGGTCTGTAGCACCCCTATTGCCACGGTTTGAAGTGTTACTAACACCACGAGATCTAGATTCTGTTGTTTCCTTTGTCTGAAACAATAATAAGAAGCATTTTAACAACCACTATGACAGCAAATTAATAGTAGAGTTTCAATAATCCTTACCAAGGTCATTTTCTACACAAAGTAAAAGATAAATTTAAAAATAAGGCACAGACTCCTTATGCGTAGTAAAATATGTAACATAATGGTCAGATATTTTCCAGCATTGAGGCAAAAACAATGAACAACTACTTTAATATGGAAAAAGAAAATGACTAGTTAATACACATGTACATTAATAAGCAACAAACATGGGATAAAGGCAAGGATGATGTTGATGATGACTGACAAAAGCAAGATATCTTAAGCCACTGCAATGTCAAAGCAGAAACATCGAAACCAACACTAAAAAGAGAGTTAAATATTGACAAATGCAAAATATAAATCCTATGCACTTTCCAGATCCACGCACCTCTTTTTTCTTTTCTCGTTTGCTCTTCACCTCATGAAAAGGATCTAAACAAATGATAAACTTCAAATTAGAGATGAGTTTGAATATTAAGAATATAATAGTGATTCCGGCTTTATAATTTCCCTTGGTGGGGAACTTCTTGAGATACAAAAATTAGCATTAGATACCGGGGCTGACAGCCGTGACAATATAGAAAGAATGTCAATGCAACTAACCTTAAATTAATAAGGGAAAATGAGAGGAAATGAGAAACACAAATAATTGTTAGATCAGTATAATCTAAGTTGAACGTAATAACTAGAAGGCTAGTAGCCTGCCATTAAGTAGTTTTTATTAATAGATCGCAGATTAGCATCCAGCCATGAACAAAGTTGAAGCAAAAGATATAAGAATATAAAGATGCTACAGTATGTGAGGCGTTTCCCGTATTGACCATCACCAACACTCATATTCACATGTTTCAAACCACCTTCAAAATAAATACACTTCATGTTCAAACTTCAAAAAACATAAATAGCACGCTATTTCAATATGGGACCAGCAAACTATACAAATGCTTCTAATTTTCTACAATTGTGCCAAATCAAATTTTGATGTTTTATAACCCATTGCTCGGTGCAACAGTAAAACCTCTTGCTGACAAATCTAAAGATACGAATTTAAGTCTAAGAGCGGCCACTTGTGCAGAAATAATGCCAAAGTTAAGATCTGCCCCCAGCCTTCCCCTCCCAATGCCCCATGCAAGATGCACCAACACTAGATGGCAGCCTTCATCTGCATTATATAGTGACTGGCTTCTTCATCATTCTATTTTTCCTATTACGATAAGCATGAAGGCAAATAATACATTTGATATAAGAGAGTGATCCTGAGCACTTCCAAAATCCATATGTTACACTATTCCTTTTGGCCAAACACATTTCATACTCTTTATGCGGATAGAAAGTTTTTACTTTGTATCAATGCAAACACAAAGATAGTTACACTAACTAAGATTAGTAAAAGAATCAGGAACTCAGGAAAGAAAAATGGAAGATAGATTCCTACCATTTCTAATGTTCGAATTCTTGTCATATTAATTAATTGCTTCAAAAAAAAATTGACTCACTTGGTTTAAGCGTGTGCTCCACCAACAATATCAGGGCAACCAATTTACTTACAAAGTTACAAGCATAGGGATCAGGGTGATTTGTTGCCCATGAGCTAGGTTATAGCACTAATAAAATGCATTATGTTGAAGGCATATTTTATTAGGTAAAGATAGTCAACATGCATCATGCATGCCACATAGGCACGGATCTACATAATAATCAGTGGGGGCAATTGCCCCCCACTGAAAATTTTTTTTTTTTTAGTAATACACCCTTGCTAATTTGTTCTTTTTCTTATATACCCATAAAATCTCATTATTGCCTCCCCCCCCCAAAACATAATTTTCTGGGTCTGTCCCAGATGCCACATATTAAACTATGTTACATGGACTCTTCAAAAAAATCAAAAAGTACCCGTGTCAGACACATATTGCTCGGACAAGGGTATAGGATATGTGTCCGACACTTTTGGGTGGACATGAAGTTAAAAACCATATCCAGTCATTCAATTATATTATATTATTAATTTAAAATGAGTTAAATGCCTATATTGAACACTACATTGGAGAAAAACAATACATTACTCTAGAAAATAAAATAAAATAAATATTTAGCAGTGTCCATGTGTCCTTCTACTTAGAAACTTGACACGTCCGACGCATGGATACATACCCGTGTCCGACACACATACCCAAGTTTAGGTAACATAGATCTTAAAAAAAAGGATTGCTAGAGATTGTCAGTATAGCCCAATGGCTATCTATAATCTCAACAATTGAAAGGTAGACAGAAGACATGAAATACTTACTTGGAACAAAATAATCATTCTATCTAGCAACAACACAAATGTCATAAGATTATTTTAGCTATTTGAAGTTTCAAAAGTACTTCCAACATTTAAGAGTAAATTCCCTTCAATATTGAAGACACAATACAAATCACAATGTCCAACAAACCAAACCTGGCACTACTTTTAGGCTAATTACATTCAAAGATCTTGAGAATATGTGCACGCTTGGCATTGTGTTGTAATAAGCACTTTTTTATTTAGAACTATTAAAAAGAGCTCTCAAAAAAATTAGATAGTGTTTAACAACGTGGTAAAGCACTTTTCATAGAATTCTTTTTCCATAAATACTCATTTATTGATTTTTACCTCTACTTGCAAAAAGATCCAAATTTTTGCCTAAAAGCTCTGCTGGGCCAAAATCTTTACCACTCAGAAGTACTTGGTTTAGCTACCAAAAACAGTTAAAAATTAATTTTCAAAATAAAAGTGTTTGAGCCAAACATTAATAAGCACTTGCCCTTTTGTTGAATGTAGTATTGAGCAGACAAGGCATGCCTTCTAAGCATATTAAACTTAGACAATGACAGATGAAAAGAAATACACTGGAGAATATGCAGGCATAGATATATATACTTAGATGCATATTCGTGCATGGAAGATAGAGGGACAAAATTATGTAATAAATACCAAACCCTTCACAAATAGTTATATAAAATGTATAAAGTAACATTTTTCAGGATAAGTTAATTCAAAATGCAAATAAAGAATTACAGGCCTTTGTTGCTCAGAAATTGGCGGGTGGGAAGTAAACACAGTCTAAAAGCTAATTTGTTACAGTTTGTCAATTAAAAATAAGGGGAAAAAATCTTAATAAGCTTAATCCCAAAACATAAAAGCACACAACATTAAACCTGAGGTTCACAATTTTAAGTTTTTTAATATTCAGCACCCTACAAAAATTCTACTAAAACATTATTATTAAAAAAAATAATAATAATCTAATTAACTAAAAGATTTTTTTATGAAAATTAACTTAAAGGGTAGTTTCTTGAGGTTATATGAGGTAGAAACTGTGTAAATTGCTGAAAATGGAGTGGGAGAAATATCAACTTCCACGTATGGTTGACTCTTGATTTTCAGCCTTCATTTTCCGGAAGGTAAAAAAAGCGTTTGACATAAGATTCAAGACTACATTTCCTTTTCTTCTCCCAGATTTCTCAGCAGCCAAACACTACTTTCTTCAAAATCAGAGCCAGAAAAAATCCGGAAACGAAAATATATGTAGAGTAGAAAGAGAGCAAAGAGGGAAATGGAGAGATAGAAAGAGGTAGATATATATATATGAGGGCTAAACCTTGAGAGAGAAGCCTGTTAACGGTCTCGTTAGGGTCCATATTGCATTCTTTGAGCATAGCGTAGATCTCTTGTTCGGGACAGTTTACAATCTCCTTCAAGCTCTGAACCATCTTTCTTGACGACGACGGAATCGATTGTAAGCCGCCGCCATTGTTGCGGATTCCTCCTTTGCTACTCATACTCTCTCTCTCCTCACTCTCTCTCTCTCTCTAGAATCTCAGATCTAAAGAACGACTGCCCCTCTCTCTCTGTCTCTCTCGGTGACTATTTCTTCTCTGAGTACTCTGCTATGGAATCCGCCGCGACGAGAAGATATCTGAACTCTCTCTCTCTCTCTCTCTCTCTCTCTCTCTCCTCTTTCCTCGCGAAAACCCTCTCTCTCTCTCTCTCTCTAAAAACTGTGTGTGTAATTTTTTATTATTTTTAGATATTGGGAGTAACAAATGATAATTAGGCTATTTTTTCACTTTTACGATTTGAATTTAAACATTTGGAATGTCTTTGCTCTTTATGTTATTATCATTGCAAAATTGAATCACAGAAAATAATTACTATCAGCTAACGTGTCAGTGGAAGACTGGAAGGTGCCCGGAAATGAACCGTGGGTGCTTCCAAGTACGACTTTATCTTTGAAAATAAATGTTAATGAAAACATATATGGATTATAATTTTAAATGGTTATTTTATATAATATTATGAAATATTATTGTTTTTTTATTATTTTGAATATTTAATAATCAATAATTTTTTTTCCAAAAAAGTATTGATCTGTATTTTTTTTAGAGCATGGCCCCACAATACAGACCCCATTTAAATTAGGAGCACAGTTCAAAAGCGAAATCCCAATAATTTACTTCTCGGATCCTACAACGCGACTATGTTCTTGAAGATAAAAGTTTATTTATTTATTTATGTAAAATTTTGATCTTTTCATAGATCATTTTTTATTAAATCGATATTAATTCATTAATCCTAATTATATGGACACATTTCTATGGTTTGCAAAAATAATTTGACCTCCAACATAACTTTTTTCTTTTTTACCAAAATACCCTCAATAATTATTTTAAATTACAGCAATGTCTTTTTTTTTTTGTTACTGATGAGGTGATTAAACAATTAGGGTTTGGAGGCAAATTTGGGAGAGGAAAACACGCCTTCCTCTGTTCATCCTTTCTACACGTACATAATTAAATTTAGGATAAATTATACTCATCTCTCTTAAAATTTGAGCATCTTGCATATAAAATATAACTGACTTTTCACATAATTATACATATGTGTGTGTGTGTGAATAAATAAGAGTGGCATCTATCAGCATGTAGTGGTAGCGGTGGCAAACCGGCAATGTTAGGAAAACATTAAATTGACCAGCAAACGGAACTTTTTGATTTTTTTTTTTTTTTTTTCTCTTTCCAATTACATTTGCTAAATTGTAATATCACAGTACATTTCGTTAGAATGGAATATTGGCTTTGATAAGGATATGGCAATGCGACACTTTAGGGCGGGGAATGCCACCACCATCCCTATCTCCGTTTATATTATCTACCTCAATTCTTACTCTAAAATTATTTATTAAACGGGGCGGGGTGAAGTGAGACGGGCTGATTTTGTAGACTATTTTTGTAATTGTAATATGAATATAATGAAAATAAATAATAAAACAAATTTGTAACTATGATAATAATATGTTTTTCTTTTATGCGTATATAAACAAGATTCAACTTCTCAATTGAAACTTAAGACTAAAATTATTGTTGAAACATCAAAATAATATATAGAAGTTCTCAAATAAGAATAATATAAAACAATATTTAGTCATTGGAATATAATAAATTAGGATTTGCTTAATATATTCTTAATATTACTTAATATATAATTAAACATAATGACAAAATTATAATTTATCATTATAAACGAAATGAGGGCAAGGCGGGTGACCTTTCTACATTCCTGCACTATGACCATAGGGGTTTTCAATCCAAGCCCGCATCGATATCCCTACCCCATAACCGTTCTAAACCGGGCGGAGTGGGGGCAAGGTCAATCGTGAGATTCTTAAAATTTTGAAAGACTCGTGGTGAACTTTCAAAAGTAAAGTTTTTATGTAAGATTTCATCAGCACAAAAAAAAAAATTTTGAGTGCGAAATTTTCATTAAAATGAGATGACAAGGCGACTTGAAATATTTTGGGGCCTTAGACGAAAAATAAAAAATATACTTTTAATAATATATTATTATTAAATCATATTTGTTTAAATATCACCCTTATTATTTTGTGAATTGCAAAATTAATAATTAGATTCTTGTATTTAAGTTCGGTTAAAATATATAACTATATGTATATATACAAATTTATAATAACAAAAGTTAATAAAACAAAAAAAATAGTTAAACTTATTTAGAAAACTCCTACAAATTATTCAATAGAATCAAAATGGGTTCAAATTGAAAGTAATGGATATTGAGTGGATAAGAAAGAGAACCATAAACTTGTAATAAGAGATGAGGGAAACAACTTGTTGGGAGAGGAAATAAAGTATGTGAGGAATAAGAAGAAAAACAAATTAACAAAAGATAAAAGCTAGTAAAAATAAAAATTAGTGTTGTTGTAAAAAAATACAAATGAGATAGAAAAAAAATAAATAAAAATAAGTTATTTAAGAACATAAATCTTTGGGATCAATATTAAGATTCGACGAGGAGAGAGTGGTAGAGACAGATAGGAAAAAAGAAAAAGAAAAAAAAGAAAAAAAAAAGAAGAAGTTATTTAAGGATATAAAATTTTGGAGCCCAATATTTATGTATTGATTAAAAAGGGAGGTCCGTAAAATAAAGTTTGCTTTATAGGGGAGGTCAAAGTAATTTTTGAAACCATAAGAGAGATTCGTATAATTGTGACAAACCTCAAGGGAGCTCTATGTAATTTATCCTAATTAATTTATATGAAGTATTAAAATCCAATGTTATCAAGTTTGGAAAATGTTGCTAGATTTGTGAAAATTGACCAAAAAAATCAGGTTTGTTAGTAGATAAATTCACAATTAAACAAAAATTTATATAGGATTCCAATAGAAGATGAAATATAAACTCTGGGGTTTATTTATTTATTTTGTTTTTTTTTTTTTACTAGCAAAATATGGAGTTTTTGTTCATAAACTATGGAGTTCACATTGCAAAGATAAATTATTAAGTAGTCAGGAACATATAATCGGGACAAATCAAGACATGGAATTAAATGGGTCAGGTATATAGTTGCATGATTTGTTGGGAGTGGTTGGGCCATACGAGATACTTAATAAATTGTAGCAAAACAGAGAGGTAAAACAGAAGAAGAAGGAAGATTCGAAACTAAAACAAGCAACAGCAAAGTGGATGATGAATGATAAAATTTTGTTTACTCAGGGCTGGTTTGGCAACAGTTGGTGTTTTGCATTTCCATTTTCATTGGAATCATAAACAACACATTTGTTGTGACATGCTTTGTAAAATTTATAGAAAGATTTTCAAAAACAAAAATATAAAAATATGTTTGGTAATATCAAAGTGTTGGGTGACAAAATGAATAATAACTTAAAAACTCAACTACAGTGCATGTGCAGTGCATGTGCTTGTCCGAGCCCAGATAATTAAATGAAACGATAATTATTCCTAATAAAATATAATTATATAATTATCTTTAAGGATAATTATTACAATATAACCGGCTCGGCCTAGTTATAGTTTTATCCTTTTCAGGAGATGACACGTGTCATCCTATTAATCCAAAAAGCCTATAAATAGAGGCCTGGAGGAAGAAAAAGGGAGAGGATTCAGAATTCAGAAGTCTACAAATTCAGACACAAATTCAGAAGTTCAGAGACTCAGAAATCCATAAACTCAGAATTCAGAATCGAAACCCAAACAGTGATTCAAGAACAAGCTCGTGCAGCCCTTGGATCCAACCAACCAAAAACAAGGAGATCGAATCAGAGGAGCATTCGTTTTTTGTAAAAGATATTACAAAGGACTGTACTCCACATTCATAAATTAATAAAATTTCATTTTGTTCCCTATTTTGTTTCTATTGCAGACTTACAAAATTTGTGTGTACAGTGCTATATTGCAAAAACATTAGTATATATTTTTTATTTGATCCTCTTTTTCACAATAAATTGGATATTATTCAAACGGTAATAACCGATTATCAATTAAATAAGTAATAAAAAAAAACTCTAGAGCTTACTTTGCTACAGTATACACCAAACAGGAAAAGAAAAGAAAAAAAACAAAAAAAACTTACCAAACAAGACCTCAGCAAGTGGTGTCAAAGCTGCATGGGAGACGAGTGCGCACTTTGATAAATAAATAAAATTTGATGTTTATCCTGTGAATTTTATATAGTATTGCATTATCGGTCTTTGGACGTATGCTGTGCACAAAGTGGATGACCTACTCGGCTACTCAACACTTTTATTTTATTTTATTTCATATTTATTATTATTATTTTTTACTCAACAGATTGAGGGCACTTGTCCATTTAAGAGTACCTATCTTTAAATGGGCTGACCTACTGAACTCCAAAAAGACCGGCCCAGGATATCATAAGTTGGGCTGAAATATTAGCATTTTCTATCTTTTTTTTTTGTTTTTTTGTTTTTTTTTTTTGTAATTATAGGAGAGAACAACTGTCAATTCTCTCACAGCAGTAATTATTATAGGAGATACTAATTTATACATTTTTAGAATTATGAAGTAGCCAATGCCTTAATCACATATACAATAAACATTTTTGTAACTTGGATAATATATATATCTCATAAATACTCGTTACACTTTTTTTTCTTAATATTCTTTTTAACTAAGTTTTTTACTTAAATGTTCGTACCTCCACGCAATTGGTTGAGAATTTCATTTTCCAAAAACAATTATATTATTAAGTATATTAGTAAATATTATTCTATGTGATTGAGCTTGTGATTCTACATATATTTTGATTTTAATTAATAATATATTTCAAAATATATGAATTATTATGTATTGTGATTCCACATATATTTTGATATTAATTAATAATATATTCCAAAATATATGAATTATTATGTAATCTGAAATACTAAATTTCATTGTGGAACAAAAATAGTTTATGTAAGATTTATTATTTTTTCAAATTTGTTAATATTATGGAATTTAAAACTAAAGTTGTTAGATAGTGTATTAGTATTTCATACCTACTCATTTATACATCTTCTCATCCAATTCGATGTGTGACAAATTTTGTTTGTAATATTTTCCGCAACCCGTCGTTGACACCGAATTAACGCTTTACCCACCCATTTATACACCTTTCAATTCTCATTGAATTGGGACAAGTCCACTTACATAACACTAACCGTTTATCGGGCCTCATTTGATCCATTGAAGGTTACAACCACCAAAGGAATACATCATGACATTACTAAAAATGTACACAAAACAATTGCAATTAAGGACATACAAGAGTTGATATTTGTAATGTAATGGAAAACTTATAAATATTTGATCAGATCACTCCACTTTTGGTAAAACTCTACAACCATTACCATCGTGATTCTTGTCAATGTTGTCATTTACTGTTTGTTAAAATTGTTCTGGTTTCAAATGTACAACTCATACAAGTTTGACGGTTACATAGAATAATTTATTCTAGCCAAGCAATATGTATGTATGTTAGAAATAAATAAACAAAAAAAAAATGTTAGAAATAAATAAAATATTATATTGTATTATATTAAATTGAATACCTAAGGTCTCACACACACACACACACAGGATAAGATTTATGGCAGGTAATTAAGTCATCTATATATATGGTAACTAGATAGGTGAAGGTATAAAAGATAATTAGGTAGGGGTGTATGCGTAAATATATAAACCCTAATTTGTAAGTACATGATATTATAATACTTTTATAATCTAACAACGTGCTGAAAGGTTGAAACAACACCTCTCGATTTTTATTATTTTGAATGATTGATTATATATTAATTGCTAATTAACAAAAAATAAATGATGAATTATGATTGTGACCTCCGGATTAGAGGATTTTACTAATTGAGCTATATGATCTTGAAATATTTGCAAACTCTTTAAGATTGACAAACCATGGAGAGGGATGGGGATGTTGCGAAAATTAACACAAAATAGATCAAACACAAAAGTGAACACAAATATTAGGGGGTTTGCTCAGAAATTAGGACTAAGTCTACACAGGTTGCAAAGATTTCACTTAATGAATTCTCTCTCTCCAGCTTTAGCTTTTGATTTAGTCCCATGAAACAGTAGAAAGAGAAGCACAAAAGAGAAAGGAAAATACCACATGACGGTTACACTAACTACAAGTTTGTAACTTAAACTAGCAAAAATATTATATGAAAAATGATTCTTGCACCGAATAGTTGAAGTGAATTGTTAGACCTACTATTTTAGTTAGTTAATTATTCAACAAATAAGAAAGGAGAATACTCCATTTAATTATAGTTAGTATAAATAGCCAATTAAAAATTATTCCATTAAGCAATTCAGTGCAAGTTTTAGGTGTAAGTATCACACTACTCATATTATAATCAAATTCCATATATGTCATATCAATCCCTCTTTTCTCTTTTGTTCCTCTTCCACTTTTTTTTTCCTTCCTAGTTTGGCACCTCTTCTTGCTTGCAGTTTCCAACTACCCAATGCCTCAATTTTCAAGTTTTCTTATATTCCCTCCCCTATTCCTTCTCTCTTTAATCCAAGAAAGGTTTGATTCTTCGAACTTCGTATATATATATATATACTAAGCGAACGTAACCAAGACAATTTCTCTTTTGCAGCTTCATCGTTGGTGTTTGGCTTGCTCGAAAAATATCCATATGTCCTCTCATAGATCCAAGCAAAGTAGATAATCCAGAACCAGCTTGTAAAAGTAGTTAAGAGAGATGGGTGCTAGAGTTTTTCAATGTTCCATTTTATTCATATTTAGTCTTTTTTGCATTTCAGGTGATTTTCAATTCCTCCAAATTCTTCCTCTTGAATTGCTTCCAAACACATTCTTCTTTTATTCTAAGCATTCATTTGCTTTGATTCTCACTTCTCAGATTGAACAATTAAAGAATCCAAACTACTCAAAGCCAAAAGATGAATTTCAGTATTGGATTTTTCACTTGATGCATATGAAATCAGATGGAAATGTTTTCTTCCAATGTGTCCATATATTTTATATATATATTTTTTGGTAAGGCCAATGTGTCAATGTTGAAAAAAATGATAATCTTGAAACTAGCAATCCAAACTAGCTCGGTAATGTAATGTGTTTTGATTATTGCAGAGAAAATAAAAGGATGAGAAAAAAATAACTATCCTTTTTTTGCTTTCTTCAGATTCAGGCATTGCCGAGAAATCTCCTCCAGAAGCAATCCTGCAAAACCAAAAACTGGACCATCAAGAAAACCAAACACTCTTCACATATTTAAATTTGACAACCCAAATTGATGACACTATTCCAATTATCATCCCAACACCACCAACTACAACAACTCCAACCATAGCAACAAGCCCACCACCACCAATGTCCACAACTCCGACAACAACCACCCCTGCAACAAACACCCCTGCCTCATCGGGTGGGGCTTGGTGCATTGCAAGCCCAACAGCTTCGCCAACCGGTTTACAGGTAGCTCTTGACTATGCCTGTGGCTATGGAGGTGCAGATTGTTCAGCAATTCAACCGGCTGGGAGCTGTTATAACCCAAACACGGTTCGTGACCATGCTTCATATGCCTTCAATGACTACTACCAGAAAAACCCAATTCCCACTAGCTGTGTTTTTGGAGGAGTGGCACAGCTTACCTACACTGACCCGAGTAAGATGTGTCCACAAGACTCACTTTTGTCAGTAATTCTTACAATATATATAGATGTAAGTACATGTTTTTAACTTCCAATCTTCTTTGGAATTATTGCAGGTACAGGAAACTGTCACTATGCAACACCCATTGTATCATCTAGGTAATTAAATTCTTCAAACCGCTTTGAATTTCAATTTTATTGCAAGAAATGAAAGCAAATGAAAAACAAATGTGTGTTTATTTTACAGCACAAGTTCATCAAACAGTCCTCCCACCCCAATTTCATCAGCATATCCAGGCACCCCAAGTGAACCAACAGATTATGGTTCAACTGAACCAACGGGGAGCCCAAACTCAGCAGACTCCGCAATGCACAACTTAATGCTGCTTTTCGCGGCAACCTGTCTCTCAGTTTTTGCAGCAAATTCTCTCTAAATTGATGGGAGCAGGGTCCATTTTTCTCTCTCGGCTCGATCACCAACACACATTGCAGTGTTTAAGCGAGCACTGAGAATTAGAAGCAAGATATGTGTAGGTTTCAAGCCCTCATTTTCACCATGACATCATTTCTATGTTTCATCTGTTTAAGTTCAACCAAGAAGAGCTAGTGGATAGTGAAGAAGAGCAAAACAATCAAGTTGTTTTTTTTTGTAGCCTACTCTTTTTGCAGTAAACAAAATAATTTTTTTGGACATGTAATATAGCTAACTACTAACTCAAATGACCACAAGGGCAATAAACTAAAACTATTCCATCCAACATAAGACATTAAACACATCTAACGATTCTATAGACATACACACATATATATTGTTTCTATTACTTCAATAAGGATCAGGGGATGCTAAATGGTTGGACAAGGGACAATGATGAGGATGGTTATCTGTACACGAGACCTTGACTATGGAGTGGCTTTATGAGATGTCATTTGATCAGGCAACGCAACCCAAAAAAAAACAAAAAAATGATAAAAAAAAATGATTAATAAATTCAATGACCTATAATTGAGTGACATGGTGACATCTCTCCAACTCTCAAAAGGAAATATTGATGGTTTGAGTTCTCTCTCTAATAACAAAATGGGTGTTTGAGTTACTTGTCAAAAATGATTGTTCCAACTATTTGTCAGGAAAAATAAAAAATGAATGAGTTTGCTATGGTAAAAAGTTTTTTTTTTTTTTTTTGAAAGGTCACACACACACACACACTTGCTTTCCTGTTTGGTTGCAGGGATTAAGAATATAGTCCAACAGTTTGTTCATTCCACAATCAAATATCAAATATGTGGCTTAATTTCTACCAAATCACATAATTTGTCAAAGACTTCAATCTAATAATATAAAGATACACCCCTGCAAAAGGAATGGAAAGTCAGGTTATTTTAAACATTTATAAAAATGTAAATAATTTCTTTTAGTTTATATAAATGAATTGATAAAATAATTATTAGAGAGTGAAAATCACTATCCACTTTTGTGCTTTTGTATTTCATTTGTTAATAAATGAAATGAGAAGAGTAACTAAGTATCTTTTAAGGTAATTTTGGAGTGTTTTTATTTATTTTATACAAGACAAGGAGTGTTAGAAGTTAGATTAGTAGATGTAGAGTCTCGAAGAAAGCTCATCGAAGGCACTCACTGCAGTGACGGACCAAAAAATTTTGTGAGAGGGGCTACCTTTTAATTTGTGGGGAAAACTTACTATTTTTGTAATTTTAATGAAGTTTTCTTTATAAATTTAAAGTATAAAATAAAAAAAAAATAAAATTGCATGTACCGATTGAAGTCTTTTGAGAAATGAAAATGGAAGAATAAGAATGAATGCTTTCTCGGCAGGAGGGAAAAACTCAAGAATTCGCTCTATAACATAACTTAACTGAAGTTTCTTCATAACGCTCATTCGAGCCAAATCAAACGTATACGGAACAACCATAAAACAAATTTTTTTGTCCACAAAAACAGTCTTTTATGCGTATGGAAATTCACTCAACTAAGGCAAATTGTAATTTTAGTGAGGATATCTTCATAAACTTGATTGGTCTAGAGTAATAAGAATTTGAGTAATATACGGAGAACAAAATGCTTTTGAGAAAATTGACTGCACGAGAGTAGTGTCAATTATTGCAGGAAGAAGAGAATCAATTTATTTTTATTTATCCTAGTTAGTAATTATTCCTTTTCTTTTCCTAAAGGTATTTTAGTAATTTTACATGAAAAGAGTAGTAATTAGAACAGGCTGAGCCGGACCGACCCGTGAGTCTCCGTTTCACCCGGACCCCAGTAAAGCTATCACCGGGTAATCTCCTTTTTCTGTCTCTCTGAGTAACTCTAACCCTAACCTACTTTATCTCTTCCATTTTCCAGCTACCCTCGGTTTACTCTCTGTATGTAGATATATACTTATATGATAGACATTTGTATATGACAGCAAAGTTGAACTGTTTTGTTTAGTGATGGAAGTGCAAGTTTCTAATGCTTCAACGGGCTTTCCGGCCATAGAAGGAGGGTCTCAAGGTGAACTCAATCGCTCAATTCCTGTGACTCTCCCTTTCCATTCCAATAGTTCGAAATTGAATGCATGAAATTCAAAAATGAGAACAAGAAAAAACTTTGGTTTTGATCTAGTTGTTGTTGGTAACAAAAGTATGTATGGGCTATTTATAGGAAAATAAATAATAGTTATTTCCATGTTCTGTAATCTTGCTCTTTTCTGGGGTGCAAGAAAGCTGAGTGAGTCTTGAATTGTTCAATTTTAGCTTGGTTGAACTTGGGACCATTTTGGGTCAACCAAGCTTGTACTATTGGCATTTCTCTTGATCAATTCATGGAAACTTTGAGCTTTATTATCTGTCAAATTCCCAAAATTTGCCATGAGTGAAGCTATTTTCTTGTAAATTGTTTTATTTTATATCCTTACAAAGTGAATCTGCAAGTACTGCTTAATTAAGTAGCATATATTTGTTGTTTATTTTTCTGGCAGTTGATTTTCACGAACGACTTCGTGAAGTGATTGCTGGAGGCTCATTAGACTTTGATTCTTGGACTTCACTTATTTCAGAAGTTGAAAAAACTTATCCAGTAAGTTTTCGATTCCGTATGTCATATGTTATCCTAGAATTTTTCCATTGTAACTTTTGGTGATATGATTGCAGTCATCCGTCAATTTCACTTACTATTCTTGTCATTCTGAATGATGTGTATTAAGAGTCTATTAATGTCAGCAGAGATGTGGTAGGCATGAATTATGAAATGACCTACCATATTAGCAGAGATTTGATAGCCACAAGTCATGGGGTTTGACTTTATTTATGCACATGTCTAGTATGTTGTGATTTAATTTAATTTCCTTTCTTGTAATATTATAATATGGTGTTTTTATCTATAACTCCTAGAGTTGTCAATGTGTGTTATATCTCATTCAGGCCTTTTACACATTTATTTTCTCTTTCTTCTATATTGTATTTCTTCTTGGTATCAGAGCCACCCTGGGTCTGACAACAATGAGGGCACTCCAAGTTTGGCACCACCCATTCGAGAATGATCTAAGGAGAGGTGTCGAGTAGGCAGAGTGGTCCGACCTCAATGAGAGCATTACAAGTTCGGCACCACCCATTTGGAAATGGTTTTTGGGAACATGGTTGCTTTTTTATGGTATGAGGAGACATTGTTAATTATTTCATCTACATTGTTTAATATATTTATGGAGGGGAATGGTCTGAGGAGACATTGTTCATTCTTCTATCTACATATTTTAAACATACGCATGAAGGGAAATGGTCTGAGGAGATATTGTTGGTTGTTTATGGTCTGAGGAGATGTTGGTTGTTTATGGTCTGAGGAGACATGGTTGATTGTTTATGGTCTGAGGAGACATGGTTGATTGTTTATGGTCTGAGGAGACATTTTTGATTTTGTACTTCTTAGACATTCTTACAAAGGACGTCAGCAAAATTATGTTTGAGGATGTATTGTCCAAGTTGGACGTCTCAGATATCCACGCACCAACTTGAGGGGGATTGTTAGTAGATATGTGGTAGACACGAATCATGGAACGACCTACCATATTAACAGAGATTTGATAGCCACAAATTGTGGAGTTTGACTTTATTTATGCATATGTCTAGCCATAGAATACGCTGTGGTTTGATTTAATTTCTTTTCTTACGAGCATGTGCTCTTTTTATTTATAAATACTAGAGTTGTGAATGAGTGTTATATCTCATTCAGGCCTTCTACACATTTCTCTTCTGTTTCTTCTATGCTGCATTTATTCTATTAATGTATGAGAACTAATTTTTTTTTGTTTTTGCATTAACATGATTTAAATAATTAGCCATATATAATTAACTGTTGGACAAGATAAGGATGCAAAGAAATGGTTGTGGTCATATCACCAACGACCAACTGAACTTTTATTTTGGTGCACAAGAAGTTATCAAGGCTTCAAGCATGTAGTTGAAACCTGGGCTGTTGTACAAGCTACTATGGATTTCAACAGCCGAGGGAGCTAGAATTTTCAAGAGGCACTTCATTATGTGGAGCTGTCCGAGGAATATATTTAAAGGAAATGAAAATGATAGAATTAGAAATGAACGCACTTGTGAGCGGAGTAACAAAAAATGATTCATGTAGTCGACCCCAAGTAGCTAGAAAAAAGGAAATAAAAATTCATGTTAAGACAAGGATAATTCATGTTAGAGCTGAGTATTTAATGTTAAGTTAAGGATAGGTCAACTTGAGGAATCAGGATGGTGTTTGTTGCAAAGGAAAAAAATAGTATCTGTTAAGTTCTCTTATATTAAGAAGAATGAAGATAAACTAAATATACTTAGGGTTATATTCATATGTAAATTTTGGGGTTATAAACCTTATAATTATAATAATAATAATTATTTTTATTTTTGTTGTAGTTACTAGATTGCTTGATAAATTCAATTAGAAATTTTTCTCACAACTATTATTATCACAAGCCCATGGGGTTACATGCAGGTCACTTTATGCTGACAGACCTCAAAGAAATCAAATGAAATTATGTGGGATAGGAGATGGTTGGCTAAGATGGATGTTTGTAGAGGGAGATTTTCTCTGTCTTGTGCTTTTGTGATGAAGGAGGATGGTTTCTCTTGGGGGTTCTCTGGGGTGTATGGGCCGGTTGACGATGATATGAGGGATGTTTTGTGGGAGGAGTTGAGTGGGGTGAAGGGGAGGTGGTCTCTTCCTTGGTGTGTGGCAGGAGATTTTAATGTGGTTAGATCCCCGGCGGAGAGATCTACAGATGGTCCGTGGACTCAGGCCATGATGCACTTTTCTGATTTTATTGATGGTCACCAGCTTATCGATCTCCCTCTTGAGGAAGCTTCTTTCACTTGGTCCAGTGGAAGGGAAGCTCCAACTTTTTCTCGCCTTGATAGATTTTTGATTTCCGGTGAATAGGAGGAGAAGTTCCCGGATGTTGTTCAGGCTGTTTTGGCTAGGGTGACGTCGGATCACATTCCCTTAGTTTTGGACTGTGGAGGTTTGAGATCTCGCAGCACTCCTTTTAGATTCGAGAACATGTGGCTTCGTGCGGATAATTTCCAGGAATCTGTGCATTCTTGGTGGGAGGAGGACCTGGTGGTGGGTACCTCGAGCCATATTCTTGTAGGAAAGCTTCGACTCCTGAAAAATAATCTCAAAAGGTGGAATAAGGAGGTGCTTGGGAGTTTGGTGTGGAGGAAGAATAGGGCTTTGGCTGACATTGCTGAGATTGATAGATTGGAAGGGGAGGGTGGTATTTCTGATTCTCAACGCAATAGGAGAGCAGCTTGTCAGGCAGAATGTGTGGAGATTGCTCTTTTGGAGGAAATCTAGTGGCGCCAGAAATCTTGTGGCGCCAGAAATCTCGGGCATTGTGGCTCAAAGAGGGAGACCGAAATACGAGGTTTTTTCATAGAACTGCCAATGCTTATAGGAGGAGTAATCACATTGGGCGGATATGTGTGGATGGGGCGGTCTTAACTTCGGAGGAGGAGGTGCGAAGCGGTATTGTCTCTTTCTACCAAAGGCTGTATTCTGAGCCTAGGTCACGTCTTGATGGTCTTCACTTTGATTCTATTTCTGCCTTGGAAAGGGATGGGTTAGAAAGTCCTTTTTCGGAGGAGGAGGTGCTGAAGGCGTTAAAGAGTTGCAATGGTGATAAGTCTCCAGGCCCGGATGGATTCATGATGAGATTTTTGTTGGAAAGCTGGGAGGTGGTTCGGTATGAGATTATGGGCACCTTTCATGAGTTTCATTCCATGGGGCGGTTTGAGAAATTGCTTAACGCATCTTTTTTGCCCTTATTCCTAAGAAGGGTGGTGCTTCTAATATCAAGGATTTTACACCTATTAGTCTGATTGGGTGCATTTACAAGCTCATCGCAAAAGTCCTTGCCTTTGGATTGAGGGAGGTTCTTGATGGAGTTATATCTGAGTCTCAGAATGCTTTCATTGATGGTAGACAGATGATGGACTCCGCCTTTATTGCCAGTGAATGTGTGGATTCTAGACTTTGTAGTGGGACTCCTGGTGTTCTTTGCAAGCTGGATATCGAGAAAGCCTATGATCATGTCTGCTGGAATTTTCTGTTCTATTTGTTGGAGAGGATGGGCTTTGGTGAGAGATGGAGGAAATGGATTGTTTCATGTGTTTCCACTGTTAGGTTTTCGGTGTTGGTGAATGGGTCTCCTTCGGGTTTCTTTGGCAGTTCTCGTGGGTTGAGGCAAGGGGACCCTCTTTCCCCATTTCTTTTTATTATTGTTATGGAGGCTCTTAGTAGGTTGATGATAAGGGTGGTGGATCTGGGTTTTATTAGGGGTTTCAAGATTGGCCCTGACTCAGCTCAGCAGATGGAGATCTCTCATTTACTTTTTGCGGATGACACTATCGTTTTTTGTGAGGTAGAGGTGTCCCAGCTAAGGTATCTGAGATGTGTTTTGGTTTGTTTTCAGGCTGTTTTAGCTTGAAAGTTAACGTGGGTAAGAGCATGCTTGTTCCTGTGGGGGAGGTTCAGGAGGTGGATTCTCTGGCTGCTGTTTTAGGGTGTGGGACGCAATGCTTTCCTATCTCGTATTTGGGTTTGCCGCTAGGGGACTCGGCCAAGAGGGTGGGAAGTTGGAACCCGGTGATTGAGCGAGTCGAGAAAAGATTAGCTGGTTGGAAAAAGCAATATTTATCAAAGGGTGGTAAAGTTACGTTAGTGAAGAGTACTCTGTCAAGCCTCCCAACGTACTTTCTTTCGCTTTCTCGGATTTCAGCCTCTATTGTTGGAAGAATTGAGAGGCTCCAACGGAATTTCCTTTGGGAGGGTCGCGGAGAGGAATTCAAGTATCATCTTGTCAAATGGGAGCAGGTTTGCAGGCCAATGCAGTTGGGAGGGCTTGGTATTAGGAGATTGACCCCTTTTAATAGTGCTATACTTGGCAAGTGGCTTTGGAGATTTGGCAGTGAAAGTCACAGACTATGGAGAAGGGTTATTTCGCGTCACTTTGGGGAGGAGAGAGGAGGATGGTCAGTTAGACCAGTCAGGCTTGCTAGTGGAGTGGGGGTGTGGAAGGCTATTGGAAAGGGGTGGGATGCCTTTTCCAAACATATTAGATTCAGAGTTCGAGATGGAAGTAATGTCCGGTTTTGGGAGGATTCATGGTGCGAGGATAGGCCATTGGCTCTTTTATTCCCCAGGCTTTTCAGGATCGCTGTTGACAAACATGCTATGGTTGCTGACTGCTATCACCTTGATAGCGGAAGGCTGTCTTGGGATGTGCGCTTCCGGCGAGCTTTTCAGGATTGGGAGTTGGATGATGTCACTGGGTTTTTGGCTCTCCTTTACAGACAAGAGATGGAGGGTTCTGGTGTAGATTCCTTGATTTGGGTGCCTTCTCCTCAGGGATGTTCCAGGTTCGGTCCTTTTTTGTGTGCCTCTCTGGTTTTTATGGTACCACATTCCCATGGAAGACGGTGTGGATGTCTAAAGCGCCTCTTAGGATGGCCTTTTTTGTGTGGACTGTAGCTTGGAGTAAGATTTTGACTTTGGACAACTTGAGGAAGCGAAGGCATATAATTATTAATCGGTGTTGCCTTTGCAAGATGAATGGGGAGTCAGTGGATCATCTTTTTTTGCATTGTCCTGTGACCCATGATTGTTGGAGTTTGATTTTTGGCTTGTTTGGTATTCATTGGGTCATGCCTCGGACCTCCCAGGAGTTGTTGGATATTTGGAGGAGCCAATGGGTGGGGGCCCAGGTGCGAGTTTGCTGGAGGGTGATCCTGTTTTGCATTTGGTGGAGCCTTTGGAAAGAGCGGAATAGTAGATCTTTTGATGGGAAGGAGTGCTCCATTGGGGTGCTGAAATTTTCTATTATTTGTACTCTTTTTTGTTGGGGTCAGGGGAGAGACTACTCTTCTCTTGAGGAGATTGTTGACTTCATGGGCTCTTTGAGTTCATAGGTTCCGTTTTGTCTTTGTATAGTTTGGGATGCGTTCCCCTTTTGAACGCTTTTTAATACATTTTACTTATCAAAAAAAAAAAAAAGAAATCTTATTTTCTTTTCCTTGTTCTTCTCTGTGTGTGGTGCTGTGAATGCAGGTTTCCCTTTTAAATAGAGGTGACTGGGATTTGTATTTATCTCCGTGGTTTATTTAATGATTTCTATTAGAGAATGTACTTCCTATGATAATGTAATGACAAGATTGTACCACTATCCTCACTTGAAAAGATGCTGCAATCTGCAGGTTGCAAGCTGCCATTTGAAGATTTAGACAGAAAATAATCAGTAATCCTTGAGGCAGAACTTACTTTTATTATTAGAAGGATATTATTACATGAGATTGTTTACCAGTAAATCGGGGCTATAGTGGTAAACTAGGAGGATGCTCGTGCATTTGAGAAGAGAATATCAAATAGGAAGCATCAATAGAGCACCTATATCACTAGTCTATATGCTAAATCATAGAACTATCAAATATTTTAATATGGTCCAACTGTACAAGAAAAATGGAATTCTGCTGTATAAAATTGTGAATAATAGAAGAAATAGCAAATGATGCTGGAGCAATCACTTCGAAATGGATTTATGGTGGCAGTGCTGCTGTTACTGGGAATTAGGCAGTTGCTAACACTATGACAGTAAAGACATTTGAATAATTACTTTGATTTTGTTGATGTTATTATGAATGCACAGTCAAGATCAGATTTCGTTTATAGCAAGATCAAAGGTTAGAGGGGTTTTGGGCCTCATCTTTCTGTAATGGAGCCTCCCACCTCAACGCTCCATTAGGGTCAATGACATATGGAGTTTCTTATATAAAGCTGAATATGTATCTACCCATCATTAGCACTCTGGTAGTAAGGGTATTCAAATACTTTCTTTGATTTTATTAATGTTATCACGAATCATCAGTTGTATTGGATCATATTAATGCTACGGTAACGTTTTAGAGATGATTTAGAGTCCTATTTTCATGTAATAGAGCCTCCTCTGTCACCCCTCCGTACGGACCAACAATATATGGAGTTGCACATATATGGTTGGATGCGTGGCAGTCTTAGACATTGATTAGCTAATGGAGCTTTACCATCCATGGTCACCAATCATATACGGAGGTACCACATGCTTGGATGGGTGGACTAGATGCAGATGTATTATTGCATGAAGTACTTGCTCTCTAACATGAACTAACATTCTCACATATGCCAGCCTATAATTTTACTATTAAACTGAGCAAGGGCCCATAGTTATTACAAATTATGATTTCAAATTTACTATATAAAGATTGTTAATTATGGTAATGAGATTACGCTATTAAGAGTTCACATCCATATACATTATTTAGGATTTAAAATGTCCAAATTTGCTTATCCAACACTGACATTATGAATAACATTCCTTTTCCAGCACCGACATTGTGAACATATAAGGCTAATTTTGCAGGAAAGTTTTGAGTGAGTGCTATATGTGTTGCGTAGACTAGAGTAGCCCACCATAGAAGTGATGCAGCTGTAGTATATTGATATAGATACTTGCTAATTTTGTTTGATAATATAATTTACTGCATTTTGTTCCCTAGTTGAGACTCACACACCCACTTTGCCCCTATGGGGACTTGAACCCTCAACCTTCTACTTTAGGAAGTGAGGAAATACCGAAATACCACTAGGATACAGCCGTTGGTAATTTACTGCATTTTCTCTAATCTACACTTTGAGTTACTGCCTTGTATTGTTCACAGGTTTATCAGGATGTTAATGCAAATAAAGTTCATCTCTAAAATTATTGCAGGATAATATAGAGACAATCTGTTTAGCATATGATTCCTTTTTGTCCAAGTTTCCTTTGTGCCATGGATATTGGAGGAAGTATGCTAATCACAAGATACGCTTATGCACAGTTGACAAGGTTGTTAAAATCTTTGAGCGAGCTGTTGAATCAGCAACTTATTCTGTTGGTGTGTGGGTTGATTATTGCAGCTTCGGTATGTCTGTATTTGAGGATCCATTTGATGTTCGTAGGTAATTTCAGTACCTAAAAACTGATATGGCTTTCATGCAAGTTTTGATAAAAATCCCATGTACCTGCATCTTTTATGCTTTTGGTGTTCAGTTATGCTAATGAAGTCTTCAAACTGTATACCAATTAGAGGTAGTGTTGAATAATGAGAATAACCAGCTGAAAAGTTTATATTTCCTCAAATTAATTGGCCCAAGTTTGGTAGGTATTTTTGATATATGATGCAACAAGAAGGAAAAAATGCATTCAAAATGACTCTATATTTATGTACTGAAGAAGAAATATATTTATATTATGAAACTATTCTTCTGGACGGAATCTGCGTGTGACATTGGAATTAACAACTATTGACTTGACCCTGTGTTGATCGATTTCTGAAAATTTGATTATTATGATAAGAAACTAAGAGCCTTCTTGATGCGACCTCTTTAAAAAAAGAAAAAAGAAAAGGAATTCATACACTCCTGTATTTAGAGAGATATGTATGGTATTCTTTATTTTAATGGTGGGCATGATGTAATCTACCACCTGCTTCATCATCATCATCATCATCATCATTCTTGCCTCAAATCACATATGAATGGGGTTGACCATATGAATTCTTACTTGCCAATCTTTTCTATTACATGCCATTTCACCAACTATATTTAACTTTTTAAAGTCATTAATCTACTACGTGCTTGAGATGAGATAATTTTAATTTGCAGCAAGATTCTAAATCAATTGTGTCAATTTTGATTTTTCTGACAATAAGTTAAAATGTGAGGTCAAACATGCCAATAACTGCTTTCCTTTTAGAAAAGAAAAAATGCACGGTGTCGAGGGTGCATCTGAAAAGTCTCTTTAATTTGTTGAAGTAAAATTTAGAAGTTATTTATATGACTTTAACCTGTTGAGGTTTTTTTATATTCTGCACTATTGGCTTCATCAATTGATGCTACATACAACTACAAAAACTTTTAGTATTACGTCCATGCACATTATGCTGAACCATTTTTGGAAGGATATATCTTATATACTTTGAATTGTAAGTTAATGAATATAATAAAACTTTTCCAACAGTTACCTATTGTAGTTAATTAAATGCTTTGTGATTGAAGTATTTCCTTACACTATTTCCTTGCCTTGTTATGCTGTAACTGATACTTTTTTTTTTATTATCATGGATCTATTTATTAGGTGAAACAATTTGGCTGTTTGATCCCAATTAATAATACTGTTGAATTTATCTTGCAGATTATTTAAAAGAGGGATGAGCTTTGTTGGAAAAGATTACTTATGTCATACCCTGTGGGATAAATACATTGAATATGAGTTTTCACAGCAGCAATGGAATTTCCTCGCTCACATTTATATCCAAACTTTCAGATTTCCGATAAAAAATCTACACCGCTACCATGACAAGTATGCCTTTTCTCTTAATATTTTACTATAGTTCTATGTTCATAAGGTGTGACTTTCCCAAGAGTTATAACTGATTTTTCACTTGTATATATGAAAAAAAGAGTTATAACTGATTTTTCATGTTGATTAAATTTTCTTATTGCTGTTATCTGATTATTTATCTCACCTTTCATCAATCATACATTTTTTTTTCTTTTCTTGTAAGCCCGCTGGATCTGGATTTGTTTGCTCATAACTAATAATTGTTAAAAAAAAAAGAAAAAAGATTGCATCATTATATATAACCCTTAGGGATTCAAGCGTAATCAAGGCATATCCATGATACCATAGGGATTCACCACCCTTTTCACCGGCATTAAGTCTTCCAGGGTGCTCACCCCAGCAAATATAAATTGAAATAATTGGAAGTTCCTATTGCTGCGATGTAGGCAATTTGCTTTGGTATTTAGCAGGCCCTTTCAGGAGTTGAGAACCTCATGGATTGAGTTTCAATTGTTCAATAAACATTGTTAATATGGTGAAACATAGAGCACCCAGTATTTCCCCAGTCAACCTGAATAAGATGGCTACATATATTAAAAGAGTAGCAAAAGAAATTCTGTTGGTCCGTAGGTTCGATTTCTGCTCTTTCGTTTTTGTGTATTAGGGACGCGTTCCCCTTTTGAACGTTTTTCTAATATATTTTTTACTTGTCAAAAAAAGAAAAAAGAAAAAGGAAGGACCATTATTTAAAGAAACTTGGTGGTGAAATGAACAAGTCGAAAAAGTTGTAAAAACAAAACGGGAATGCTATAAACTTTGGCAAAAACTAAAAATAGTGAAACCTTCGAAAAATATAAAAAAAATAAATAAAGAATTTAAGAAAGTAGTAAGTGAAGCAAAACATAGAGCATATGCCAATTTTTATTCTAAACCAGGCACAAAAGATGGGGAGAAGAATATATATAAACTTGCTAAACTAAGGAAGAAGAAAACTAGAGGTTTTAGCCATATTAAATGCATTAAGATTGAAGATTCATAGGTTTTAGTAAAAGATGATGAAATTAAAGGAAGATGGAAAAGTTATTTTGAGAAATTGCTAAATGAAAACCACATAGGAAGGCTTAGAAGAATGTAGTGACCTTAGAGGTAACGTATTTTTCTGTAGGGTAAAGGAGTGGGAGGTTAAAAATGCCTTAAGGAAGATGAAATCGGGAAGGCTTTGGGACCCTATTGCATACCTATTGAGGTTTGGAAATGTCTAGGAGAATTTGGCTTGTCTTGGTTAACAAATTTGTTTAATAAGATAATAACAACTAAGAGGATGTTTGATGAGTGGCGCCAAAGTATTCTGGCGTTTCCATATAAAAATAAAAGGTACGTACAAAGTTGTTATAATAACCGTGGTATTAAACAAGTGATTCACACTATGAAACTTTGGGAGAGAGCGATTGAACAACGTCTAAGACAAGAGAGTGAAGTGTCGGAGAATCTATTTGGATTCATGCCGGAAGGTCAACGATGTAGGCTGTTTACTTATTGAGGAGACTAATGGAAAGATATAGAGAGAAGAAGAGAGATCTCCATATGGTTTTTTTAGTGATTTGGAGAAAGCCTATTATAGGGTACCTAGTGATCTAATATGGAGGGTTTTAGAAAAGGAGTTACAAAGGGATACATTGACACAATAAAAGACATGTGATGGGTGTGCGACTTTAGTTAGAACACCTGTTGGGGAAACAAGTGAATTCCTAATGATTTTAGGCCGGTTACATCAAGGATCAACATTAAGCCCATACCTTTTTGCCTCGTGATAGATGAGCTGACAAGACATTTCCAAGATGAGATTCCAAGGTGTATGCTATTTGTTGATGATATTGTTTTACTCGATGAGACTAAAATACCAAATTGGTGGTTTGGAGAGAATATTTAGAATTAAAGGGTTTAAGATAAGTAGAAATAAAACTGAATATATGCAGTGTAACTTTAGTAAATGTAGATATACAAATGAGTGTGTAGTGAGGATTGACACCCGAGAGGTATCGTTATTTAGTCTCAATTATTCATAATCAAGGAGAAATTGGAGAGGAAGTTGATCATAGAATCAATGCAGGATGGGAGTGCATCTAGTTTATGGTGTGATAGATGTATCCCGTTGATCATAGAATCAATGCAGGATGGGAGTGCATCTAGTTTATGGTGTGATAGATGTATCCCGTTACTATTGAAAGGGAAGTTCTATCACACCGCTATTGGACCAACCATATTTTATGGCAAAGAATGTTGTGCAGCTACGAAACAACATATGCATAAAGTGTGTGTGGCAGAAATGCTAATGTTGAGATGGATGTGTGGTAAGACTAGAAATGATATAATTAGAAATGATCACATTCTGGAGATGGTTGGAGTAGCACAAATTGGAGATAAAATGAGAGAAAATCAGTTAAATGGTTTGGACATGTGCAAAGAAAACCTTTAAATGCGCCAATTAAGAAATTTGTCATGTATTAACTTCTTCATTTTTGATTGCTCTGGTCTCAAAATTTGTCAGTTTGCATATGCTTTTAGGGCCATGTCATGGTTCTGAACGATATCCTTTGCATCCATATTGTTCAGTTTTAAGAAATTTGCTGCCATTTTGGAAGAGGAGATGGAACACCATAATGACTGCAGCAATAAAGAACAGTCAGAAGCTGTTCCTGACGTTGAAGTTATAACTCCTGGAGATGATATCTGCTATGTCATCAAAGACCTGCTGGATCCTTCTGTTGGCTCTCTTAGATCTAAAGCTCTGCAGAAATATTTATCTATTGGAGAGCAGTTCTATCAGAAAGCATGCTGTTTGAATGAGAAAATAAATCTCTTTGAGACACATATTCGGAGGCCTTATTTCCATGTAAAGCCACTCGATGACAATCAGCTAGAAAATTGGCATCACTATCTGGACTTTGTTGAGTTGCAGGAGGATTTTGATTGGGTAATGCTATTACATTGTTATAGTCCTTTATGGATTTCTGCCTATATCTTTTATTTATCTATTTTTCTGTCTTCTACAGGCTGTGAAACTTTATGAGAGGTGCTTAATTCCCTGTGCTAATTACCCTGAGTTCTGGATGCGGTATGTGGAATTCATGGAAACCAAGGGAGGACGAGAGGTAGCAAATTTTGCACTAGACCGAGCAACACAAATATTTCTGAAGGTATGCTGCTATTCATTAACTGGGTTTTTGCCTAAATATCTGTTCATCGGCACTTTTAAAGCATTCCAGTGGAATGGTTTACCTACAAAATTCTATCCGGGGCTCAAATATTTAGCTGATTTGAAGATGAAATTGGCGAGGATGCTAAATTCTGAGATGATGGAGGTCCTAGCCTGGTTTCCTTCTCTTTTCCTTCCCTTGATCTTCTTCTCTATTGCACTTTCTCTCTCTAAAACTCACGGATGAAGCTCTCATCTTCCCCTCCTCTCAGTCCCCTCTCTCCTTCTATCTCTAATTCTATGCGTGTGAGTGTGGGACAAAGCTCGTGTGTGTCCTTACGTGTGGTGGTGCATAGTGGAGATGTGTCAAATGATGCATTTGAGAGACACGTGTCCTTCAAATCTCATAAGATGCTGCCACCTAGCATCCACTAATTATCTTTTCCACAATTCTAAGAACCTCCACCACTATCCAAATATTCACACAAAAAACCTCTAATTTAACTCCCAAAAATTCATATATAAATTCATTGATACCCAAATATTCCAAAAATGTTCAAAACTCCCAATTAATATAACAAAGTCTCCAAAAATTAAATAAAATCATGCCATTAATCAAGATTAAAAACCTAAATAAAAATATGGGGTGTTACACAAACTGTACCATTTCTTGGCTGACAAAATATGTGGAAACCTGATATCTGTGCTTTCCATTGTTTCTGTTATTGTGATCATGCAACACCTGAGAATTCTGCACAACTGATGCATCTAAAAAGCACGCTCAAGATTAGGTTAAGATGGGTATTATATCAGTTAAAATGCGATTGTGCATATGGTAAGCGAAAAAACGAGTTATACCTGGAATTTGTAAGGGGTATCTGATTAAAAAATAAAAATAAAATTTTCCATTGAAACTTCTGGTGCCAAATTAGCAGCACTGAAGACTTTAAGTTGTTGGAATAGCATTTCAGGGTAAATCTGTCAATTCAAAAGCCCAATGTTGAAACTTAACCCAATTTTAGACTTGTTCCCAATTTTAGACTTGTTCAATTTCAACAGAAGTGATCTTTAATGTCTAGTCAAACTTTGTTACATCTTTTTCAGAAATATGCCTTCTCAATTCAAGTCACTGAAATGCTTGAATATTGGAGGAAAATATTGTACTAAATTACTTATTTTTTGTTATAATTTGAGTTGAGTTATTCTGGTGTGAACTAAGTTTGCTTGATTAAATTCAGAATGACTGTAAATAGTTCCGTGGAAATATATATTTTTGTAATGTAACAAAGGGACTGCAGTGTCTTGTAATTTTCAGCCTAAACATGTCATAATTACTCCTTGAAACTTCTACTGTGGAGAAAAAAAAAAAAGAAAAAAAGTAAGAATGTGGTATGTTCTTGATTTGTGTATGGCTTACTTTCAGAACTCTGAAACAAGTTCATGTCATACTAAAAGATTGATTTTTTCGTTTTATAGGATGCTTTTACTGGATTGCTTTATACATGACTGGAGATGTTTTATGGCCCTCCTCATATGTTCGTTGCAGAATGTGCCAGCAATGCATCTGTTCAGTGCTAGGTATAAGGAGCAGATAGGAGATGTGTCTGGTGCACATGCGGCATTTGTGCAGTGTAATACAAAATCCAGTTCTTACTTCATCGAAGACGTTAAAAAAGAAGCTAATATGAAAAAACGTCTGGTATGTAACTAACTTCCTATTTCTAGATCTCATGTGTGGACTTCTATTTGAATTTTTTTTTTTTTTTTTTCTAATTTTCAGGGAGATTCTGCTGCTGCTTTCCATGTATATGAAAAAGCACTTGAAATGGCCACAGAGAGGCAGATATTGCACACTGTTCCCAGTCTGTATATTCACTTTTCTCATCTTAAATACATGGTACACAATTTATGCATATCCAACTTTTCTGCTTTGAATTTTATTAACTGTAAATACTCTATTTGTTTTCAGCTTTAGATTGTAGCTTCTAATAACCTAATATTCGACACACTAATGAGTTATTGATAAAAATAAATACTTGTCTACATATATATACTCAAATTTTGTTTGCTGATTGTACAATAATGTGAAGATCCACAATGGGACAGGTTTTGTCCCACTCGAACTTGGACAGATGTGGCACACCTGAAATCAGGGTGAGGATGGGTTTGTGTAAGAGTTATGAACTATGAACTTGACCTGCAGGACATTGTTGGAATTTGGTCGAATCCACGCTGCTCCACTCCAAGTGTATACGTTTTATGATTTATCTACTTCCAGATGGTGTATGGATTTTGCTAACCTACCCCATCTTTGAAGCATTTTTCATGATTTTCGGTGGACATAAATACTTTTAGTTTTATATTCTCTATCCATCTTCTCCCATTCTTTGACTGTGCCTTCAACATCAGCCTCTAGTCATGCAGCCACCATTGCCAGCACACGCCATTGGTAGGTGGACAATTCATGACTGACATGCTCCTTGACCATCTCTGTTATTTGAATATGGCACCATTTTCTCTTCCAGTGATTCTGTATCTTTCATCCTCTTCCTCCTTTTCTTCTTCTCACTATTTCTGAGTATCCCAAATACACAGAATCAAAACCCTTATAATTCCTCCAAGTGCTGAAATTTTAGAAGATTGTGCAGCGTAGGGTCAGCATGGGGTGTTAGGTTGCCATTGCAGGGTGCTGGGAAGGGTGAATTAGGTTCAAACTTAACCTTTGACATTATTTGCACAAAGTGGCCGCTCTCAAAATTGAATTACATTCTCAAGTTGAATGTGCTAAGCTTTTACTACTGCACCACATGACGACTCGAGTGCATCCTCATGTATTTGCTGTGGCGGACCTAGAAAATTTCTACTTTGGTGTTTGTTTGTGGAAAGTCGATTTAAGAAGAATATTTATGAAGTAGAAGTATTTCACAAATCACTACGTACATAAAATGAGAAGAACAGTAGGGATAGTGGTTATATTTTGAATTTTTGAGCTTTCCTTCAAAATGTGGACACACAAAATCAATACCTAAAAAGGACTCAAGTAGGGTTCTCTACATTTTTTTTGGGGAGGGGGGATACATATTAATTCTTTTTCGTATTTTTAAACTCACTATTTATGGGGGAATCTACTCTTAGATTTTACAAAATTTTGTGGGCCACTCCCTATAGTTCCACCCCTACATATTGTTAAATTTTCTTCTCTTAGATTGGAGAACTTTTTGGAATCACTAGTGTATGGATTATAGCTTATAAACATTTTTAGGATGCATGTTTGTCAATTCTTAACTATTTTGGGAGTGTTGAATTTATTTGGATTGAAGTTGGTAGACATAAGAGTATGCATTTGTTGTATAACAGAGGGTTATCTGAATCTGCATATTGATTTAACTCAATTTTATGTACACCTTGTTCCTGAAGGCAATTATATAAAATGTCATTTTAACATGAGGCCTTACATATTGTTCCCTCCAATTATGTATCATGTTCTTTTATCAGGATTTCAAATTCCTTCTATTTTTGCATGTTGGCACTCAATGTTGTTATTTAGCCTTTCTAACTTTGTCCTTGCGTTGGTTTGTAGATGACTGGTAGTGTAGATGCTGCCTTGGATGTTATAATAGATGGCATACAACATGTACCTCATTGCAAAATACTTCTGGAGGTATCTTTGTCCTTGTTCCATGGAAAGCAATTCTTTTCTTCTTCTCATTCTGATAGTGTAGGTACATGAAAAATGGTTTTTGGATCGAAACGGATCTTGGTGAAACCTACTCCATTTCAAGCCCTACTTAATGTTGCTTTTACAGTGTTCAAGTTTGGTAACTCGATTATTGGTGTTCTTGGGTTTTCTAGATTGCGAGTCCATGTCAAATACTTAGGGTTGCAAATGAACTGAGCTGTTCATGAACAGCTCGGACTCGTTCTTTAAGCAAACGAGTCAAGCTCAAGCTCATTTCCCGACCAGTGTTGGGCTCGGCTTGTGAAAATGAGCTCATGTAGGCTCACTTATGTCTGTGAACATAAGCTCATATCAATCTGTTTTCTTAAACGAGCCGAGCCCGAGCAGCCTAAGGCTTGGCTTGGCTTGGTTCGTTTGCAGCTCTTCAAATACTGAGATACCTTAAAAAAGCATTTTAAGGTAAACATTTTATAAAGGCCATTGTTAGTAAACATTTTATAATTGCTTGAAATTATTGTTGTTGGTTTCTTTTATTGGTTAGAAAATTTTGAACTCCACCCTTTACTATCTGAGCCAAAGTCCAGGGGCAAATGACCTTTAATTGTTATGTTATATCTGCAGGGATTAATAAACTTTGCAATGATGCATGGAGGACCAAGACAAGTGAACATAGTGGACTCAATTATAGCTCATGCAATAACTCCTGGGCCAGATTTATCTCAAGGTTTGGGCACTAAAGATCGGGAGGATATATCACTTATTTATTTAGAGGTAAAAATTTCTCTTGAGACTTGTATATTATATTTTCCTTCACACTGGTTTGAGACAATCAGTTGAAAATCATAAAAAGTTTCTCTTAAAAAAAAAACACTTCTAAAACTATGTGGTTGAATTAGTTTAGTGCAAGTATCAAAATTTCTTTTCGTTAGTCATTTTGGCTGGCTTGAAATAGAAATGTTCTAGAAACATTTGGGAATGCAATGGGAATAGTGAAAAAATCTAAAAACACATGGAAATGCTAGGTAATATAAGTTAATATCGATATATATATATATATATATATATATATATATATATATATATTTATTATTATTTTTTTTTCCGATAAGACAAATGATTGATTGACATGTTTGAGGCATACTCATCATTCCACACTAAATACTGATTAAGTAAGATAGATGCAGCAGGCCCTAAATAGTTACAATAAGGTTTTGTTGAATTAAAAAAGGCTTATATCATTAGAAGCTCATAGATAATTATGAAAATGCTTTTCCTCTACCCTATTTCAGCTAGTTGATATAAAACATAGAGTTTGATGAAATGCCTTATTTACATTTGAGATGGCATCATTTCCTATGCTACCCAAACTTGGACACGTCTCCAGTTTGGGTGCGTGTCTTTGTGTTTGAGACAGCTAAAAGTATCAGTATCCAAAAATTAAATATAAGGTACTTGTAAAAGAAAATATTAAGAGGCTAAATGTGAAACTTTTTTAATTCAATTTGGGAACTATACAATTAGCTTAGGTATTTATGTCTTTTATTTCAATATAATGAAAGAATGAGGACTTGTTTAAAAAATAAAAATAGGAAGTAGAAGGGCTAAAATGCAAACCCAAAAAATTATAAGATTATTATTTCCTCAGAACAGAAACATCTTTTTCTGTTTAATTGAGATAAAACCCTAGCCGCCTCAACCCAAAGAAGAAGGGGAAAAAAAACCCATGGACGAACTCTTCTGCTTCTGGCCGACCACTTCGGCATGACTTTCTAGCATTGATGACAAGGCGGTATCATCTCAAGCGAAATCTTAAATTGCAATTATAGGGAAAACATATTTCTGGCATCATCGACATCAAATCTACCAGAAATTGTTAAATCAGAGAAGGTTCAAATAATTCCTTTCCTTCCTTTCTTCCCTCCCCTATTTCTTTATATCTTGTCGTGTCCATACTTGTTTGTTTTAGCCATATACATTTAATGTTGTGTTGCATTTGTTTTCGTGGATTGGATGAATCTGAAATGTTTCAGCCAAAACAAATTGATAGGTTAGTCCTCGAACAAGGATCAACATTTCTTTTTTGGTTTTCCATTTTCAGTTGTCTCTAAAACGGGAATGTTTTAAAAGCACAATTGGAATGGCAAAATGGAACTTGGAAACACATTGAGTTGCTTAAAATATATATACTTAAATTAATGTAATTGTATAGGTAAGCTTAATTGTTGGTAATTGACGTACCAGAAAAAAAAAAGAAGGGAAAAGAAAGGATCAATAATTAATACTTTAACAGATTTAGTGTCTGCATGTCGGAGAACACTGGATGTGTTGGTGTAGATTTGAGAAGTAAATGGTAGTGTCAATTGGAAGTTTACAAATTATTATCAAAAAAATTACAAATAATTTTAATTGATAACATTTAATTGGATAGATTTGTTTCTCATATATAATTTAAGAAATTACCCCAAATTGAAATTAATAAACATTATAATCCATGAATATAATTTCTGATAATTTTTTTAATTATTTTATTAATAAGTGCTAATTATAACTAACCCTTTTTCACGTATATTTCACGATGTAAAGGAAATTAATTATAAACCTTTTCCATATTGTGTTTGGCAAGCCATCGACAATAACTTCTAAAAGAAGCACCAACTGCTTCCCTAGAACATAAATATTAAAATGTACCTTATATAGTATTGTTTGAGGCTTACAATATCTAAGTATAATAAATCTTCCAAAAAAAAATGTATATAATCAGTCTTCTTGGACTTCGAATTTGAGACACTTCTGGTATGGTTGTAGTTGTTGGATATTAAAATGCTATGAGCTTTGGTGAAATTTTGTCATTCCTATAGTTTAATCATCATGTTGATAAAGAAGTCATTATTACCCCTGTTAATCAATGGCCCATAATCCTCTGTTACTTTCCTTGGTTTTTCTCTTTCCTCTCTTGTGGTTTGGGTTTCAGTGGGGAGTTTCGTTTTGGCTGCCTCATGAGAGCCCTTGATGGTCAGAAGTTGTCCTTTTTGGAGGTCGCAAGCCTCTCTCGTCTGGATTTGCAAGGAGAGGTGGAACGTGTTTCATCGCCCAATGGTTATGTGCTTAGGGTGGATAAGCACAGTACCTCTTTTCGTGAATCCATGCTTAGATCTTACCTTGTTGGGAGGTTTGACAGAGAGGTGGGGTCTTTGGAGAAGATCGAAGAGTGGGCTTCGAAGGTTTGGCGGATCTTATGTGGGGTTAGGATTTCGTTATTGGCCGATAGCCTTCTGTTATTCCAGTTCCCGTTGATTTTAGGGGCACAGAGGGTTCTGGATAAGAGGAAGAGATTTTGGGGAGAGGCTCAGCTGTTTATTGATCATTGGTATTACAGAGTTGGGTGCTTCGGGTTGAGAAAAAAGTACAATCATCGGAGAGTCATCGTGTACGGCCTCCCTCTGCATCTTTGGTGTCAGAAGCTCTTCGTCGCTGTTGGAGATTTGTGTGGAGGATTCTGGGATGTTGAGGTGTATGAACTGAGTGACACAGAGAGGATTGTCATCGCGGTGCTTGAAGGTGGTGAGATCCCGGAATTTTTATTGTGGAGGACGGACGTCTTTCCGAATCTTTCTAACAGAGGAAGTTGTTCCTTCCCTTGTGCTGGATTCCTTGTCCTACGCCGATAATGAGGATCAGAGGCCACTGGAGGCGACGGGTAGTAAGGTACATCCGTCTCGCAGGTCTGGGATTGGGGCTGGGAGTGAATCGAAGATTCAGAGGTTGAATCGGTAGGGTCGCCGGACTCAAGGACAGGGACGTGTGGCAAGACACACGCCAAAGGCGAGTGAGAGGGAGGGAGACCAGTGGGACAGGTGGATGGTGGACGACTGCCTCCAGTTGTGGGTGGAGGACAGCTAATCATGCACAGGAGGAGGCACGTGTAGCTAGGAGTGATTTGAATTCATTTTCTTTTGGGCTTGGTAGAATTCAGCCCAATCAGCATGGCCAGTGCAGATGTCTTCGGGAGTTGATGGGGTGGGGCATCCTAGGCCCAAGTCTCGTGGATCATCTTCTTTCTTTGGGCAGGGAAGGGTGGGTCGAGGGTTTCTTGTGGGGTTGGACATAATTGGCCTAAGCCTCCTGGACCACTTCTTTCTCGGCCTGCATCTTTCAAGGCCAACCATTATAATGAAAGGGAGGTGTTTTGGGGCCCAAATAGGTCTTTGTCTATTGTGATTTTTGGTTTGCATCCCAGCCATCATTCTGTTGTGATCCACAGAGGTATATCTCACGGCCATCTCCATAACTCGGCTCAGACGAGGGAGGATTCGCGAGTCTAGTCAAAGACGGAGAAGGAGAACTGGGCCAATTTGAGTATGAAGACAAAGAAGGATGCGGGCCTGGGATAAAAAATGCTAAAACATGGTGAGTGTTACCAAAATTTGCTTTCTCGGAACAAATTTGGGGCACTTCAGTTGGGCTCTGCTTATGAGGATGACAATGGCACTTGTGCTTCATTCAAGGAGGACGGCTACTATTCGAGTAGATCGAACCAGTCTGGGAGAAGATGGACCAGAAAGGATAAGCAAAAATGGGTCGCCCGCAAGATGTCTCCTGAACCTGGTAAGTACCCTTCTCCTTGTCCTCGGAGCTCTCTTTCTGCTCATTCTTCTCTTTTTTACTCCTTGTGGGATGATGAGGAACGAGGTGGGGGAGGGTTTTGTTGGCAAGTCTCGGAAGCTTTCACCAGTGGCTGAGGTGGTTAATGAGATTGTGGACACGGATTGTGTTGGGTGTGGGGATTTTGGACCGTCAGAAATGGACGGGACAGTTAGTTTGTTTGTGGATGGGGATTCTGATCGTTTTTGTGAAGGGCCGGAGGACTCTTGCTCTGAATTTTCCTCCTCTTCTCATCAGTTGGATATGTCTAGGGATGAGCAGGGTGGGCTGGCCATGACTCATTTGGATTTGTGTCTTCCTAAGGGTGATGAACTGGTGCCATCTCAGATAGTTAGTGTGCTAGATTTGATGACTGTTTGCGTGGGTAAGGATATCCGCATTATTCTAAGTGAGGACTCAGCCTCTATGTTGGTGAAGGAATTATAGAAGCATAGGTGTCTAATAGATGATGTGCCTTCCTGTGTGTTGGTGAAGGAATTATAGAAGCATTGGTGTCTAACAGATGATGTGCCTTCCTGTGTGTCAGATCCTTTCACTGATGCTCATGACAGTGGGGTTAACAATGTTGCTGAATGGAAGCCTTGTTTGGATGTGGTCGAGGAGGTTGAGAAAGGGAGGTTGATGGGAGCCGGGATGATCAGGGTAGGTCTCTTGATGTGATCTTGTGGGAGGAGGAGGGTTACTCTGATATGGGGCTTGTTCATCCTCTGGCAGTTGTTCGTCCAGAAGGGATGGACAGTGTTCTTGATAGGCAGGAGTGCAGTGACTTAGGCAAGGACTGGGTCTTGTCTAACATCGGGGCCACTAGTGATCTGGTGGGAGTTTCTTGTAAGGGCAATCGGGATCAGGCATTAGCTATTCTTCAGGCCACGGTAGAGGGGAGAGAAGGGGAGATGATTCAGGTCTCTAGAAAGAGGAACAGAAGGAAGAAGACTCATCCCTCTTGGAGATGAGAGAGGGAGCTGAGAAATCTCTGCTGTGATGTGAATTATGATGAGAAACTCGTGGGGGAGAAGGATAAGGGGGGTGATACGGAGGGAGGGAGGGAGGGAGGAGAGAAGGGGGAGGGGGGGGGGGGGTTAAGGAGGAGGAGGGTGGTGTTGTTTTTCCATGAAGTTACGACTTTTATCTTGGAATGTCCGTGACCTCAATGACCCGGGTAAGAGAAAGGTGGTGAAGATGGCTGTGAGGAAATAGGGGGTTCATTTGGTGTGTCTCCAAGAAACGAAGATTGATTCTATTACTGATAGAGTTGTTAAGAGTCTATGGGGTAGTAGGTTCGTTGAGTGGGAGGCGCTGGATTCAATAGGGACCTCTGGAGGTATTCTTCTCATGTGGGATAGGAGATGGATGGCTAAGGTGGATGTTTGTAGGGGGCGTTTCTGCTTGTCTTATGCCTTTGTCATGGATGAGGATGGCTTTCCTTGTGCCTTCTCTGGTGTTTATGGGCCGTTGGATAACTGTGAGAGGCTTGCGTTGTGGGAGGAGCTTAGCGAGGTGAAGGTGATGTGGTCTCTCCCTTGGTGTGTGGCAGGTGACTTTAATGTGGTTAGATCCCCATCGGAGAGATCTACAGGTGGATCATGGACTCCGGCTATGTTGCTTTTCTCGGAGTTTATCGATGGACATCAGCTTATTGATCTCCCCTTGGAGGGAGCTGCCTTTACTTGGTCCAGTGGTAGGGAGATGCCTACTTTTTCACGCCTGGATAGATTCTTGATTTCCGGAGAGTGGGAGGAGCAGTTTCCGGATGCAGTTCAGGCTGCTTTGGCTAGCGTGACGTCGGATCACATTCCTTTGGTCTTGGACTGTGGAGGTTTGAGACCTCGTTGCACCCCTTTCAGATTTGAAAACATGTGGCTTAGAGCGGCGGATTTTCAGGGTTTGGTGCAGACTTGGTGGGAGGAGGACATGGTGGTGGGAACTTCGAGCTTTATCTTAGCAGGAAAGCTTCGTCTTTTGAAGGATAAACTTAAAAGATGGAATAAGGAGGTGTTCGGAAATCTAGAGTGGAGGAAGAATAGGGCCCTCGCTGATATTGCAGAATTTGATAGATTGGATGTGGCGGGAGGTCTTGATGAGCCTCAATGCAATAGGAGAGCAGCTTGTCAGGCTGAATGTGTTAAGATTGTGGTGTTGGAGGAGATCTCATGGCGGCAGAAATCTTGAGCCTTGTGGCTCAAAGAAGGAGACGATAACACAAAGTTCTTTCACCGAACGACGAATGCTTATAGGAGGGGCAATCATATTTGGCAGATTCAGGTGGACGGATCGTTGTTGGTTTCTGATGAGGAGGTGCGCACGGGGATTGTTTCCTTCTATCAGAGGTTATATACTGAGCCTCTTCGCTGGAGGCCAAGGCTTGATGGCCTTCATTTTGATTCTATTTCAGTCGAGGATAGGGGTGGGTCAGAGAGGCCATTTACGGAGAAGGAGGTTTTGAGGGCCTTGAAGAGTTGTAATGGTGATAAGGCTCCAGGCCCGGATGATTTCACAATGAGCTTCCTTTTGGAAAGCTGGGAGGTGATCAGACAGGAGATTATGGGCACTTTTCATGAGTTTCATTCTAATGGAAAGTTCGAAAAGTCGCTGAGTACTTTTATTGCTCTTATTCCTAGGAGAAGGAAGGGGGGGGGGGGGGGGGGGGCTTCTGACATTAAGGACTTTCGACCTATTAGTCTGATTGGGTGTTGGTATAAGCTTATAGCTAAAGTCCTGGCGTCAAGATTGAGGGAGGTTTTGGACGGACTCATTTCAGAGTCTTAGAATGCGTTTATTGGGGGTAGACAAATCCTGGATTCCACTCTTATTGCTAGTGAATGTGTGGATTTTAGGCTTAGTAGCGAGGCTCCTGGAGTTTTATGTAAGATGGACATCGAGAAAGCCTATGATCATGTTTGTTGGAACTTTTTGTTCTATTTGTTAGAGAGGATGGGTTTTGGAGAGAGATGGATTGAAACTTGCATTTCGTTTGTCAGATTTTCGGTGTTGGTTAATGGGTCTCCATCCGGGTTTTTTGGCAGTTCTCATGGCTTGAGGCAAGGGGACCCCCTTTCCCCTTTCTTGTTCATCATTGTTGTGGAGGCTCTTAGTAGGTTGATGAGGAGGGCTGTGACCCTGGGGCTTATACGGGGTTTCAAGATTTGTCCAGAGGCAGTCCATCAGTTGGAGATTTCTCACTTGCTGTTTGCGGATGACATTATGGTTTTTGTGAGGCAGAGGTGTCCTAATTGAGATACTTGAGATGCGTACTGGTTTGTTTTCAGGCTGTTTCTGGGTTGAGAATTAACGTGGGCAAGAGTGTGCTTGCCCCTGTGGGGGAGTTTTAGGAGGTGGATTCTCTTGCAGTTGTTCTAGGATGTGGGACGAGTTCCTTTCCTATTTCTTATTTGGGTTTGCCCTTGGGTGTCTCGTGAAGGAGGGTGGGAAGTTGGGACCCGGTGATTGAGTGCTTCGAGAGAAGGTTGGCTGGATGGAAAAAGCAATATCTTTCGAAGGGAGGAAAAGTTATGTTGGTAAAGAGTATTTTGTCCAGTCTTCCAACTTATTTTCTTTCGCTGTTTCAGATTCCCTCTTCTATTGTTAAGAGACTGGAGATGATATAACGTAACTTTCTTTGGGGCGGTCGGGGGGAGGAGTTTAAGTATCATCTTGTTCGGTGGGAGCAGGTTTGTAGGCCCTTTAAGTCGGGAGGCCTTGGGATTCGGAGATTGGCCCCCTTCAATAGGGCTCTTCTTGGCAAGTGGCTCTGGAGGGTTGGCAGTGAAAGACATAGATTATGGAGGAAGGTTGTTACTTGTTGGTTTGGGGAGGAGAGAGGGGGTTGGTCTGCTAGGCTGGCTAGATCTGTTGTCGGCATGGGGGTGTGGCATTCCATTGGGAAGGGATGGGATGAGTTCTCTAAGCATATTAGATTCAGAGTTCGGGAAGGTAGGAATGTCAGGTTTTGGGAGGATCCTTAGTGCGAGGACTGTCCTTTGTCTCGCCGGTTCCCAAGGTTGTTCAAGATTGTTGTGGATAGTCATGCTATGGTTGTTGACTGCTATCGTCTTGATAGCGGTAAGTTGTCTTGGGATGTTCAATTCCGGCGAGTCTTTCAGGATTGGGAGCTGGATGATGTCACTGGCTTGTTGGACCTTTTGTATCGGCAGGAGGTGGATGGCATTAGGTCGGATGTTTTGACTTGGGTGCCTTCTTTGCAGGGGACTTTTCAGTTCCGGTCCTTCTTCTGTCTTTCCGGTTTTCAGGGCTCCTCTTTCCCGTGGAAAACAGTTTGGCATTCGAAGGCTCCTCTTAGGGTGGCTTTCTTCACTTAGACTGCTGTTTGGGGTAAGATCCTGACTCTAGACAATTTGAGGAAGAGAAGACATGTCATTGTTAATCGGTGCTGTCTGTGTATGACCGATGGAGAGTCTGTGGATCACCTTCTCTTGCATTGCCCAGTGGCTCATGACTGTTGGAGCCTTATGTTGGGTCTCTTTGGCGTTCAGTGGGTTATGCCCTGGACCTCGCAGGGCTTGATTGATATTTGGAGGGGACAAAGGATGAGGGCTCGTGTTCGCGATTTCTGGAGGGAGACTCCCCTTCGTATTTGGTGGTGCCTCTGGAAAGAACGGAATAGAAGATCCTTTGTTGGGGAGGAGATTCCCATTGGGGTGTTAAAAGTACTCTATTATTTGTTCCCTTTATAGTTGGGGTATGGGGAGAGATTGTTCATCTGTTGAGGAGACCATGGACTTTTTGGGGTCTTTGGGTCCATAGGTCGACCCCTTTTCTTTTTGTGTTCTGCCTTCCGATTCTTGTACAGCTCTTGGGATATGTTCCCCTTTTGAATGCTTTTTGATACATCTTTACTTATCAAAAAAAAAAAAAAAAAAATGGTTCACTTTTTTATAACATCGATTTAGACGCCATTTTTAACAATATGATGGATGACAGTATTGTACAATAGAACCACCCTCCTCACACACACTGTTCTGGGATTTCCTCAACACTGTGGCACAACATCATTGCACGTGTGTGCTTTCATCTGTTAGAAAGATATATTTTCTTCTAAACGTCTTCTCTTTGTCTGATTTGTTATAAAAGAAAAGTATTTTCTCCGTGATTGAGTTCCTTAAAGTTCCTGCAGTTATTCTTTCGAATGTGTTAGTCATAGCAGAGATGTTCATCCAAGGTAGCGGTATTTATGGCGGAACTATATAATATTTTTGTATCTGTATCTCTGATAAAATTTATTTTGGCCACAGTTTCTTGACTGTTGTGGAACCATCCATGATGTAAGGAAGGCATGGAATCGTCACATAAAATTCTTTCCACACTTGATAAGGAACTTCTCATTTGAGGAGCCAACTTCAGGTAATCAGTTATCCATCTTAGCCGTGGAAGGAAGAAAATGCAATCACTTTGATATGCCTGATCAGTTGTCATCTGGAAACCATAGTTCTGGCCATCCAATCCAGCTCCCAGTGCAAGATCAGCAACTGATGTGGCCAGAAAATAATGCTATTGAGCCTGACCAGGGTTTCACAGACCAGTTCCAAACAGAAGATGACAATGATGCACAGGGAATATTACATCCATTATCTCCCAATTTTGCAGAGGAATCCAGAAAAGATGCATCAGTTAATAAACCAAGTAATGATTTAGAGTTCCAGTCTGTAGGTTATGCAGCTGAAACAATGGAATCTACTCATGATTTAGTAGATCAGTCTGGAGAAGGTGTATGTGGACCAATGGAGTCAACTCAAGATTTAGTAGATCAGTCTGGAGAAGGTGTATCCGGGCCAATGGAGTCAACGAATGATTTAGTACACCAATCCAGAGAAGATGCTTCTGGAACATCTGAGACAACTCATGATTTAGCATGTCAAGGTGCTGATAGTATTGCATCTTTAGAAGCCCCACAAGAGTACTGTGATTCAGTCAATGTGCAGCAAGACCAAGACCATGCCAAACGGCATCTGAAACCTCTTTCTTTCGGGGGTCTTTCTTTAAATCCTCAGGACAAGGAATCTGTGGGTTTAGTCCCCATGGCATCTTTTGAGCATGACACTACTACAGAAATCTGCATCTCTAAAGAAATCCTAGAGAGCTGTCAGAACACTAATGTAGATCCTTCTATAGCCTGCACAAGGAGCTCTCCATCTGCTGATTCCGCTCAAGTTCAAAATGATACAGATGAAAATGAATCACTGAGCCCCTCATCTTCTGCAAGTATTCATAATCCAAGATCAACCAAAGCACGTCCACAACCAAATGTGCCTGCAAATAGTGGTGGAAACTTGCATCAAATGAACAACCTGGTTAAAGCTTCCGAGGATGCAAATTCTCGACCTCATGAGCATTTACAAAATCAACATCAACAGCAACAGCTGGTTTCTCCACAGCAACAGTGCTCATCAGCTGGAATGGACAATCAAATGCTTATGAATCAAGGTCATCCCCATCATCCTTCATCTTGGAGAAATCCAAAAGTTGAGCAAGGTTCCCAAGCACAAAATCAGTACCAAGCAGGTGCTGCTCAGGGAAACTCAACAGCTATCGATGTAAAGCCAATGCAGAATGTGCAGCAGCATAGCTTTGTAGCTGTATCCCAACCTCAATTTTCCCCTCAACCCGTTTCTCAGCCTAAAGCACAGATGTCTCCGTGTTCCCTGCAAAGTGGTGACACGCCTGGGCATGCACAGAATAGTCAAGCATATAACGCTACATCACAATATTATTACCAGCAGCAGCAGCATATGCAGCAACACTATCTTCAGCCCTATCAACAGCAGCAGCAGCAGCAGCAGCTTCAACCACAACAGCAACCTGATCAGCAGCAACTGCTGTTGTTGCAACAACAACACTATCTGCAGCAGCAGCAGCAACAACAACATTATCAGCCACAGCAAATGCAGCAACAGCAGTATCTATTCTATCTACAGCAGCAGCAACAACATTATCAGCAGTTTCAACAGCTGCAGCAACAGCAAAGTCAACAGCAATGGCAGCAGCTGCTGCAACAACATCAGCAGCAGCAGCAAAATCATCAGTTGCAGCAGTGGCAGCAACTTCAAGAAGGATATCAGCAATTTCAGCAGCAGCAGCTACTGCAACAGCAACAAGAATATGAGCAACAGCTGCAGCAGGCACGACTGCGACCACAAGAAGAGTATCAGAAACTGCAGCAGCTGGCATTACAGCAATCACAACAAGGATATCAGCAATTTGTCCAGCAGCAACAAATGCAACAGCAGCAAGAATACGAGCAACAGCTGCAGCAAGCACGGCTGCAACCTCAAGAAGAGTATCAGAAACTGCAGCAGCTTGCAGAACAGCAAGTGCAACAAGGATATCTGCAACTGCAGCAGCATCAAGTACAGCGGCAACAACAACAAGAACAGCTGCCACATGAGCATCAACAAGATGAAGAACAGTCCCAGCATCGGCTGCAGATTACTTCAACACAGAATCTGACATGGGACGGGAGCTACTATCAACAGGTATGTTTTTGAAATTTAGTTGTCTTATTCTTCTTCTGAATTGTTTGCAACGTTTTGCAAGGAGCTGAAGTTCTGACATTGGCAGACCCATTCAGTGTGCCAAATGAGCAGTTACTTCTGTATGAAAGCTATAATGTTTGAGAAATCTATGAAGACCGTTACCTAAGGATTTGATAGGCAGAGTACGTACCGTGAATTAGACCTATATGGGACTGAATAGGTCTTATGGATATCTTCTTGCAACTAAATTTTAGAATACCATTGGAACTTATTCAAAATTCAATTAATTAGTTTGAATTGTGTCATAATTGCAATCACACAAAATAAATAAAGTAAAAAATACGATCAGGATTTTTATGTGGAAAATGCGGGAAAAACCATGGGACCTCGCTCACTCATAATCGACTACTATGAGAAAGAAGTTTTACAACTAGGTTACCAGATTCACATCCTAGAATTCTCTAATTAGCTCTTGACCCAAATGCATCAAACTTTTCAATCCAAGTTTCCATGTTCGCTTTGTCAACAGATCCGCTTACTCAATCTGCTTTCCCACGGTTTTTTTTTTCAATCCTCCGTTTGATTGGTTGAATTATTCTTTGTTGATGATGCTGATGATCTCATTGCTTTGATCTCTCAATCACATATGATGGTCAAACTATGAAAAACCTAGATTGAGAAACAAGGCATTCTCTCTAAGAAATTATAGATTCTCTCTCTAGATTACTTACAGAGGCTCATTTGGTGATGCTAGACTGACTATAAATCCATATTTATATCCAATATGAGAGACTTTTGTAGTATAGTAAGTAGAATCCTTTTAGAAGTCTAAGTTGAGAGAGTTTCAAGAACTAAAGTTTCGCAGGGTTTGATTGATTAAGCCTTTACACTTATTTAAGCTTCGATTGATTGAATCGATGAAAGCATACTGGTTTTGAAAATACTTTTTCCTGGGTACATGTCAATCGATTCATCCATCAATAGAGGCACACTAGTGTTCGCTCGATCGATTAGTGATCACTGTTTTGAAAATCCCCAATTTTGAAAATGATAGAGATAACTTAGAATCAGAACCGTTATTTTGAAAAACAAGATCAAAACTTAATTGTGAGCAAATTTAAGATCAAATATAGGTCAAGTAAGGTCTCTGTGGTCTAAACTTAATTTACATATGACGTGCTCCATGTTCTTCGCTAAACTCCATCTCTATCATCTTTGAACGACTAAAGACGTTTGACACACATTGCAGCCCAAGTTTTGGTTAGGAATTTGACAACACAATGACTCATAATCCTAACAATGTTTAACCAACCTTTAAAGCCCATTGCAAGTGTAGACAAACAGTACGCGTCTTTTTCTCTTCATTGTATGCTGCCTGCCATTAAAATCTAACCTTCATTTACTTTTTTAGGTGCCAACTAGGGGTGGCAAAGTTCGACACGACCCGCCATCACAATACGATATAAGCGGGTTTGTGTTGATCTTAATTGGGTTTGGGTTGTAAAACTGGTTGACACGTTAACCCGATTAATTAATCATGTGATTCGTGTCATATAGGGATGAGGGGTTCAACCTGTTTCACTATGGACAATTAGGTCATTGCAACATAAACCTTCACAAAAATATACATTAGCTCCTTAGCTTCACGCTACACCATATGATTTTCAAATGATTAGAGTTGCTTAAACATTTGTGTTCTGGCTACTTGGCTAGTGGGGTGTTTGATGCTTTTCTCCTTGCTTTCTATATTTGGATTCTATAATAATTTTCTAAACTTGTATCTTTTAATTTACTATTTTGTGGACTAGTGACTATTTAGTAATTTGGTTGGATTGAGATTTATATATTTTTTCTAGTATTTATTGGTTGAGGATAATAAATAATCTAAATAATATAATCCTTGATTTTGGTAAACAGGTCATTAAGCAGGTTTGTGTGTGTACCCGTTTAATAAACAGGTCGGGTTAGTGTTGAAGGTCCTTGACACGATTATTAAATGGGTCATGTTTGGGTTGACCTGTTTAGTAGAATATCCTTAGCTCCACACGACACGATTATGACCCACAATATGAATTGCCACCCTAGTGCCAACCCTGTCTGCCTCACTTGTACCTGTTAAGCAGGGCATTGTAAAGATCATTTTTTTAGCTGAAGAGAAACAAAAGCTTTATGCATTTCTTGAACACTACCAAAGTTCAGGATATTTGTTTGTATTAAGGTGGAAAAAAAAGGCTTGTATAGTGTGACTTATAAGTGCAGTGAGATTGTTAGCAGTTTCTGTGTGGAAGTTAATTTGGGTGTTATACCATTTCAACCATCTATTTCGTCCTCTAATAAATTCACACGACCAATTTTGTATCTTTCACTTTCCCCGCTGTCTTAATCTTGCTTCTAGCCTCTTGCTGTTCTTGTGATGAAATTCAACTCTGCAAAATAGTTCTTTGACTTCCTTGAGCTTGGCTTCCCTCACTTCTAGTACCCATGTGGAACAAGGAAACAGCACACCTGCTGGTGGCAGGAGGCTTGCACAGTTCAAAAGTTCATAGTTTGTGAGGTTCTGAGTATAAAATCTATATGGGTTGGTTAGCATCTCTAAATTTTAGTATTTTTAACTACAGCAAGCTCTTATGCATTATCATGATAGCAGTATCCCAGGTTGAGTGAAAGAAGGTAGATGCCATTCTGCATTTTAAACTAAAAAATAGTAAAATGATATTAGAACTCTGTTTTGCGGCACCCGAATGTCAATTTGATTCACTTATAAATATCATTGAGTTTATATGGGTCCTCATTTTCGGTATGGAACCCCCTCCCCTCCCCTCCCTCCCTCCCTCCCTCCATCCACTATTGTGTAATCAGTCACACACCTTATCGAATCAAGTCTAATCAGTTTTGTTTTTACAGGGCCAAGGAATTACACCACTGCATGGCACAGCTGAATCTCCACATCTCCAGCAGGAATCTCCCCAGGTGCGTAGGACAGGGACATCTGGACCTACTGTATCTCCACATAACCAGTTGCAATCTCCGCATGGATTTTCCCCACTACAAAGTGCAGGGGCATATGGACCTGCAGCATCATCTCCACATCCCAATCACCAATCTCCCCAAGCTCAATGAAACAGATGAATGTTAATTATAAATTATCCCATTAGTTTGTTATGCTAGGAATTCCCTGATTTTATTGTTGAATTATATGTATTGTTGACTTTATCGTTGATTTATATGTATTGTTGGTTCCCCTGCGAGAGTTCCTTGCTGGAGAGGGAACCTGGATATTCTATTTATCTGTAATTTGAACAGAATAGAACTCAAAACTGTAATTATTTCTCTTTTCTCATACCTTAAATCTCGAGGCCATGGATTTATTTATAATTTGCTTTTATGGGAAGACCGTCAAAGAATAGTTTCAACTGATGGCGGCTTAACGTCCACTTAGTCACAGAAAATCAAATTTCCTCCCGTCTAAATTACTGTTACATTGATGGGTTTGTAAGATGTTTTTTTCTTTCACGATGAGAAATGCATTTTAACTGTCATAGTAGGTGGAGATTTCCACTGGGACATGTATATTGTAGTAGTTGTTCTCGCTTGGCTTGTTTTCTCATGGTAGTTTGGAGCAAGAGAAGTTGGCATTATAAGTTCCAAGTTTAGCTTGTGTTATCATGGTAGTTTGGATCAAGAGAAGCTAGCATACAATTTCATATTATAACGATTTACTAAATCATTCGTATCTGGTACCACATTGTTAGTTCGGCTTGGCAATACACGGTCCGGTCATGAAATTGGGCTGATCGTCTCTAGCCAGAAGATTGCCCAAACCGAAGATCCGAATAGGGTATACATTCTGACGGGAACTTCATTAGGTATCCCTCCTCACATAAAATCTGAGTCCTGGTGGTGCCAAGAGATGGCAATTTACCATACAGTAAGGGATCTAACTCTGTTCAGTATTTAATAAATTGTACAAGATGCTGCCAAGAGATGGCAATTTACCATACAGTAAGGGATACAACTCTGTTCAGTATTTAATAAATTGTGCAAGATGCTAAGTTGGTAACTATGATTATGCTCATCCCAATCCATTTAGTTTCTTCTTTACATTACCACCTCTAAGACAACAAATGTATCTGTTCAGCTGCAGTACCGTCAGCCTGAAGAACAGAAATATAACAATCATCACATACAAATCATTGTGGCGGCACCAATGAAAAAACCTTCCCAAGTCTTGCTTGCTTAAAAATAAAAATCTGGGGCTTCAAGCACACATTTGGAGTCCTCTCCCCCCAAATTATCAAAGCCCTTGAACATTTTGTTTACTTATTTACTCATTTTCTGTTATATGGAGAATGAGAGAGCTCACAGCTCACACCGTCTTCCGCATTCTCTCTATCACAAGCAACAGTCCATAAAAAAATCAATCAAAAAACAAAGGAACAGAAAAAAGGGTATCACAGACCAACACCAATCTTTCCTCCATTTGATTCAAAAATGTCTAATAAAACAGCATCAGCTGAATATTCCTTTACTATTATGTTACATATCCATGACACTGAACAAGGAACAAACAAGGAATGCCCCAGGAAGAAGAGAGGAAAAAGCTAAACATCTAAAGTAAACAGTAATGTGCCGGAAGAATAGCTGTTTTGAAAAAATAAAAATAAAAATTCAAGAGACATAAATAGCAATTCAATATTGCATACCTACTGTTATTGCAATTCGCAGCCGATTCATTATAGATCTTCAAATGACCTGCAGATAAGGGAACCCAAAAAATTAAGCATGTAAAAAGAAATCAATTCAGCTGAGAATCATGACAAGCAATGATCATTGGTTTGTGCCAACTCCACAAACCATCACCATTTTGTCTTCCCCAAACTCTAGTGAAGCAAAGATTGCAATCCAAGTCAAAGCTCCCTCACTATCTACTCTCTTTCAGCAAAACCTGCAGGAGCCACCTAATCAAAAGGCTGTTCCAAATCAGTTATACATTCAATCTTTACAAACCAAATGTAGTCTCCTAAAATGATCACCGGCGTACCATCTCTCATCCCAATGGTCCGTGTCCTGAAAATTGGGATCTCATACCCTTTAGGGAATTTTCACTCTTAAGGTATGTGTAGGGGGTAGTAACACGAAGGTACTAACTTGCTAGCTCGTAAGATCTCTTGTTATTCATACAAAAGACTTGAGAACAATTTCTGCCTTTTCTAATCCTAGTGGGGGGATAATGGGCAGGGGGCAAGTGATACACCATCCAGTAGTCCATTGCCAAAAAAAGAGTACGTGTGTAGCAATTGCTGATTTAGTCAGCAGATAAACTACTATATACTTTACTTCCCAAATTCTATACATACAACAGGTGTAACACAAAGAAATTCTAAAATGCCAACTCACCCATTTGACTAACCTGTTCTACTTCTCACCATATGACATAATTCATATGCATTTTTTGGTACACACTGACTTTAAAAAGGTGAAAATGTATTCTAGAATTAGTCCTCATTTGTGAGATATACAATATGAACCTCACAGTTGAAACCTTTTGCACAAAGTAACTGCTTTTACATCAAACCTACTTCGTACCTGGCAATTCGAGCTTTTACCATTACACTAAGCAATGGCCCCAAATACTATAAAATCACTACAAATTTAATAACAGAGCATCAATATCACCACAAGCACATTGCATGTGCCACTGTCACGAAAGAAAGGAAAGACGAATAAAATAACGTGACTCTAATCAAAGGGACCATTTCCACGTGATTGTAGCCAAGGACATGGTTCAAGAAAAACATTAATAACCGAGCCTTATAAACTAATGGAAATTATGTAATCTAGATAAATTAGAGTTAACTGCCAGAACAACATTCCTACAACTAAACACAATAAAGAACTTACGATGACAATTTATAGGAACTAAAGAATAGAAAGAGTCAAAAACTTCTCTTCTTGAAGCTAAAGGGTGTATTTCTTATGCATCTACCTGTGCCCTTAGGTGCTTTACTTATATACAAATTGTACTTGGAGTTTTTGGATCGATGAATTTAAACTTGGTTTTTATTTGGTCCATGCGTACCTCTATTGTCATCTCTCTTATTTATTCATGAATACTTCTAGATCAGAAAAAATAAAAATACTATATCATGGGTTTGGGTAATAACCTTATTGATAAACTAGAATTTGAAAATAACCAGACCTCATACGATCAAAAGACCAAATACTCAACCCTAACCACAGATACTAAAGGATCAGTTTACAGGTCTAGAACAATATGTAACCTCCTCACAGAAGCCAAATTCACATCAATTATATCCTTCAGCATAATATTAACCAAATTATATATATATATAATGGTGATTTTTGGAGTCCTGTATTCTTTTGAAGGAATATAAGGTCTTTTCTCTATAAAAGGTTCCTCTCTTCACTCTTCCTTCTACCCTGAAGATATTCCCTTTAATTTATATTCATTTCACCTATTTTATTCATACAACCCAATAAAGCTCTATTACCAGATGGCTTACTATCTGAAAGCCCAAGCTTTCTACGTCCCTTTTTGACTCATAAGGAGGGAGGTACATTTTTTACAGTTACATTAGCATCTCTAAACTCCCAAGCATAAGAAGTTCATTCCATCACCAAAGCAAAGAACTTTTCAGAAAAACACCACCCCTGCCTCTATAAGAGGTTGATGTCTTGGTGTAAGAACCAAGCCTCATCAACTTCTAAAATTGAAGAAAACTCCATACCACCCATTCAGATATTGAAGACAGATGGTGTTGAAAATTAAGCACTCAAAATTTAAAGTGCTAATTGTAAATTGAGAACTGATTCAACACTTGTTTAAAATTTAAGTGTTCAAATAAGTGAAGTCTTGTTCACTTAAATTTTTTTTAAGTCGTTTAGGTGAAACTTATTCTTTCAAGTGTCATCCAAATTGCATTATCAAGCTACTTAATTGGATAATCACTTAATTTATTCAGAATTAAGTATTGAATTGAGTTGACAAAGAGTTCTAAGAAGGTAACATTTACAAAAGTAATCAGGATTCTCCAATTATGTTAAACATATACTCCTCCGTCCCATATTAGTAGTCCCTCTTTCCTTTTGGGATGTCCCAAATTAGTTCTCCCATTTGATAAGTCAAAACAAAATAAATGCTATCTTTCCATAATTACCTTTAAGTTTTCAAATATCTTCCAACTTGGTAATATATACTGTATATATTTAAACTTAAAAAGACAACTTGGTAATTTTAAAAGGGGACAATGCATTAATTGCATTTCTCCTTTAAAAGTAATAATACCAAAAAGGGACAATATCCACAACCAAGTAATTGACTGGCATTTTCAACAGTTTAAGAGTATTAAAAATATGGAAGCATCCTCCTACCCAGAAAAGGCAACACTGTGAAGTAGGATACCTTGTCCAACGTTATTTTAGTACATAGTTAGTTTTCAGAACCACATGTTCTATTTTCTTATTTTTGCCTATTTTTTGCGCATCTAATATTTGGCATTGGTCCTTGTTGGTTATACTACTAGTTACATGATTTTTGGCAACATTTTTCAAGTCCTATGCGCCCTATAAATAAACTAACAAAGGGATGAGGAACAAAATCAGAACGTTATTATTCTTCTACGATAAAAGTTTATTTTATTTTGTCTTGTAGATTCAAGGTTCTTTGGAAATTATGAGCTCTTAGTGAATTCTAGATTTCGGTTTGAATACTTCAGGATCTTTCTTTAACTTCTTTTTACTTCTGCTACATCAATCGGTAAGCCTTGATGAACTTGATCTGATGTCAAATAATGGAAAAAATGACAACCTTCCTAACAATATTGGCTGTAGGAAGCAACATTCAACATGAAATCATAATGAAAATATGCATTTCACTAAAAATGGGACTCAAAGTCAAACCTATTCATCAACAATTTACCATTCATAGAGATTTCAAATACTTTTAAAAAATATCAAAAACTTAAATAGCATTAATTAACCAACCTATAATGATTTTATTGGTGCAGAGAGGTTTCATTTGACACTGCATTAGTTACCCTTGTAAACCAATCAAGGTATTATGAGAAGACGCTTTGAGTTGTGCAACTTGAAGGGAATAAAGTTCTTTTTTTTTTTTGATAAGTAGAAGGGAATAAAGTTCTAAACAAATCAAGCATCGAAGGATTCCAAATGTCTTTTCATTTGGACAGGAAGATTTCGAAATCAAGATGCAAAATCGAGGATAATTTTTTTTTCAAGTATTGAGTCTGATGTAGGACACTTTTTCCCAAGTTTTGACGTATTTCATTTTATTATCTAAGAAATAAGAGTTTTCAATTTCTTATATTTAACTACTTTAAGGCTTCTAATCGATAAATGCGGGTCCGATTAGGTTACTATATTAGTGAGGATGATTTTTAAGTCATTATATGTTAACCTTTTTAAGGCCAATAAATAGGCTAACAAAACAAAACAACAAAAAACTGGAGTGTTACAGTTCTCCATTAATAAAATTTGAGAGTGCTCTCTTAATTTCATAATAGATTCGATGTTCATAGCGGATTTAAGGGCTCCTAATAGATTCTAAAGTTCAAGTTGAATGCTTCAGTTTCTTCATTTGGTTCCTTTTGTTTCTGCTTAAAAAATATAAGAAAAGATAGAAATGGCTCGTGCACAAGACCATATTCATATTCTTCATATCCATTTTCAATGTCAATACATGATGTATTATATCACATGGATGGTTTGTGTACACCTTGAACCTGTGTTCCTTGCTAACTACAATTACTGAAGCCTAGAAGATGTAGACTAGGTAAATAACTAACCTTTGGTATTATTTGCAGAAAATGATTGTCAATTCAACCAGTGTTCTCAAGAGAGGCCAAAACTTTTACCATTGCCCCAAACAATGGCTCCTATATATTACATAAAATTTTATGATAATAATTTTAATTAGAACTGAATTATATGTTTGATTTCCAAAAGATTCATTTTAAACACCAAAGTTCTTTTTCTGTCATTTAGTTTCCATGTGTACATCAATGCATCTACTTCTCATATTGGTAATTACATTTACTTTTAGTTTCTATCGCAAGCATGATTCTAAGTCAACTAGATTTTTACTTTATACCGTAATTAAAACTGACAACTTTTAAATCCAACAAACTTTTAGCATTTTTTTTTCTCTGAAATTACTATTGTTTCTTAGTTTATGAATTTAAAATTCTGTAAAATTTTCACAGATGTTACTAATCCTGTGTTCTCCTATCATATCCTAGTTGCCTCAGTGTTAAACTGTGTTTGTTAACCATATATTTAGCCTATCCTAGCTGATAGAGGCTCTATCGTAGTTTTCCTCAAGTTCCATCTGTTCACGAAGCTCCTTGAGATTATAAACTTGCCTCGACTCTTGAATATCAAAAATAAAAAATAAAACAGAATGCAATTCCTTCCATGGTATATTCCTTAAATGACATATAGAAGTGATGGTTCATAGGTCCCTCTTACAGTGTTTCTTTTCTTGGTTATTAACAAAAATATCTCCTTTATCAGCAGAAGCAACTGAGACATGGTAGAAGCACTTGAACATATCACAAGAGATGCAAAAGATAATGGCATTTCCAACAGTTAAGAATTCTAAGTTTACATTTCAACAAGAACTTACAGTAGCATTTCACATCCTTTTACTCTAAATTGTCAGTAAGAAGCAAAGAGCAGTCAATATATGACTTCATACTACGATCAATGCATATAAATGAAAAAGAAATATCCACAAAATTTATTTCAAAACACAATAATTCATATACAGAACCTTGTAAAATATATTAGCATATATAACTGTACAATGGAATTAAATAGAGAAGTTCTTCACAACTACCTTTTGCCCCAAAATTAGATTGAACACTCGATGAGATTGTTGAGAGAGAGAAGATGGCAGAGAAGGAACGAGCTGTGAAATATGACGCAACACAGGACTAAAGATATTTTTATTGTGTAAATCATTGTATCAAGAGCTCGGAGGGGAATGAATATTGAGCATCTAAATCGAATGATGATTTTTTTCTTAAAACGAGATGACAAGGAATAGGAACTGTTATATTGAGTAAAAGGGAAAGAACAAGAGGCTCTTATTCCTTGTTACCGAATCTCTTGGCAATGATAGGACGAACATCATCGGCATCAACCAAGGTCTCTAGGAAGGGAAGTAATGAAATTAGGGCAGAGTCTGATGGGTCATCAAACCAACTCTTAATGGGAATCCCATTATTCACTTGCAACTGGAAAACCTGAAATCATCAAATGAAAAAAGGCTCAATATATTTTCTAACAGACTTGGAAATTTTTCGCTACTTTTTTGTTTGTTTGTTTGTTATAATACGTTAGCAAAATATGGACAACATTTTATCATGTTACTTTACCAAACTGGAGGGAAGTGTATCTACGTTGATTCCTTTAAGTGGAAACAGAGAAAATGACCCTCAAATTTGGTCTAAATGAAGAAATACTGCAAATAGATTTGAAGTGCCAATGAGACCCTCAAGATTTTTCACTAGATAAAACCCAAACCAAATCAAAATTTCTTTAGCAGTGGGTCACCCACAGACCCCGTACCTGTTTCTAAATCTGTAGCAAAAAGGATAGGTCCAAATATATTAACGTCCAATTTGATAGTCAACATATCTAAATCTCATATATCCTTCTTCCTTCATAAAACAGGACGACGACTGTTCAGAAAAAAACCATCAAAGCCAGTGGCCAGGTACCATACCTGTGGAGAGTTGTCAATTATGGCAACTTTGGCAAGATCGACACCTAAAACTGTCAAGTCCTTAGTGTAACTTCCATCCGAAAAAACGCATGATTCACGATAAGCCCGACGTGAAATAAATTTTCCGTCCGGATCCAGTATATCCAGAAGCTGTTTTGCATAAATGCTTTGACTGGCTGTAAAAATTACAATTTCAAACATCTCTGCAACTCTCTCCAGGAATGTCTGTAGATAAGGCCTCTGTTTTACATACACAATATGCTCTTTCAAGTTGAAGAAAACAGGAAAGGTGAAGTCTGCATCATCACGATGCTCCAATGTAGAGTGTACAAGTGTTTCTGCATACAAGGAAGCCAATGTGACCAATTGTTGATAGCATTTATTAATTGTAAATATTATTTAAAATCATTACTAGAAAAAAAAATAATAATAATAAAAGGAATCACTTCTTGAAAGATAATGGCAACAAAATATCTTATATATATATATATATATTAAAAAAAAAAAAAGAAGGAATCACGCTAGATATACAGATTTACTTGACAACAAAATAAAAATTAAATAAATTGAAATCAAATAGTGTCAAATTGTCAGCAGACAGATAGAGGGAGCTCTACTTTTCTTACCATCCAAATCAAGTACCAGAGTTATAGGTTTGGTTTTCAGTGTTTCCTTTGTCAGTGTGGTGGGCCAATTTGTGGCCACGTCTGGTAGGTCTGGAAAATTTCTGAAAAACATGCGTGGATCAAAGCACTCTGCTTGATCCGAGTCAGGGTCGGGACTAACATCAGATTCCTGGTTGCAGGATCTCATCTGACTGATTGCTAAATATAAGCTCGAATCATTTGAATCTATGATGGCTTCTTCACATGTTCTACCATCATGGCCATTGCTAGTCTCCTTAGCATCCTCAAGGAAAGGCAATATCATGTATTCCTCCGTCATATCAAACAACAAACGTGGCTCATCACATCTGTAATCAGGAAAGGAAGTAGTCTCTGTAATATCATCATCGTACACTGAGTTGCCTTCAATGGGTAAGCCTGCAACAATCATGTCAGAGATGTAGAAATCTGATACACTGCAAGTTTGAAATTCACATGAGCTTCTGCTGCTATCACTATCTTCGGCTCCCAACCGTGGCACATCAAGAGTGCCATTGGTCCCTACGATGAGATGAAAGACAGGTGGGGGGTTTTAGTCATATCACTTCATTATCAATTTGTCTAATTTAAAAAATAACATGAAATTTCATTATATGATGTTCCTCTATTGAAGATGAATAAATTCCCACACATAAGATGTGAACAAATTTCAAAAAGAAAAAATGAATCCAAATCATTCAACCTTTATGTGCAGAAACTACTTGAAGGAAAAAAAAGAAAAAGAAAGAATATACGTGTGTATGTATATGTGAGTGTGTGCAGAAAATTTTCAAGCAATACCCATTGCATACAAGGATTCTCACACCTAAAGCAAATTGGCAATATAAAATTTTAGCAAAGTGACAGTATATAAGACAAAATACATGGAATATATGAATGTGCACTAAAAAATTGGGTAAACTGCACACACACACACACACAAAAACTCAACTTTCACGATTTCATAGATTACCAATCTCAATTGTTTTGGCATATAACCCCCTTAAATTGTTAAGAAATGCTGCAAATCACCCCTTTGTCATTTGCGGACAGTTACAAAATGGACGGAATAGCATCACGTGCATATAGGGCATGCGATTTTAAGTAGTAAAATTCAAACAATAAACTTTTGGGTCAACTACGAAAAACAGCTTCCATGATTTTGTAGATTACCCCCCTGGCCCCCCTCAACTTTCATTTTTGCACATAACCCCCTTAAAGTACTAAGAAATGTTGCAAATCACCCCCTTTAAAGTTGAGGAGTTCTTTTTACAGTTTACCCTATTTTTTATTTCTTCAAGGGTAAAATGGTAAATTTGACACACCTAATGGCACTTGGATTGGGGTAGGTTGCAACTTTTAGACAGTTCGAAGGGTTAATTGCATCGCTACTCACTAGGGGAGTATTTGCAAATCCTTGGAAGTTGAGGGTTTTTTTTGCAGTTTAGCCTAAAAAATTCAGGTGGCATCTAGCAGACAAAAGAAACATTAATACAAAATAAAATTTCAGGTTGTTTCAAGCAGGTAAATGAAACATGTTTTGGTACATGGGTAATATTTCTGGCTCCGTTCAGGAAACCAAGAGTTATGCCGTAACAAGGCTAAAATTTACATATACACACAAAGACATGTATGCTGTATCTTCTACTGCAAGTTGTGAGAAACATAACCTCCTCTTCCATAAGGCCACGAGGTTACTAAGAATCACCTACTTATTCACGTATACCCCCCTCTTCCCATATATACCACCCAAGTAAAGGACATAAAGAGCAGCCGAAGTGTGGCCAGAATCCTTCATCTTTACAGACTCAACGTTAATTGTCTTCAATCAACAACCATAAACACCATTAACAGAATCTTGTTCCAATAATGACACAAAAAAGAAAAGCAGATCCAAATGCCCTCCCACTAACCAAAAGCTAAAAGTAGACCTTGATTAATATGCAAGGAACATTTAAAAATAATGAAGATGCAGAAATTTTCCAATTCACCTGCAGCTAGTTTTTCCTTTGTTCTTTTCCTTTTCCTTTTTTTTAAAAAAATTCAGAATGAGGGGGATTTTAATGCATCTGCATTTATAATCATTTTAACTGTTCCTGTGTTCTGGTAGATGCTTTACCTAATAGCATAAAAAAATATCAATTCTATTCCTATTTTTTCTCTTTCTTCCTTCACGAGGAGGCTGTAAGTTTTTGTGTGTGAGCCAACCAAATCTATTAAGATAAATATATTAGAATGACTTTCAGGAAAGATCAAATTAAGGTATATGGAGCTTCAAGTGTGTTTGGTATCACCAAAAATAAGAATACAGCGTCTTTTGAAGCTTCTAGACAAATAGACCGTTTTCTGGATACGCCAAAAAGTAGCTAATCACATTTTCAATTCCACATCTTGCTTTAGGAAGAATGGAAAAACAAATGACATGTTCCCAAAAAAGTTCATAAATGTACATCAAATCTGACCAATACTTGATTTAAATTAAACAATCTCTCATTCAAATGGCATTCAATCAAAAAAAATTTTTGGTCATACCTGCATCACTGTAAACATTTGGTTCACTTTGATTATCGATCGAGTCTGGTAATGGTGAGAAAATCGTCTCCATGCTTGATGAGCACGTAGCTATTGCAGATTCCTGCAATAAATTGGATTATCATATATTAGCTACCACAGTAGTAGATTTAATGACTACATTGTCCAACTGTTTCAGATATATAGCTTGTAAATCGAATGTTTACCATTTTCACCTAAACAAAGCAATAGATCTCTGCATAAAGTACACAACCAAGACAAGATAAACCAAAACCAGTAAGGATTCACCAATTTCACATACCTTGATCATGCATAAATTTATGTGAAATAGGATGCATATTTACCTCGCAGTAAGAATGCACCGACAGGATGGTCATACATTGCAAGTTGAAAATTTAAAGGTAAGTAACATTAAGTTTCACTATTTCAACAACAGGAATAATTTTTTTACCATTAACAGGAACCAACAAAACAATTTAGAAGGCAAGGCAATTTCTCTGAGGCTTTTCTGAATGCACGAGGTCGCCCCAAATCTTCCATGAACAAAATGACTATATATTTGAACTCTCAAGAATACCTAAAGTCCACCTATCACACTTCTAACCCTTTCAAACTTATTTTATTGCATAAACTATCAGAAAAGGAATTAGAGCAGTACTTAGAGTGCACATAACTGCTAGTGGGCTAGCAATTTTCTCCAAACCCAATAATGCATGTCATTAAGCAATGCAAACTTGCAAAGTGCAGCTCAAGATTTTGAAATATCAAGCATTTCTTGTCAACTAATTAATATTAAACGTTAGGAAATTATCAAGTCACTTGGAAAGCATACACTGCAACCACATCATTACAACTCAACAGAGACTTCAATCTAATATTTGAAAGCAATAAGTAAATCTATATGTAAGGCCATTAACCAAAGTGGATTACAGTCAACATATCTATAAGTAAAGTGGAAAATATTAAAGAACCTAAATTAGAAGAGAATACGAACCAATAATTGCAGATTCCTTGCAGAAACAAAAATGGAGATAGAATTGAGTATATAATCATAACATATGGAGGATGACACCTTGATCATCTCATATATTTAAAAAATTACGACCGGGGCACTTAAGTGTAAAGTATCAATATTTGTGGATAAAATAACTCTGTTTCTTTTTTCTTCTTTATAGCTACAGAAAACATGAAAAAAGTGATGCGCAGCACAGACCATTAAGAGCATGCATCTTGCAAATTCTCATGCAAGAAGTTCATGTAATATTTTCTGAAGTTTTTAATGCACACAGCTAAATTCTCTTGAACAATGTAGCAGCAAAAAGATGACACTGAAAAGAACATGAAGTAAAGAGCATTATATAGGTATCATAAATGGAAACTAAATGGAAAAGAACACCATCATGCAAATATATATCAAAACAATTAAGTTTAGTCTGATTAAATATTTTACCATTCTCTCAGCAGTTGCAGAATCGGTTAAAGGCGAAAGCTGCTTCTGAAACTGAAGATTATCACCATTGAGCAATTCATTACAGTCAATAACTTCATCACCTCCAATGTCCTGAGCATGTTCTTTATTGCACAAAGAAACTACAAGAAAATTAGGTAAGGCAGTTAAAGAAAAGAAAATTCACATGAAACAAGAAAGAAAAAAAAAGAGTCTTTCTCCCATCAATTGGGGGGAAAAAGGACTCACGTAAGCAGCTCTGATTATGAAACTGAGGAAATCAAAAACTGATCATAGCCCATGAAAAATGATACTTCAATAACTTTTCAACATTATATGATGATGAACAATATAATAGAAATCACATGCATAACACATAATCAATTCAATTTTTGAAAAAAGAAAGGAAGTTGTGAAGTGTAACCTCCTAAACAGTGATAAGTTTGTGGCAATGAGCTTATCAGAAAATCCTTTCTAGAAAGGCCTCTCACAAAAATTGTGTTTGGTGATTTTTATTTATTTTTTTAACTTGAAAATTTGCAAACATCAAGAGTAGCTCTTGAAGGTAGAACTCTCACAAACTTAAAAATAGAAGTTAAAATAGATACGAGTTAAAATTTCACTACACATCAACTATAAATAACATAGTTTCAAACATACAATAGAAGTATGCACTTTTACCTGTACAATAACATCACAAGGCTTCTTTTGAAGTGAAACTTCATTTGCCATTGTTGTTGAATTATATAATAATCCATAACTAACAAACTAGTTACATAATAATCCATAACTAACAAACTAACATTCAAACTATGATACGACAGCATCATAGTCTTTAATGCAAAATTTTCATAAATTTGAGACATAGTTCTTGTACATATATTAGGATTTCCTCTAGTTAAAAAATAAAAATAAAAAAATAAAATAAAAAGCCCAACTAACAAGATTTGCCACTCCCAACAAAGACCAATAATTGCACCGGTGACAGTGTAACAAGGTCCACAATAATGCTTCATCTAGTGGAAGGGATAAAAAAATGGATGGAAGAGTAAGCATTAGGGATGGATGAGGCATTCGTTGAAAGGGAGGGGGCTCATCCCTCCTTTTTCTTTTTTGGTTGAGAGGAAGGGAATGAAATGGATGATATTACATGCGTCATTGCCTCATCCAGAGTAAGCATTAGGGATGGATGAGGCATCCATTGAAAGGGAGGGGGCTCATCCCTCCTTTTTCTTTTTTGGTTGAGAGGAAGGGAATGAAATGGATGATATTACATGCGTCATTGCCTCATCCTTCCGCCCATCTTTTCCCTCTACCAAACAATGGGAACCTACTCCTCTCTCTCTCTCGCCTCACTCTCACTTCCTTTTCTCTTACCAAATATAGTCTATAGACAATGCTAAAGAAAGGGAGAACCAAAATTAATATGAAATTAAATACTAAGATGTATTTGTGTAATTTAAGTACAAAAAAAATGACTATAATGGAGTGAATGGCATAAACAAGATTCATATAGGCCCTGTTTGGTAACCACTTCTGTTTTGTCTTTCCTGCTCTGAAAATGAAAAAAAGCAAAAACGGCAGCATAAAACATATTTGGTAAGTTGTATTTTGTTTTCTAAAATTTAATAGCAGTGTTGTAGGAAGTTAAAACCGGTAGTGTAATTTGGCAGCATCAAAACAATGCTGCCAAAATGTGATTTCCCTTTTATTGGCATTTTGGGCAGAGCTAGTGTCAATAAAAAAGAGGGAATCTCGTCTTAAACGACAGAGACCCAATATAACCTCTATTACCCATGATTGTATTTCTCTCGACCTCAACACTTTCTACCTCATCTCATTCATCTCTCTCAAGCTTCAGTCATCGACACTTCTCTCAACCTCAAGAACGGATCACGTTCATATCTCTCAAGCTTCACTTATCTCCATTTCTCTCAACCTTGACTCTCGAGAACGAATCTCTACATCTCGTTGCCAACCACAAACTGCAAGGTACTATCTGAGTTTCTCAAGTTACTTCTCTGATTGTAAGTAGATCTGAGCTTGCTCATTTAGATTAATCTTTATATTAGTTTTATTTTGTAGAATAGGGTTTAGGGTTTGTAGATTTGTTTCAGATCTGAACAGATCTGAATCGATTTACTTGTGAGCCTGAAAAGGAGCTGTTAGAATTTTCATTAATGTGTTTCCTTATTGGTGATTTAGCAATGAAAATATTTTGCCATAAAAGATGTACAGAGCTCTGCAATTTTGCTGTTGATACACTGACCACGTTTGAGCTTTTGGGAGATTGAATCAATTAAAATTTACACGACTTGCATCCCAATGTTGTTCTGCTCGTCTTCATCCTCATCTTCCAAAATTACAGACTTTACAAACTTACAAATGGGTCCAACAACCATTTCTGTTCAGCATTTTGGGTCTCGGGTGGGTCGTCCTTCTGACCCTCAAATGCCAATCAGTTACCCTGGTGTTGAACTCTTTGACTGCTTTAGTATGACTTTATAAAAGAAGACAGACCAAACAAATTAAAAACATATCAGCAACACTGTTTGCGTGATAGAGTTTAATAGATTACTCGCATGCCACGTGATGTTACATTAGATTATTGACAGTGTAATGGTAGAAATTCGGACTATTAGGGAGAGAAACTTCCTAGTGGGGAATCAAATTTTATTATAATCAGAAGCACATGAAAAAACCTCTAGCAAGACTTCAGATATCAAAATCCAAATGAGAGCTTTTACCCATGTTTGGGCTACACATGAAGGTGAATATAGCAATACATAAAGCTACCATGACTACCACTCTGTCTATACTTTATATCAGTGTGTATCTTAGATGCTGAACACGAATATACCAATTCATAATTTGAGATTTTTTGGTCTTTTGCTTTTGAAAGATCTCTTATTTGATCATTTTCATTGAAACTTCTATGAGCAAAAATTTATAACCCTGCACGTCCATAGGATACTCTCATAATGTAATTATGCTTAGTATCTGACATTTAAAGCTAGATGCTTTGGAACGTTTATGCAAAGATTTATTCCCCTGCACGTCCAGGATTCAAGTTTAAGCATATTATATTGATAGATGCAACAGGATAAACATGATTGGATTCTGTGGTTGCAAACTTACTTGCTACACGACATTGGGATAGTCTCATTTTTTTGTGGTTGTTGTGGGTGTGCTATTATGAGCATTTCCTTTGTTTTGATCATTGTAATGTTCTTTGTTCTTATAATTGTTATTGCAAAATGAACCACGTAGTCTAGAATGATCGACTTAATGATCTTATTTTGGTACTTACTAGATCATCTTCATGTTTTGTATAAGATCTAAGATGTAATCGCATTATCCTATTCTGTCTATGGGGTTCTTGTCGTGGTCTTCTTTTTTTCAATTTTTACAGCTTTTTAATTTTAGTCAATGATCTTATTAATATTTATTATTACTATTTCACATTACCAAACATGTTTTATGTTTCCTGCTTTCAAAAATTCAACCACAGGATATGCATTACCAAACATGTTCTGCTTTAGACAAAAATGACAGCACAGCAGAATAACTGCTTCGGTTTATCATAAAATTGAAGGAAGAAAAAAACGGTGATGGTTACTAAACAGGTCCATAGTTGACCTTAAATTGCTGAGATAAGATTTTGGAAGTATTAGAATTTTCTGTAAGTAATTTCTATTGATATCTATCCAGAAAGGCAGAAACTCAAGTCCATTTTCTTATCCCACAAAAAGAAAAACTATTATCCAAGCATAATACAACACAAAATTTATGATTTGGAGGCATAAAATCCAGATAATGCTATGCAATATGTCACAAAAAAGGACAACTTTAAAGCCAGTTGTACCACATAATTTTCAACAATAATCTAAGAGATTAATTAGTGTGTGTCATGGGGGTGGTTTGTTTGTGTGTACAATCTTGTTTTAGGCAACAACAGAAAATATATTCCTCCATAACATTTGTTAAATACAGTTGCTGCTCACCATCCTGAATAGAAGTCTGAAAGTCTGTTGCTTGTCGAGATATCCTGACATGAGAGCAAGAATTCTTGGAAATCATGCTCGACTTTTGGCATACATGGAGACCGCTTTTTTCTCTTAAACAGCCCGAGCTTGACTTGGTCGTCATTTTTAATGATGGCATTTGATCTGTACTTGTGATATGTGCCACAGTCTTGATTTAAGAACATCAGCGGGGAAACAGAACCCCTCTAAACAATCAGATCAGCAGCAAGAGACTGTCAAAAAAAAATTGGTCGAGAGATGAAGTGTTAAAACAGCCAAATAGGCAAGGTGCATGCAGCAGAAGTCAAATATATGTGAACTTTATAGCAGTTATGTTGTTGTTTCTTGTGGATGAAATGAGAACTCTCAACATCACAAGCTAAAATTGCCTAACTTGGTTTTTGAATTTTGACAATTTGTTACCAATTTTTCTTTTTGTTTCCAAATAAATAACCACCTAAATTAGCTAAATCCTCTGTGCCATATATATATATATATAAATACTAGCATTCATGGAACACATCTATTCTTTTAAAGCCCATATGATAATTAACATAATAAATAAAAAATAAATTAATTGTAACTTCTACAGCAATTCTACTGATGAAAAACTAGAATTTTCCTTTCCTTTTACAACAATTACAAAAGAAAAAGGGGCAGGTATAACAGAGGGTGGGAAAACACAAGCATGTGAAAAAAGCACAACACTTTCAGACTAAAATTCACAATATATAAAATGAACTGAATGAAAAACCATATATATAGCTACAAAACAAAATATCCTCTTGGAAGAAAAGCAACAGATCAAAGAGCACCAAAATATATCAAGTAAAAGCGCAAACGATAAAGTCAACCCTGTGATAAAAAAAAAACAACGATAACTATTATTCGCAACACATGAACTATCATACCAGAATTGAAATCAATCTACAAACTTAAACCCTAGAATAAGAATTAACCTGAATTGGCAGTTCGCATAGCTGAATTAACAGTTATAGAGTCGATACACACATATATAATTTAAAATAGAGATAATATCAACATGATTTACTTATTGAAGGTATAGTAGCAGTAAATTTCAGACATAAACATATACATACCCATGTAGCAACCAAGTCTCGCTCTCTCTCTCGGACTTCTTTTGAAAGTCTTCCTGCTCTCTCTAATTCTCTCTCTAATCAGAGCCCTTTAACTTCGACGTTAGAACAATGATTAATGGGACTGATTTTGGAGACGTCATATGGACGGCTGTGATCGGATCTTTCCTTTATCGTCCACCGTTCGTAACTTGCCACGTGGAAATAATACAGGTCCGCATCTTCGATACGAACAGGTTCGCGGAAAGAGAGGACTCGAAGAAGGAATGGAGTACTCCACGACCACTCAAGAGAGCGTTACATTCACGCAACTAAAGTGAGCGTTGAATTTCTTTGCAAAGGGCTTTTTCTTGCGCGTGCCTTTTACGCGTGTTTGCATGAAAATAGATTAATTTGAACCTCATATAGCACCACTCCATTTATCCCATTTTTAGTACTCCGTGATTAACATTTTTTTACTTCGATGTGTTTATTTATTTATTTATTTTCATTGCAACTTTCATGTTTTAAATGGGATAATTAACTTTTTGACGCCCTAAAAAGAAAGAATCTTTGGTTTTGATAATATACATATATAAAGTTAAAGGATAAGTTGATAATTTTGAAAGGTATATTCTTTAAAAATATATATAATATTAAATATAAATAAGTGTACAATTAATATGTAGAGGAGGGAATAGTATTTCTTTCGTGAATTTTATCTTTATCATTTTTAGTAGTGCTACTTTTGGATTAATGAATTTTAACGGAATAAAAATGAATTTCATTGTTTAAGAATATAAGCTTTTTTTAGATTTTAAGAAGTTCAATACTTAGCGAATGTAAAGTAATAATATAAAGAAAAAATTAACTCCATATATAACTATATATCATTCTTGTATAAAAAATAAAAAATGATGTTTTAGACAACTCCATTTTAGAACAACCTTTTTGTCCCAACCCTCAAAAAACATAATGAAACCAAAGACCAAATATATATATAAATAAATTTTATTGACACCTCTTGAGCTTGACAAAATATCACATTAAAATACTTTACGACATTGTCTAAATGATTTCTTAATTTAAATATTTTATATAATTTAATTAAATTATATAATTAAATGAATTAAAGAGAGAATATACTACAAGTGTAAGTTAATTTAAAATTTCTCTCTCTTATTAAGATGCATGTGGGTTGTGTGAGAGGCCAATGATTAGATTTGCCATCTATTTTTTGAAGTGGCTACAAAACTTGTGAAAAGATGCTCCAAGTACAGTCTTCTGTCTATTTCCTGTTATTTATTGGTATGTTTGGAAAGAAAGAAACAATTGAACATTTAAAATAGATTTGTATGCAATTTAGTTTTTTTTAATGGAGCAAATATTTATTTTTCTTTTATTCCTAAGAATTTTGGGAGCCATTGTGGCAAGGCAAAGTAAAACTTATGTTATGGAGCATTTTAATTTTGAAATTTGAGAAAATTTAGTTCAAATTTTAAATTTGGAATTGAAATAAATATAATTAAAAATTTAAACTAAATTCCTGTAATTATAATTTTAATGTGTCATTTCAATGCTCTGAAACATAGCATTAATATCAATACTTCTCTCCAAATATTATCTAGAATCATCATGATTCAGTTGTTAAAGAAGGTATAAACTTGTGAATAAATAAAGTTATAAAAAGGTTAATATGGAGTCTAGACTACATTGAAGGTTGTTGAGTAAATGATTTCATGGCATAAAGGCTTTAGATTGATCTGGTCCTCTGGACAACGCAGCAAATGGGCACTTAGTCACAAAAACCCAAAAGCAAAAAAACAAAAAAACAAAAGCTAACCGAATTGATTTGTGGAATGTTTAGGCTACATGACTTTTGAATTTACTTTTCAAAAAACTCACATTTCATGCGACTCGTGTTGCACTACATTGATGACCCATAAACAACTTTACAAAAGTTGTGCAAGTGCCAAAGTGTATCAAAACTCAAGGGTCTCATCTTGAACACCATGAAAAAAGAATATAATATAATTAATTGTTGTAAAACTGATGTAAAAAGATAAGGTCCGAAATAAAATGATACAAAGAATCTGAGTTCATATAAAAAAAAAATAGTATCCGTTTAAAATTAAATAATAATAATAATAATAATAATAGGACGGAAAAATAATGTATCAACTCAATTTTAGAATTCTTTTGTTTATATTTTTGTTTTTGTAGTAAATGTTTGAAACTCTTCATTATCTTTGTTATTATACTTTAATTTATTTATTTTTAAATCCTCTTTATTTCGTTTTTATCTTTCCTTTTTTAAACTAAATCGCGCCGGCTTATTGACTAACTATTTTTATTATTCTGGCGCTATCTTAAACGTCTTATCTGCGTGTACAGTAAAAAATAAAATTATCATTCTATTCAGAAGCACTGTCAAAGGTTATAGTCTTGTGATTTTACTTTTTAGAGTACAATTCCCCTTAATTTCCAGATTAATTTAGAAGACTATCAAAGGTTGTGGTTTTACTTTTTAGAGTAGTCAGAATCAGTCTCCTTCCAAAAAAATTCAAGGCTAACTCCTGTTTGGGTGTGTTTATGATAAATAAATAAATAAATAATAATAATAATAATAATAATAATAATAATAATAAGCTAAACACCAAATTACTCCGGATCAGTCTATTTGTGTGTGTACTCAGCAAAGCAAATAGTAGGCCAATCTGTCCTCGAGCAAAGCAAATAGTAAACCAATCTTGACACCGGAGGAAATCCTTAAACAGTAGCATTTTTTAGGCCCCACTTCTTCCATTGGAAAACCCAGTCGTTCCTTTAGCCAAGCAAAAAGTTGTTTTTGATAGGTAAAAAGTTCATTCATCCTTGCTGTTAGGAAGGTTGACGTTTTATTTCTTTTGCTTTCTTCTCGTTATAAATGTCCTCAGGCGAGTCAACATGAGATGAGGAGTAGAGGGAAGATTACTCACCCACCAAGTTCTCATATAGTTAAGCGAATAGGGACCGAGGGTGTTTCTGAACATGATAAAAAGATCAAAAATAAAAACCCACGATAGTAGTAGAAGTTTACAACAAATGTGAGCTGAGGGCATAATAACTCCTGCTCATATTAACAGTAGATAATCTCACTTGCAAATGAAAGAGTTCAGATTTGAGGACCATAAACATCATACATCGTCACATCCACATCTATAAACCCAACAGCTAAAAAGAAAGGAAGGAAAGAGAGAGAAACCCACCAAAATCATCATCACTACCACCTTTGTTATCACCAGCTGCAAGAAACAAGGAGAAAGAAACCCACCAACATCACTACCACCTTTGTTATCATCAGTTGCAAGAAACAAGGAGGGAGAAACCCACCAACACCAACATCATTACCACCATTGTTATCACCAGCTGCAAGAAACAAGTAGTGAGAAACCCACCAACATCACTACCGCCTTTGTAATCACCCGCTGCAAGAAACAAGGAGAGAAACCCACCAACATCATCACTATTGCCTTTGTTATCACCAGCTGCAAGAAACAAGAGGGGAGAGAAACCCACCAACATCATCACCACCGCCTTTTGTTATCAGCAGCTGCAAGAAACAAGGAGAGAGAGAAACCCACCAACATCAACATCACAACCGTCTTTGTTATCACCAGCTGCAAGAAACTAGAGAGAAACCCACCAACACCAACATCACTACCGCTTTCGTTATCACCAGCAGCAAGAAACAAGGAGAGAGAAACCCACCAACACCAACATCACTACCACCTTTGTTATCACCAGCTGCAAGAAACAAAAAGAGAGAGAAACCCACCAACATGAACATAACTACGGCCTTTGTTATCACCAGCACCTTCATTATCACCAGCTGCAAAAAACATGAACCCCAACAACTACTCCAACCAGAAGAACAAAGCAGCTCTGTACAATGCGGATGCTAGTCTTTTGGCTGAATTTGAGCAGTCTGAAGAGTCAGGTAAGTCCTTTTACTCTAGGTCAGTTGTAAATGCACCTGAAAATGGCCCTGATGAGGAAATTGTTGCTTATCTGGCTAAAATTCAGAGGGGTGGTCTTGTCCAACCCTTTGGTTGTTTGATTGTTATTGAAGAACCCAGTCTCAAAATCATAGGCTATAGTGAAAATTCAATTGCTGGGTTTGAACAATGAGTATGGATCATCAAACCAGATAAGTCTAATAGGAATCGATACCAAAACCCTTTTTACCCCATCTTCGGAGAATTCATTGGCCAAAGTTGTTGCGTCTAAGGAACTTTCGCTGTTAAATCCAATTTGGGTACATATTAGGAGCGCCCAGAAGCCATTTCATGCTATACTGCACTGAATTCATGTGGGAATTGTGATTGATTTCGAACTGGCCTTGTCGGGTAATCCTGCATTTTCACTAGCCGGCACTGTTCAGTCACAGAAACTCGCTGTTCAGGCGATTTCTAGTATGCAATCACTTCCTGGGGGAGATATTGGTGTTCTGTGTGATACTGTGGTGCATGCTGTTCAGAAGCTTACTGGGTATGACAGGGTTATGCTTTATAGGTTTCATGAAGATCAACATGGTGAAGTTGTGTCGGAAATTAGGAGGTCTGATTTAGAAGCCTACCTGGGATTGCATTATCCAGCAACAGATATCCCCCAAGCCGCTTGTTTCTTGTTCAAGCAGAGTCGCGTCAGGATGATCTATGATTGCAATGCCAATCCGGTTAGGGTCCTTCAAAGTGAAGAATTAAGTCAGCCTCTTGTCTTGGTCAATTCAACCCTTCATTCCCCCCACGAATGCCATATGCAGTACATGTCTAACATGGGCTCTATTGCCTCATTGGACATGGCAGTTGTTATCAATCGCAACAACTCAATGAAGCTATGGGGTTTGGTAGTGTGCCACCACACCTCTCCACGTTATGTTCCATTCCCGCTTCGCTATGCTTGTGATTTTTTCATGCAGGCATTTGGTTTGCAGCTCAACATGGAGCTTCAACTGGCATCATGGATAGCAGAGAAAAAGATTCTTCAGACACAAATGTTATTATGCGACCTGCTTCTCCGGGATGGCCCACTTGGGAGTTGACTCAATCTCCTAGTATCATGGATCTTGTGAAATGTGTTGGGGCT